TCTGGAAGTGAAAATCCAGCGATGAGTGCTGGAGATTGGCTGAAGGAAAACAAGTGACAGCACCAAGAGTTTTTTCACTGCATGGTGCTGAGGAGGAGTGCGTACAATTTGTGTCAGCACTCATGGATGACACAGCACAAATCTTGATGAGAAGTGTAACAAGTTTTTCACCATGATGGCATGTGAATTACATGACCATATCGTCCAGGCTTTTGTGCTCGAGAAAAGTCCGCTCCCGCTTGCAAAAATATTTCTCAGTGCTGGTGGAAGTAGTACTGTAGCAATTTTGTTGTGGTGTGTGCCAGCTACGTTTTGGGAACACAAAGAAGCATGCTGCCGCCATGGTTGTTGCTGCTGCTGCCGTTGATGCCAAGCTGCTCAACGGGCAGAACCTTCCAAAATAGAAGTGAATTACTCGCGGCTGTCGAAGGTTGGCGGCTGCCGAAGCTAGGCAGGACCGGGGCCATGATTATATAACGTTGGTGAAGTTACTTCCACAATCCTCCGACCTTTGAGGAACTTGTACCATACCTTTTTGCACTTTAATTTATTCACTTGATCAGATGTTGACACATGTGCATCCGCTCTGCTGAGGAAAGAACTCGATTGACTTCAATATATGGCCTGGTTGAGAGCTGGGATGTGTCACAAGTCACTAGCATGAGAGGATTGTTTGAGAACAACTGGTGGTTCAATGAAGACATTCGAGCGTGGAACACCTCTGCGGTGGTCGACATGGCATATATATTCTCAGGTGCCAGCCTGGCATTTATTTACCCTCTGGTTATTTAACATAGCCATGGTATAGATGGCCCATAGAAATAGATGGTTTACCTATTAAAAATGGTGATTTTCCATGGCTATGTTAGTCATAACCAGATGGTATATTTTTTTCTTCGTGTGAAACCTGGCATCCACAGGATGTTTGACTTGGATGTGGCGTACGGTGTCCTGTTGGCGATGGATACATGTTCGGCGAAGGAGCTCACAGTCCACTATGAATGGCGTGATTTTTTTTTTCTGGGAAGCTGATGGGAATTCACCATCCGTCTGTTAGCGATTTACCAGATCTTTTAGGAAACTTAGACTTGCACATGCAGAATTCATCAGCATTCCAAGAATTGGAGCTGCAAATGCCACGGCAGAAGCAGAAGCCTCGCCTCCTGCGTATGGCTCACACGTGGGCTACCAATGAACCCGCAAACTGCATTTATTTTGGTATAAAACCTAAAACAAATATATATTGAGTAGGTAACTTTGAGCCACGGCCATATGTCCATTCGCTGTTGGTTGGTCAAATCCCCCAGTCACAATTCTGTCAGAAGTGAACAGCCAAGTTGGATTTGAATCCTGCTACACCACATATGTTATTGCCCATGGGACCATGGGAGAAACACAGCTGAATCTGTTGCAGGTCGTCCAGGGCGACCAAAGTGAATTGACTGAGAAACTTGGCTTCAGTTCAAAGGACATATTTCGGGAGTGGTTCTTCGATGCTTTGTAGAGGTGTACTGAGTGTACTGATGGATTTCTTGGTTGATAGGCGCCGTATGTTGTCTTGCGGTGAGTAGTTCTCCACTTTGCAGCGTGTTGGATCATGTTGGATGATGTTGCAGAACATTGCAACATTGAACATGACAGATACGGGATACGATAGTTACAGTTTTCCACGCCTCCCTTGGAAACGATTTGCTCTGCGCTCAGGAATCCTTTGGGCCTTTGGGTATCAAGTTCCCAGGCGTCAGGGTGTTTTGGACATGTCTGAGGTGGATGCTGACAACATTGCAACAACACCAACACCAACAACAACACCAACACCAACACAAACAACAACAACAAATGGTCACCTTGGAACCCTTTTAATTCGTTCAACTAACCTCAACGACCTGCGAGTTTCCATGGCAATTTAGGAGATGTGGGCAGCCTGTTAGCCTGTTAGAGCCTCCAGAATGGTTGAGGAGTTCTGTCTTGGATGAACCTATACCGTAACACTTGATGAACTTGTGTCTCGTCACGCTCAGCCTTTAGGATTTTTGGGACTGTCGAGAGGGAGAGAGGTGAAAGACGAGGACAAACGTGAATGCATCACTGATCAGGGGAAGTTGATGCGATGCAAGTCCTTCGTAGTCCGATATCTCGCTGCCACTTCGGCCCGAGAGAAGGGCGGTCACTAATTGTAGTACACATCAGCCAGTAACCAGTGTCAGTCAGGCAGAAAAAAGCAGGATAAAACAACTGACAAGAGTTGGTTGTTTTGATTCACTCACCTGTTCCTCTCAAAAGGCAAAACTTTGCAATCCATATCATCAAAACCATGAAAACTGCATTGCTCCAAGATACTCTTCCTCAGGGCTGGTGCGGGTCCCATCCGAAAGCGTTTTGAGAGTCAGCTGGACAGGTTCCTCCGAAAGACAGAAAGATGCTGCCGCCATGGTCGCTGCTGCCGTTGCTGATGATGCCAAGCTGCTCAGCAGTCAGATCTTTCCAAAATCGAAGTGAATTACTGGCTGCTGTCAGAGGCTGGCGGTTCGCAGCCGAATCTAGGCAACCGTTGGGCCATGGAACGTGGGTGAAATCGCCTCAACAATCCTCCAAACCTTTGGAACTCGTACCCCTTTGCACTTTTTTTGGTTTACATGAGCAGATGTTGACACATGTCCTTCAGCATCTTCAGCTTTGCTGAGGAAAGAACTCGATTGATCTCAACACATGGCCTGGTTGAGAGCTGGGACGTGTCAGAAGTCACTAACATGACAGGATTGTTTGAGAACAACTTGTGGTTCAATGAAGACATTCGAGCGTGGAACACCTCGGCGGTGGTCGACATGGCATATATGTTCTCAGGTGCCAGCACCTTCAACCAGCCACTCGGTTCCTGGGACACGGCTGCAGTGACCACCATGGAGAGCATGTTCGCCTACACCACGGCCTTCAACCAACCAGTCGGTTCCTGGAACACTTCTGCGGTGACTACCATGAAGGGCATGTTTTGGCAGGCCAAGGCCTTCAACCAGCCAGTCGGTTCCTGGAACACTTCTGCAGTGACCACCATGGAGAGCATGTTCGCCTACACCACGGCCTTCAACCAACCAGTCGGTTCCTGGAACACTTCTGCGGTGACTACCATGAAGGGCATGTTCAATGGTGCCATTGCCTTCAACCAGCCACTCGATTCCTGGAACACGGCTGCAGTGACCACCATGGAGAGCATGTTCTGCTGGGCCTGGAAGTTCAACCAGCCAATCAATTCCTGGAACACGTCTGCAGTGACCAACATGCGGAGTACCCTCGGGGGGGGGGGCGCGGGTGACCGCGCGGGAATTGACCTGGTTACAAATTCCCCCCCACAACAGGCCACTTACCCCGCTCCACTGCCTAACACGCAGTGGTGAGCGTCAGAGATGACCGGGGCAGCGCCGGTAAAACGGAAGGTGGCTACGTTAATGCACCGCCCAGTGTCACGCTAACACCGTGGCCACCATTCTGTGGTGCCGGGACCCTGGACTGGGCACAGCCAGCCACCAGACTGGCAAACCGCCGGCTACCACACCGGAACACTGGCACAGACCAGCTCCAATTGGCGCAAGCCATACATCACTTTGCAAAATACAACGTACCGATGTGGGCTCTGCCCCATCACACCCAGTTCACTGGGACCAGCACTCTCGTAGCAGCAGCAGCTGCTAAACACAGCATTGACACTGCGGCTGCAGCCGCAACACACGACGGGCACCCGCCCGTGACCTTACCGGTCTTCATCACAAGAAACACAGCCAGCCGGCTTTTTCCACGCTTTGCGTGGGGTGCCCCTTAATCCAATGCCTTCTTGGCTCGCCAGGTTGGGTGCACTTTCAAAACTACAACCAACATGCGGAGTATGTTCTACCGCGCCAACGCCTTCAACCAGCCACTCGGTTCCTGGAACACTTCTGCCGTGACCACCATGGAGAGCACCAAAAAATGCACAGCGTATTAGTGTTTTGCCGGTATCCCAAAACTTCCGGGCCGGCCTCGCGGCCCTTACTCTTGCTTCCAAGAGGGTCTGGGGGCTTTTACTTAATGGAAGAACTCCTACCAAGGGGGAATGCAAGGCGCACACTGAGGATTATCGTCTTGCAGTTAAAGGAAAATTTTTGGATGGCATTGCTTCCAGGCATTTGGAAAAAGTCTTGTTGCTTGGGCACTCATCTGACCTCCTTTACCTTTCTTGCCAGCGTCTTTTGAACGCCCTCACTAAGTGGCGTCACCACCATCCGGGGAATTGGTCCCACAAGCCTAGTAATGTGATTTCGGCTTTGAACGGTGCTCTCTCCAAGCTGGACCTTCAGTGCGACAGCTGGGGCCGCTGGTCCTGGAGTGGGGGGTGGTGGGACTCCGCATCCCCACCTGATTTCGCACCTCGCATGGCACATTGTTTTCGGCAGTTTTGGCGTGCACGTGAGGTCAAAGGGTGGCTGGCATCTGACCGCAATGATGCCAAGCTGGCCCGGGCAAACAATTTGGCTATTTCTGATAACCTAATCACTAAGCTTCACCGGGCGGCCACACATCTGTCCGCGCATGAGATTGGAATCATGTCTGGTGCTTTGAAAACTGACGCGAAAGCGTCGTCACCACCTATGTTTTGCCATGAATGTAAGAGACATCAGTGTCCTGACACTTTCCATGTGCTTTGGCAGTGTAGCCACTGGGACCACCTGAGACGTGTCCCTCCCAGCAGATGTCCTTTGGTTAACAGATTAGGCTGGGGTCCTGAAGGGGTCGACCTTGTTCGTGTGAAACAATGCGCGCATATCCGGGAGCAATTGTGCAAAGTCCAAGCCGGACGCAACTACTCCCGTCCCGAGCCTTTTGACATGGGCCAGAACAATTTGGATCCTCACATTGCTCGTGGGGAGGGCGTGACTGCTCTTCCTGTGGTGTAGAGGGTCCGGGTGTGGGCGGCTTAACCCCGGGCCAATTTGGCCGTGCCAGGTTGTCGCCAGAAACCACAAACCACCATGGAGAGCATGTTCTACTCCGCCAGGGCCTTCAACCAGCCAATCAATTCCTGGAACACGTCTGCAGTGACCACCATGGACTATATGTTCTTCGACGCCAGGGCCTTCAACCAACCACTCAGTTCCTGGAACACGTCTGCAGTGACCAACATGCGGAGTACCCTCGGGGGGGGGCGCGGGTGACCGCGCGGGAATTGACCTGGTTACAAATTCCCCCCCACAACAGGCCACTTACCCCGCTCCACTGCCTAACACGCAGTGGTGAGCGTCAGAGATGACCGGGGCAGCGCCGGTAAAACGGAAGGTGGCTACGTTAATGCACCGCCCAGTGTCACGCTAACACCGTGGCCACCATTCTGTGGTGCCGGGACCCTGGACTGGGCACAGCCAGCCACCAGACTGGCAAACCGCCGGCTACCACACCGGAACACTGGCACAGACCAGCTCCAATTGGCGCAAGCCATACATCACTTTGCAAAATACAACGTACCGATGTGGGCTCTGCCCCATCACACCCAGTTCACTGGGACCAGCACTCTCGTAGCAGCAGCAGCTGCTAAACACAGCATTGACACTGCGGCTGCAGCCGCAACACACGACGGGCACCCGCCCGTGACCTTACCGGTCTTCATCACAAGAAACACAGCCAGCCGGCTTTTTCCACGCTTTGCGTGGGGTGCCCCTTAATCCAATGCCTTCTTGGCTCGCCAGGTTGGGTGCACTTTCAAAACTACAACCACCATGGAGAGCATGTTCTGCTGGGCCTGGAAGTTCAACCAGCCAATCAATTCCTGGAACACGTCTGCAGTGACAACCATGGACTATATGTTCTTCGACGCCAGGGCCTTCAACCAACCACTCAGTTCCTGGAACACTTCTGCAGTGACCACCATGGCGGGCATGTTCTACAGGGCTTTTGCCTTCAACCAACCACTCGATTCCTGGAACACGGCTGCAGTGACCACCATGGACAGAATGTTCTTTGAAGCCTGGGAGTTCAACCAGCCACTCGGTTCCTGGAACACGGCTGCAGTGACCACCATGGAGAGCATGTTCTCTGATGCAAAGGCCTTCAATCAACCAATCGGTTCCTGGGACACGTCTGCAGTGACCACCATGGAGAGCATGTTCTTTGAAGCCTGGAAGTTCAACCAGCCAATCGGTTCCTGGAACACTTCTGCAGTGACTATCATGAAGAGCATGTTCACAGGTGCCGAGGCCTTCAACCAGCCACTCAATTCCTGGAACACGGCTGCAGTGAACGACATGAAGCGCATGTTTTGGCAGGCCAAGGCCTTCAACCAGCCAGTCGGTTCCTGGAACACTTCTGCAGTGACCACCATGGGCGTGCCAGGTTGTCGCCAGGTTGTCGCCAGAAACCACAAACCACCATGCAGAGCATGTTCCACGACGCCAGTGCCTTCAACCAGCCACTCGCTTCCTGGGACACGTCTGCAGTGACCACGATGGACAGCAGCGGCTATCAAAAAGAGAGCGCCTCCCGGCCAATTACTTCTTGTAGTTTGCCACGGCAGTCGCGGGCCTTAGCAGGTGCGAAGCTCTCTCAGTTTCAATGCAGCATGGCATGGTTGCTTTCGCATCTTTGCAGTTGTTGTGTTACACCCAGTGAAGTTGCAGTGACATTGATGCATGAACACTGGCCAATCATAGGTGAAGACCCTTTCACTAACCTGACATTCCTGTGTATATTATACTGCTTTGCTTTCTTTTGGGACTGGCTGAGCAGACCACGCAATTCGTTCAAGAGAACGCAGAAAACTCTCAAAACCAACAGAAAAAAGTGCAAAACTCGAAAACCAAACAAAAATATCAAATTCACCAAGTATCGCATGGCACTTCCAGCGAGACTGGTGCGAAATGCACGCCATACCAAAGCTAAAATGCGCCAAAGATTGGCCAGCGCGAAGTTTCGCGCAGCAAAACTGAGAGCATGGGCCCGAGGCCACCAAAACCGCATCCGGTGTAGTAAAACCCGTAGAAGTTGTTCCAAACTGTCTCATGGTTTGAACCTGGATTTCCATCAGTATGGCATATTTTCCATTGCTAGCGTTTGTCGTGCTGACGCTGCGTCTATGGATGTGACCAAACCAGAGTTGCGATGCCTCCTTGCGGGCGGTGCGGGCGGTTCAGCCCGCACACGTCGTAAGCGCAACAATCCACAGCATGAGTCACCACAAAGCCTGGCTACTGCTTTGACAAATGTGATCCAGCAGTGGCAGCCTAGCAATCAAAATACGCCTGAAGACCACACTTGGGGGTGGCGGAAAAGAAGGAAACAAGCAAATAATTCATGGCAAGGATACCGGGCTGACAGCTCTCCTGACACCAGCCTTGCTCGCGAATTGCTACAGCTTCTTCAGAAACTTTGCGCAAACCAAGCAAGTGACCAGGAAGTGATCACAGCCACCAGCAGGCTGATTGACACCAACCAAGGACACAGCCGTGACCTTGGGAAACCAGTTGCGGTCAGGGAAGTCAGATACAGCAAGCCCCAGAGTGGAGCGAAAGCTTCAAATCATGGTGCCAATCGCTGGGGAAAACAGACCAACCCCAACCGAGGCTGCAGCCATCAAGATATCACTGGTTTTGTGCCCAGCGAATGGAATGCCCAACCAAAGTTCCTATCCGTGCATGAGATCATTTCTCAGATAAAAGCAGGAATAGCCTTGCAAGCCAACATCACCGAAGTTTACACCAAAGAACAGTGTGCGAACCTGCGCACCCTTTGGCATAGCTATGGGTGCAAGGGCTCTTTGACCATGCTGCTCACCAAGGATGCCAAAGACACCCTGGGGGCCACGGCTACCCGTGTTCGCATATCCAGGGCGCATGGCACACCGAAAATTGAAGAAATAGCTCTCCTGCGCTTAGGAGATACCAACAGTGGATTGTGGATCTTGCCCGCAGTCAAAGTTGATGAGGGGAAAATCAAAACAGTCCAAAGAAGCACTGTCAGAGTCATTGCACCTTTGGAATTCCGAAAGCACTTCTTGGATTCAGGCCAAGACCTACCCAGATTGGTGGCGGCTGCCATGGCCCAGTGGAGTGAAAAAATAAAAGCCTCTCACCTCATGGGTGGCAAATGGAATCACACGCAGGTCCATCAACAAGACTTGCTCACAGGCTGGCTGATTTTGCCAACAGAACAGGCTAAGGAGCTTGTTGTCAATAGCGGTCGCCAGGGTGTTTTTGCCCAGATCCAAGAAAACAATACTGGACCCAGGCCCATCCGTTGGTTTCAACGACAGAACAACGAAAATGCCGAGACCTATTTGCAAAGATGTCTCAAGGAAGCTAAGCTCAGGAAAGTTGGCCTTTTTTTTCGAAAAAGCAGCACACCACACACCATTGGCATGGAAAAAACAGCAGCAGAAATAGCTGAGGGCCAAGCGGCCAACTACCTCCTCCGAGGGGCTCCAAAGATGTGGCAGACTGAAGAGATCGAAGATTTTCTCAATCAACAGAAATGGAAAGCCGTGCAACGCATTTCCAAAGTGAGATATCGAAACGAATGGCGTTTTCATGCCCAGCCACCTTCAGCTATGCAGGAAAATTACCATTACGATTTGGCAGAAGGCTACATGTCATGCATCCCAGCTCCTGTCAGACAACACCAGCCAACCTGGCAACAACCTGTCAGAAACACATGGCGAGGAAATGAGCTGGGGAAAATTGGAAATGAAGCCAACAATCCTGGCGATACCGGTGACGTCATGGCAACTGCTCTGGATCAGGACTCCAGTCAAGCTTCACAAAAAGAGGCTGGTAGGGAAAGAAGTCGGAGCCCAGTTCGCTCCAAGCAGCGGCAGGCTGTTGCAGATGACCCAGATTTGATCCCAACAGACATCGCGGAATGTTTCAAAAATGGCTGGGAAAGTCAAGATGTTGGTGGCAATGGAGATTGTTTTTATCGAAGTATTGCTGCTTGTCAACACTGGCAAAAGCATCATAAGTTGATCACTGCTGAAACTGCTGCCCTCTGCAGGGCAGAGCTTCGTGCGTCAGCTGTTTTGCACGCCCAGAAGCATAGTAGCAGGCTCTCTAGCTGGTTTGCGCCAGATTCCAAAGAAACCCCCGCTGAAAGGGGGTGCAATCCGCAGGCAACGAACATCAGTGAATGGTGTGAACTGCAGATGAAACAGGAAGTCTGGGCAGATGGCCTTAGCATCCAGTGCCTGGCTGAGACCTTGGGACTTGTCATTGTGATTTTCAAACAATCAGAGGATAGATGGGACAGATTCACATTCGCACCTGGCTTTAAGCAGGATGTTGCAATGAGCAGACGCAATGCGCCTCCGGTTGTTTTGACCTTAAACAAAAAGCATTTCGAAGCAGTGCATGCCCCACAAAAAACAAAGTTCCCTCGCCCGTGGTTGCTCAAAACTACCAAACCTCTCATGATTGATCTGACGGGGGCTGGCCGTGGTCTTCCAAGCCTTAATAGTGCCACTCCTTCCATCCACACCTGGCGAACTCCTGTTAGTTCCATTTCGCGCCGATCTAGCAGACCCCACCCAGTGCAGAAAAGCATTCGAAAGGTCAAAGTCGGTAGCAGTGTTGATCAGCCGATGGCAGGGACTCATGATGTCCATTCGCAGTCTTGCATGTCGCATGCTCCTGACCGGAGACACAACGCTTCGAAGAGGCGCAGCAGTGTGGCCAGAAGTTCATCCGCTAGAGTTTCTCTTACCGTGGCGCGAACCGATGCCGCTCCCAGCAGCTGTGCTCACCAACAGACTCATTGTGATGCCGTTTTTTCTGTTGAGGTTCCCCTTGCCCATGATGCCATCCAACATGCAGGACGACATTCTGAGCCACTTGTGCAAGCTAGGGATACTGCTCGTGCCAAACGAAACACCAGAGATCGCCTAGGGCCCAAGTTCAAAGCCATCGCCAGCATCCAAGCAAAACAGGCTGGCACTGGATTACATGTGCACCCTGGGAGCCTGGGTTCCGCCGGAGGGTTTCCTTTTGTTTGCGTCAAATGCAACAAGAAAGTTTCGTATCCCACAGATTCGTGCTGCCCAAACAACATGCCTAGTAAGAGTCGCGATGTCTCTAAGCAGGGTCGCAGAGCTGTTTGGAAGGCCATTTTGGCCAAAGCCAACAAGCAAGCCGCAGCGGCAAAGCTGTGCACGGTCAAAGAGCAGAGAGCACAAAGGGCGGAAGCAAACAGATTGCAGAGACAAGATAGAGAGCGAGAAGCTATCGCTGTCCAAGCTTCAAAACCTGATCCGTTAGGGAGCCTGCCTGTCTTTCCCAAATCGCAGGGAGGTGTCTGGTGGAAATGTCCTTGGTGTGATTTTGCTATCCAGAGCACGGCACAGCGTGTTTCCAAATCGCGCTTAAAAAAACGGCACCTTGAAAGGGTTCATGCCACTCAAAATACCAAAATGTCGTCAGGCAACTTGCTTGAACACCCGACCAGATTTTTGAATGCCAGGAGCACCTTCCAGTCGAGGTGGAAGACATTCCATGGTTTTTTCCAACAGCTCAAATGGAAAGGGGCGCACGACGTCCCATGTCAACATGAGTTTTCTAGGATATACATCAATACCAGAGGCATGTCGGTGCAAGTCCCAGTTTATAAATGCAAAGCCTGCTCTAGGCACGTGTCTAGGCCATCCCTGTCCATCAGCGTTTGTCCTCGTTTTGTCGGTAAGTCTCCTTCCCTTGAAAAAAGGAAGAAAATTTGGCAGAATTGTCGTAAAAGAACTGTCAAAGCTGAAGGAAGCGGAGATGCCAGTGCCACCAAGAGAAAACGTTTACAAGGCCTCCGTGGCGTGCGCCTTGGTGAGGCATCACACCCAGGACCATCTGATTTGCACGCGTGGTCACAAAATATTCGCTCTTGGCAAGCTCATGGCACAGACATGCTCACACATGCCAGAGATGCTAAGGTCCAGCTTGTTTACATGCAGGAGCATAACATTTCACACATCAGCATTCCCTCTGTTTCGCAAATTTGTAGGCGTCAGCAGTGGCAAGCTTTGATTGTTCCAAAGCCAGTTAAATCCAATGGCGGAGTCGCTGTCTTCTGCCACGAATCATGTGCGCTCACTGAGGTCAGCCGCATCAGCTCCGAGTCAGGGCAGCTGATCCACGCTGTGCTGCACGGGGGGCAACGGGACATCAACGTCCTCTGTATTTACCGGCACCACAGTGATGCCGATTTTGCCATTTTGCATGAAGCTGCGCTGATTGTTAGCCGCCTAGGTTCGCAAGATTGGATCCTTGCCTTAGATGCCAATGCTAACATGTCACAGGGAATTGCTCATGATATCCTTGAAAATATGGGTGGCACCAGGTGTTCTGTTGCTCGACATGACCGGAGTGTTCACCCAATTGATGCAATTTGGTCTTCGGGAGGGCTTCAAGCCTCCAGTGCCTCCGAAATTCCAGGTGATGGAGACCACACCATCGCACAGAGCTCCTTCCCTCTTGCATTTCAAAAATGTAAGGCGCCACAGTGGCGTTTTTCGCACACCCGAAAAAAAGTGGTTCCCCAGCAAGATGTTTTACATCCTAGTAGTTTGTGGTCATCGGTGGCGGCCGCTGAAAGTGATTGGTCGCAAGCGCTGCTCAACATCGACCATGCTTGGGCCATGTGGTGTTTTGACATTGAAAATTATTTGGTTCAGGCCGGCCTTCTCGATAGCCACCAGCCTGAGAGAAAGGTGGGTGACGTCCCCACGGTCCGCACAGGGTCTCATCGCGTGGGTGCTACTCAGTCAATCACGGAAAGACATTTGCGTAGATTCATTCGCAGGCTTCATGAAGCGCGTACTCTTGCTTGGAGAGGCATGCGTATTCCACACACGCTGTATAATAAATTACTTGGCACAAATTGTCCAGCATCTGAACAGGAGGCTGTGAGAGCACATGCTTGGGGGTTGGCCCACCAAATGGCCACCGTGAGACTCAGGCAACTCCAAGATGCGCACCGCAACGATGCACTTCAGAAATGGCGCGCCCGAATGCGCGATCTCCCACAAGCTTGTCAGTGGCTCAGGAAGGAAGAAGCTGCTCCACTGGCTTTCAAAGATGTTGATCATAGTATTTTGACCTCCCCCCCTAAAATTGTCGAAAAACTTAAAGCTTTTTGGACAAACGTTTTTGGTTTTCAGGAATTCGCTGCAGATGTTGACGCTCTCCTTTCGGCTTATCAGGATGACTTCCCTGATCCATTACCCACACCTAATCTTCCGCCCATCACAGGAGAGGACACGCTCAGGGCAGCTCGCCAAATGCACAGAAAAGCAGCTGGCTTGGATGGAATTTGCCCTTCCTGGTTAGCATTGCTGCCGTGCGAGGCACATAGGCGGCTTGCAGAGATGATGGATGCCTTTGAGCAACAGGGGGCGTGGCCGGAAGCCACTTGTTACTGGAAGATCGCAGCCCTGCCAAAGAAAAGGCATGGCACTTTGCCTTCATTGGGTGAAGTCAGACCAATCGCAATCGGCTCAGCCATCTATCGTATTTGGGGCAGAATCAGATTGGGCCATCTGGCTCCCATTCTAGCTCAATATCTGGATCGGAACCAGTCGGGGGGCATCGGCGGAGAGGACGTCTCCTCCCTTCTATTGACTTTGGACATCGATCTTGATCCCACAAAATTTCCGTGCCTCATGGCACTAGATTTTACCAAGGCATTTGACTCTTGCGATTACACTTTGGCTCTGGCCGTCATGTCCCGGCTTGGCCTTCCTGCCCGTGTGGTCAATCTTTTGGGAGCACAATGGCGGCGACAGAAACGTTGGATGTCTTTTGCAGGGGTGTGTGCGCGGCTCCCTATCCAAAATTGTTTGGCATTACCCCAAGGAGATCCCTGGTCTCCCATAGCAATGTCACTGGTTCTCATGCTTGCGAAGCGGCACCAAGAGAGGTTGGTTCCGGAGTCCAGATGCTTGCTGTACCTCGATGATCGCACGCTTGTTGCTCCCACTCCCGGCATCCTGGCCGCAGCTCTTAATGCTTGGAATGTGCTCCATGCCCACACTCGACTCCGCACTAATTCCAGCAAAACCCAAGTGCTGGGGCGAAATTGGAAGGGGTATCTGGCGTTGCAGGCGGCTAATCTGTCGCCGACTGCCACGGCTGAAGTGCTGGGTGTCACCATTGGCATCGCGCCCAGAGCTCAATCCAATGCTGAACTGTCCCGTGCCAAAAAATGCACAACGATTGCACAGCGTATTAGTGTTTTGCCGGTATCCCAAAACTTCCGGGCCGGCCTCGCGGCCCTTACTCTTGCTTCCAAGAGGGTCTGGGGGCTTTTACTTAATGGAAGAACTCCTACCAAGGGGGAATGCAAGGCGCACACTGAGGATTATCGTCTTGCAGTTAAAGGAAAATTTTTGGATGGCATTGCTTCCAGGCATTTGGAAAAAGTCTTGTTGCTTGGGCACTCATCTGACCTCCTTTACCTTTCTTGCCAGCGTCTTTTGAACGCCCTCACTAAGTGGCGTCACCACCATCCGGGGAATTGGTCCCACAAGCCTAGTAATGTGATTTCGGCTTTGAACGGTGCTCTCTCCAAGCTGGACCTTCAGTGCGACAGCTGGGGCCGCTGGTCCTGGAGTGGGGGGTGGTGGGACTCCGCATCCCCACCTGATTTCGCACCTCGCATGGCACATTGTTTTCGGCAGTTTTGGCGTGCACGTGAGGTCAAAGGGTGGCTGGCATCTGACCGCAATGATGCCAAGCTGGCCCGGGCAAACAATTTGGCTATTTCTGATAACCTAATCACTAAGCTTCACCGGGCGGCCACACATCTGTCCGCGCATGAGATTGGAATCATGTCTGGTGCTTTGAAAACTGACGCGAAAGCGTCGTCACCACCTATGTTTTGCCATGAATGTAAGAAACATCAGTGTCCTGACACTTTCCATGTGCTTTGGCAGTGTAGCCACTGGGACCACCTGAGACGTGTCCCTCCCAGCAGATGTCCTTTGGTTAACAGATTAGGCTGGGGTCCTGAAGGGGTCGACCTTGTTCGTGTGAAACAATGCGCGCATATCCGGGAGCAATTGTGCAAAGTCCAAGCCGGACGCAACTACTCCCGTCCCGAGCCTTTTGACATGGGCCAGAACAATTTGGATCCTCACATTGCTCGTGGGGAGGGCGTGACTGCTCTTCCTGTGGTGTAGAGGGTCCGGGTGTGGGCGGCTTAACCCCGGGCCAATTTGGCCGTGCCAGGTTGTCGCCAGAAACCACAAACCACGATGGACAGCATGTTCTACTCCGCCAGGGCCTTCAACCAGCCAATCAATTCCTGGAACACGTCTGCAGTGACCACCATGGACTATATGTTCTTCGACGCCAGGGCCTTCAACCAACCACTCAGTTCCTGGAACGCTTCTGCAGTGACCACCATGGCGGGCATGTTCTACAGGGCTTTTGCCTTCAACCAACCACTCGATTCCTGGAACACGGCTGCAGTGACCACCATGGACAGAATGTTCTTTGAAGCCTGGGAGTTCAACCAGCCACTCGGTTCCTGGAACACGGCTGCAGTGACCACCATGGAGAGCATGTTCTCTGATGCAAAGGCCTTCAATCAACCACTCGGTTCCTGGGACACCTCTGCAGTGACCAACATGAGGAGTATGTTCGAATCGGCGGAGGTCTTCAACCAGCCACTCGATTCCTGGGACACCTCTGCAGTTACCAACATGGAGGGCATGTTCAGCTATACCATGGCCTTCAACCAACCACTTGGTTCCTGGGACACGTCGGCAGTGATTACGATGGATAAAATGTTCTACAGGGCCATGGCCTTCAACCAGCCACTCGGTTCCTGGAACACCTCTGCAGTGACCACCATGGAGAGCATGTTCTGGGGTGCCAAGGCTTTTGCCCAGCCGATTGGTTCATGGAAAACATCCTCCCTGAAACGCTGCCTGACTAGCTTAATGCTGCAAGCTTTTTGACACTAGTGAGTGGCTATGTTTGTCTAGGAAGTTACCAAGCTAGTTGGATATGTTGCTACTGCGGTTTGGAGGGTCACGGCTCAGAACTGTTGAAACTTAACACCGCATCCGCTTTGCAGCCGAGGTCACGATCTGATGCACCACGCGCTCCTCCCACCCTGCCAGCCGGGCAGAGCTCCCGGCCAAAACGCCCTCATGTGCGAGCGGTGTGGAGTGAGGCAATATTCCACCGGCGATTCCTGTCAAGGATGCCCGCCAGGTGGAAAGCTGAGCTTTTGGGTCAACGTGGGACTTTACCATTGTTTCTGGGTAAATCATTGGATGCAGGGAACCTCATTTTTAGAGAAATCCATGCCTTCGTCAAATCCATGTCCTGGTTTTTGCCATGTGACATGATGTTCGAGGAAGGGAAATTTACCAGCCACGTCACATGGTCTTCACGTGCCTGCAGGTTCGGTACCGTCGGAACACCGGGATACGTGTGAAGACTGCCCGGTGCTCCAGTACTCTGTCAGTGGAGCGGACAGCTGTTTGGCATGCGACTTGCCATTGGCCTTGGTGGACAACGAATGTGCTTCTGGGCAACAACACCAAGCGGGCTTGCCCTACAAACGAATTGCTCTATGCAGCGAGTGAAGTCGGTACTAAGTATGTATATATGAAGATATATGCAGCACATTGCACCGGATTTACATATTTAGATATTGGATAGAAAACTAGCTTGATGATGTTTGCAAATGAATTTGCCTCCCAACACGCTGCCCCCGCTGCCTGAGATTTCCCTTCTGAGGTGTGGTGGCACCTGCCCGTTGTGGCGATCACTTTGTCCGCTTTGGCAGTTGCTGTTCATCTACTGTTTCGGTGTCTCCGTTCCAGACGAGAAAAGAAAATCGCCTGTGTCATGGACAAAGTCTACAACGAGTTGTGGGATGCTTGGACTGGAGACAGTTGGAGGCCACAAGTTGTCCCCATGAGCCAAGATCTAACTTTAAGACCTCAACAGTCAAGCCTGCAAGCCTGTTTCGTTTACTTTGCATTAAAGATGAGGAGTGAAATGATTAGGTCGGCAAATAGAGTCTTTTTGGTGCGGGATGTTGACTCTCAGGTATTTCAGATGTTGAAATGTTGATGCAAGGAGTTTTAGATCGTCGTAGTTGACAAAGGCATTTAGAGGATGGCTGCGCCTGTAGCCTGTCATGCGTGATGTCACGTTGTGGGAAGTTGCCCAGGATGAAGAGCCGGCCATGGTGGCCACATACACAGAGAAGTTGGTAAGTCTTGGTCTGCCAAAAGTTCAAATACAACAAAGATTCTGTGAGATCCGCGCTCTGCAGAGCGAAAGAGCCGGCGTTCCTGGGCAGCAAGTGAACCGTGGTTGAATCAAAGGCCATGTCCATGTTCTCGAGTCTGAAAATGCGAAGGTGTAAAGACGGCTTGATCGTTTTGTGCTTTGTTGATTCCGAATGTAATTCCTTGTCGTGCTCATTCTATCTCACTCTCAGGTGAGCATAGGATATCTCCTTTCAGGAGAGTTTACGCAGCTGGCTACAGATCGCAGCAGCAAAGATGAACCAACCTTCATGGCAACTTGGCTGTTTCTCTAGCCTTTGGCCCATCTGGCTCATGCTAAAGCCACAAGCTTTCGGAGTGCACCACATTCTTAGGACCTCAAAACGGCATTCTGGTTGTCAGAGCAACCAATTGGCCGAGACATCATCTGCCCGCGGGATGGGAAGGCAAGGATTTCACATGTTTCCATCGATCAAGAGGAACCAAGGCCAAAGAAGATGCTAAAACCAACTATGAACAGCAATTACCCAAGAACTCAAGATAAACTATTTGGGTAATTGGGTTGACTAATTATTCAGTAAACGCATGGGTTGTTAGATATACCCAATAACACTTTACCACTGAAAATTCTTGGCTTCGTTGGGAGCACAATCCGAAACCTTGGAAGGCAGGATGCGCTTTGGTGGACTGGATCCCACGGGAGCATCGCAGACAACAAACTCACTTTATGAGTTGGACATGGAAATACACCCTGCAGCAGGCGTCTTGCACTGGGCTTGAAATGCTGTAAGCAGGTTCTTGCGAGCCAGTTTCCATGGCTGAGTCAGAGATGTGTCTACTGTCTGAAGAATTTATTGTTGTAGCACAAAAGTGATGAGAAAGGTCTTGTCGAGGCCCATTTTGGGAGTGCGCAAGGGAGGACCATCTTCTTGATTCACCCCAGGTTGTTTCCTCGCTTTGTTGCTTTTCTGCATCTGACTGCTTCGAACTTCTATGCTTTTTTGTATCTCCTCTTTTGGTGTTTGTCTACTTTTTGCTCCTCTACATTCTTGCTTGCAAAGTATGTATAGTCCACGACGTAAATACACTAGATAAACGTAGAGTGGAATGTTTGATGTGGGCCGTGGGGTCTACAGCCTGCACAGGCTAAAGCCACTCAGGTATGTAGCGAACATTGGAATAAATATCATTTTTCTTGGCATTTTCAGATCATCAGCCCGGGTTTGCTGAAAGGACGATTGCATGGCCTGCGCTAGAGTCGATGAGGGGAGTGCAAAAACAGCGCGGAACTGCATTGCAATGCATTGCAAATACGATCTGCATAAGGTATTTGGCTGAAAACACGCACATAGGCATGGTTCCAGCATGTTGCAGATATGTACTGCGCCATGCAGAAAAGGAAGCGCCAAAAACTGCAATCGACACTGTGGTTCCACACCCTTTGGCCACAATTGCCACAAGTCAGTACTGCGAAACTGCGAGAAAAGATACTGTATCACACTTATCCAAAGGGATGGTAGAGTGTGTAGGAAAGCTTTGTGAAATACGGTTGAAAAAAGTGTTCAGAAATAGATAGATGGAAATGTTTGTGACAGAAACAATCAAAGATTGTGGATGTTGTGCAAGTAAACTGAAAGACAATATTGCGAAGAGTTTCTCCAGGTAATTGAGAAACTTGACGGAGTGTTTGGGGATGCACTGCAACAAAGGTACGTGCATTGCTTGTCATTTCTGGTTCACCACAGCAACGATTTATTCGTGACGTCAACTTGCATTCGGGTTGGTTGGTGGTTGACATGTCTTCCATTTTGCCGTTTGTTTCAAACCTCAGAGTTTCCAAAGCAGACACATACGCATCGAAGTAACCTGCCTTCACACACTCAGAAAGGGAGATTGATTGCTGCAGGTGCAAAGCGCGTTGCAGATGTTTGGAGACGGTTTGGTGGGGCCTTGCTATTTCTACGTTTGCTTCTTCGTCAACAACCAATTCCGTATCCTTTTGGAGCAGACTGCCGCGGGCAGCGACAATCTCGAAGCGGTTTTCGAAGACAACTTGAAGCGAATAGGCAAAATGGTGGCCATTTTGGATACATGGGAGCGACCTGTGTACCTGACTCGCATCTGGACGGTCTTCGAACAGTTTGTGGCCTCCACGATTCAGATCGAGGCCAGGAACTCCCAAAGGCAAATTGGGACGATCTCACTCTGCTGGCCCCACCGCTCTCTCATGTTTTCAAGCCATGCTCAAGTCATCAGATTTCCGGTTGAAGCTCCAAATGGCTTTGTCTCAAAGTATTGTACCCCTAAAGTCAAATGGTTCATCATCATTCATCATCGTTTTTCTATTAACACGGCCATTTTCGGGTATCCCCCATTTTTGGACAGGTCCAAATTCCCGTGTTTCTCCCGATCGAAGGTCCAGTTCGTCATGCCGAAGGCCACAGCGAAGCAGTTGCAGGGTGAGATCGCATCGGGTTCTGAAGGCATTGACAGAGTGATCGACGCGCTGAGCCAGGTGAGGGTGCAGCAGCTAACGGATGGGACTCTGGATCTATCATGAGATATCTACAGCTCGATGTCTTTCCAAACTAACCTACAACTAGGGGGCCACTTGTTTTCCGAGCTTTCCCAAGAGAAACAGAATCCATTTTGATGCCTTGAGCCTCAGGTGGATTCAGCAAGAGCAGAAGCATGGAAGTTGGAGGATGAGGTCAAAGTGAAACTCAGAAAAGATCAGAATAACTTTTCCCTTATGATTTTGCATAGGTGGGTATACAGTCTGGTTGGCAACTTTTTTTGGGACTTGATTTGTTTGGATGCTCGCTTTCTTTTACGGAACCATTTGGGACACGTAAGGAAATCTATGATCCAGGAGCTCAGCTTGTTTGCAAGTTGACATGAGATCTATATTCCACAGGCACTGAATGCAAGCCCCCTATATGCTATTCTATAAATTCTGAGATTTGCCCCAAGTTTTCCAGTCCGAAAGGTGTTTTCATGTCTATCCATGTCTGAAAATTCTAAAGATCCTGGCAAATCTTGCGTTTTGCGATCCGCAGCAAGCAATGTTGCAGTAAGACTCCCACCTGAGCTTGAAGTGGCTTGGGAGGACACTGTCGGTTTCCAGCATGTTGACGCTCACGTGACGGATGTCATGACCACGTGGATTGGCAAAGTCGTTGAACAGACATGCCGAGAGTTGCTGGCCTCAAATCATAATCATTGATAATCATTGATAATCATTGATAATCATTGATAATCATTGACTTTGTGTGTTGGATTGGGTGGAAGTCCGCAAGTTAACTTTGGGAAGGGAGATTCCATAGCATTTGTAGCAGTTGCTATCTCCATGAACTGCCCTACCGAGGTTGCTGAACAAAGCACGTGCGAAGAAAGCCTTGGCGAGCAGCGATGGCGGCAATGGCCAGGCACGCCATACGAAGACCACCGTACAAAGAGGGCGTAAGGTCTCTAGAGTCTAGAAGGGTTCGGGGTTGGGACTGGATTGCACCAGCAGTACCTGAATCAACAGGTGTGCGGTGTGCGATTTTTCATACGCTTTCCGTTTCGCTTGTTTCACTTTGCCATCCAAGAAATCGACCGAATGGCTTCTGAGGCGGACTGCAACGACATCAACTGCGAGGGACCGCTTTTCCGCGCCACATTTTGATGTCCGTGAACCACTTGCGGGCTTTGCCAGGCCCGGATTTGAGTGCCACACACGTTCGAAGAGTGCGAGGTTGACAACTGCATCCTTGAAAGCACTCCCGTCCTGTGAAGTTGTGAAGCACCATTTTTCTTTGAAGAAGTACAGTAGCTCACACCAACACTCCCGCCCTCCAGCTCGTTTGCAGGTTATTTTATCGGCGTGGCACGCTGCCACGCTGGAAATTCGTTAGGGCATCCACAGCGATGCTCATCGTTGCTTTTTTTCCTCGCGTTGGATCGATTCCATAGTTTTGCAAGTTCTATCATATCCTTGACTTGGAACTGGCTGATCCAAATTTTCGGCGAGTTGCATAGCACCCAGAAGTGGTGGCACAGCCAGCAGGATCACCGCTACTCGATACCTGTTGGCACTGATGGAATCATGATGGCTTCGGCTAAAAGGGAGCTCACCACTATCAATCAGGGTCCATTCTGCTGGAAAACTGATGGGAGTTCCTATGTCCCTATGTTTGAGACCTATCTACCATTACTTTTTGGAACCTCAGACTTGAACTGGGGCTCAGGCTGAAGATCTGCAAAACTGGGGGCCCAACAGTGTGTGGAAAACATCAGATTTATCATGATTTATTTGTATGTTTTTCCATATTTTTGGTGATTCTTCGGTGGGTTCTCTTAGAGGTCAAACCTGGTGAAACCTTGAATCAGGTGTGCTGGTGCAACGGTTTCCAGTGGATCTTTACAGCCTTGCAAGGGAGCATCTTGGCACGTCAGGGAGATAGTGGTCAGGTTCAGGTGGATTGACAAGACCTGACAGGCAATTTGCGATGGGAACTTCTTGGGACGATGGCAATTTGTGATGCCCGAGTTGGGAGGAGAGGTCAACCAAGGCTTTGCTTCCTTGACTTGAGGCCATTTGGGATGACTGAAGACTGCGAGTGACGAGACATCAGTCTGCACGATGTCAGAAATACCGTTGAATTTGATGGAAGTTGCAAGTGGTTTCTACGTACACGCGAGGGCGTGGATGACTTTACATCCTGATAAAAATGGAAGCAGTGAAGCCGAAGCTTTGGGCTGACGGGTCGGCAGCTGTGGTTGTGTCAGTTCAAGACGGGTTGCAGCATTCGGATTCATTCTCTCGTATTTTGAAACAGCTATATAGATGTTGTATGTTTTCGTAGTGAGGGATGAATTGTCAAGTGGATTGTCAGTTCGAACACAAGCATTGTCGCCTCTTGTCAAGACACCTGCAACGGACCATGCTTTAAGACACGCACCATCTGTTGCACATTCCGCTGCTTTCATCAAGGGACTGTAGGGAAAGGGTGACAGCCGGGTCGCTTCCTTGGACATTTTTCTGTGCTCTTTGAACGGCACAACCGTAACAGACCCCGAAATTTCCAATGGCACCTGCGCATTCCGGGCCGCTTCCTCAGCCTGGAAGTTGCAACATCAGCGAAGATGGTGACCACTCTCCGAGATGGAATTGTTGTTGGCTTTTGATCCTGCGGTGTGAGCAGTTTTCGCTCGTTGTTTGGTCTATGGGAGAGCCAATGAAGCTCCTTTGAATTGTTGCAGGTTGCAGAGGGCTACGAAGGTGAACGGGCAAAATCTGCCGACCCTTCTTGAGAGACTTGGCGCCAGTCTGTGACAGGGACTTTTCCTTTGATCATGATCTAGAAGCTAGAAAAAATGAAATAAACATAACTTAACATAATTCTGCAACATAACGGGACATAGCAACTATATAAAGACAGAACATGGGTTAACCCGTGAACCTTTCTTATTCCAAGACATGGATTCTGACACAACATCAGTCGTCAACTGGCGAACATGATATCTTCCTGCATCACCTCTTCAGTGCCAAGTTACGTAGTTTTCGTTCCGGTTTCAGAGTTTCAGACTATGAATTTGAATAGATCCCCCATACTGCAGTGGCTTTGAAATGTTTCGGAGATTTATGGGAACTGTGTGATCCTGGCACCAAGGAGTCGAATGGCATTCCGAGGCAGGGATGAAGTCTTGGAGTCAGTGGATGCTTCAGCCGATTTCCAGCATAGACTTTACAAGTGGCCGTGCCCGAGATGGAGTTGGAGTGTCTATGATCGCGCCAGGCACTCCACAGCGCAAGGTGGAGAAACAAATGATGAATGTCAAAATCGACAAAGTGGTGGCCCCAGGGCTGAACTTGTGCTGTTCGTATCACTGGTAGTGCCAGTTCAGAAGCGCACGGGCCGACGCGTGCCGGCAATGACCAAAGAACTCTGTGCCAGTGGCACCACCTAGGCCATGGGAATCTTGGGCACAGCCCTGCACTTGGTGGGTCATCAGTTCGACAGGATTCGACAACATCCAGTTGGGTACAGAAAGTACCCCAAGGCGCAACAGGTTGGGATCCGATCATATTTTTTGCAAGGGATGATCATGAAACCAAGTTCTTCGGCAGATTTCCAAAAGGATCCGAAAGTCCAATCCCATCCAGATCCCATCCAGATCCATCTTGAACCCCGCATCCAGTGTCTCCCACATCTCCAAGGACAGCCACCGCTTGCACCCCTTCTGCGCAGCAATCTCAGTCTGCCCATCACGCGGTGTTCTCATGTTTTCCCGCGGTCAAGCTGCGGTTTCGCACCCATCATGCTGCGGTCCTTGAGGTCAGTGCCTACTACGCAGGCCGGTGGTGGTGGTTTGGGACGCCCGGTGGATCTCGTGGCTCCTGGTGGTGCGTTGCAACACGCCAGGTGAGGCGCCGGAGGTCGTGGAAGCGCGGAAGACTTGGTTCGTCCCCGGTGCCCGAAGTGCCATCCCAGGTCACGAGGAGGGCCTTGTGCGGAATTGTGCAGGTCATGGAAGTTCCATGGAAGTTCCATGGAAGTTCCATGGAAGTTCCATGGAAGTTCCAGGGGTTTGGGTCATGGATCAACCCCAAAATAGCTGGTGGTATGGTAAGTTAACGTAAGTTATGGATCTTAATTTCTTAATGTTCCAAGATATAAGATGATATCAGCTCTTACAATAGGTTTTGGCCCATTGCCATGATAAGGTAAAAGAATCCTCTAGAATCCCCTAGGGTTGGTGGCTGTAGTTTTTGGGCGAAAGCGACATGGCTGCAGGGACCTGTGATCTCAATGGTTCTGATCTGTTGTCAAAGTTTGATTTGGGATTTTGGTGAACCCTGATTTTTCGAGCTTGGGCAATCAACGAAAGGAACGCCAAAACAGAATGGGAACCGGCAACATGTCTTCTTTTGGTGTGTTTTGAGATTCATGTCGGGTGCGGAGCCGCCATGCCGATGGCAGGACTGTTATTTCTTTAAGACCATCGAAATTCCCTATGACAAGAGGTGCTCTTCCATGACCAACAGATCCGAAGGAATCGCCGTACCACATAGCTTTGCAGATGTATATAGATATTTAGGGATGCTCAGGAGAGTAAAGAGGTTTCCGTAGGATCGAAGTCTAGCCGAAGTGCGTATTGGCTAGCGTTGGTCACGTTTGTGTGATATTGTTGTTATAAACGCATTCCAAGCATGCATGTTTGATCATATTTGCACGTTTCTGTCGGACAAACTCTCAAAAGTTCGCCGTGCCAGACAGCAACTCTTGGTGGTGGATATCTTCGAGTGTGAGCCAACACCGAAGATGGATATCCCCGATGATCTCATCGGAAGGCCGGGGCAAGACCCGATCTGTGTCACCGGTGTTTGGCAGACATTTTGGAGATGCTCTGATGAGTTGTACAGATATGTAATATAATGTAATATATATATATGATATATGATACATACCTCAATCAAGGTCTCTGATTCTGTCGTACACTGGGGATCCAAGATCCATGTTTCAGTTGCGATCGTCCTGATTGGCTTTTTGATGTCAGCAAAAAGTAGAACAGATTTTCTTCGAATAAGAGGAACCAAAAACATGAACACACGGAACGAGATGATGCAATAATAATGGTGGTGCCTTGGACGCCAGGGCCACCATACCACTGGCAGATCCACGACTGGAACAGCCAGCGGAGTGGCCATTGGCACGTGGCCCCTGGGAGTTCGTGGGCTCGTCAGCGCCTTAGAAAACCAAAGCTTCGGCGGTTTCGATTTGGTGAATCGGTGCACGTTTCTGCATGTTCCCGTTCCTTTCCGTTACGTTGGAAGGGGGACCGTCACTGGCAGTGTAAGTTTGAGTCTGTTTGATTCGTGTGTTGCTCTTGACGTCCAAACGCCAAAGTGAACACATGCATACACATGCTGTCATTTGCTTCCCATTAGGGTCACTGTGAGCGTGGAATTTCCAGCTCCAGAGGCACGCTGCGCAGATGCACTGTGCTTCTATCATCTTGAAAGCGCAGTCACTAAATTGCAGTCACTCAAAATCGTGCACCTGGGATTGAGAACCTGATGGGATTTTTTGGAGCTCCATGTTCTATGATGTTCTATGATTTGATAGCTAGTCGCAATGCAATCGCTCAAAGCTGTGGCCGAACCCATGAAACCTGCCCTAGGACAAAGTCTGGCCCCTGCCAGACATCAGGGACTTTCCTGAACCGGTCTCCCCGCGTCACTGGGCTCAATAGTTGAATTCGAGGCTGTCAGGAGGCTGAAGCGCTCCGATATCTTGAAATTGTTGAATGGCAAGGGATGTGTAGGATTGTGTAGTTATATGATATATGATATGCCTTTGTAGCTTGTGCATGCTTGTGCAATGTGGTTTGACATTTAGCATAGCGCCATAGAAATGTAGGGTAGTGGGGCAGGTCTACTGACTTCCGCAATCGACCGCCACATTTCCTTTGAGTTGGGAAAGGTATGAAAGGTGCTTGCGCTTTGAGCCTGGATGAGCTTGGAATTTTCTGGCACTCAACCGTTTTTTGAGTCCTGGATTGGGTTATATGAGTTATATCGCATGAAGCTACACTTCCTTGCCCATTTTTGCTACCATCCATTCTGTAGCCAGTCAGGTAGGCTTTGCAGGTCGCAGTGCTGTTGCTGAGGCGACTTCGCCAGATCCAAAGACAAAGGTCTCCTCTGCAGGGTTTGGACGGCTTTGGCGTTGACACCATTCAGCAAGTTACTCTTTATACGGATTTACATATGGATTTATAATGATTTATACGTATACTAAGATCCAGAAGTCTTTCGGTGTTTCAAAAGCACGACCAAGAGAGATTTTGAACCATTTTGGACAACAGCCCCAGTACATCCCACCTGAACCGCAGTTTTTCCAAAGAATGAGGTGTTCCGTGAGTTTTTTGCATTTTGCACACCTTCGCCTTTGCTTGTGCCCGAAGGTGGAATTAATATGTCGCCGTTTGACCAACCTCGAACGGTTTCCACTTTGAAATCGAGTGGAGGAGGTGGGAGACGAAAACAGAGCAGGGATAATTGTTATAACATGCCTACTTACACCCAAAAATCTTGCGTGCATCCACAACTACAGCTCCTTACATACACACATTCAGGTAGAAATCCATGGGTCCATACATCAAGACATGCACTCGCATCCAAAAATATATACATGAAGATACGCATGCAGACAAACCATTACACTCATTTTCATTGAGTGTCTGACCTTGTATCATAACTTCGGGGGTTATCTCAATCTGCCTGTGCCTGAAGGTGGTATTGATATGTCACCGTTTGACCAACCACGGTCACGATCAAATTCGAAGTCAAGTAGCGGTGGGAGACTAAGTTGGACATTCCAAACTTGGCATTTTAGGATGGGATAGAGGATAATGTGGTTGGAATCGAGGCTACCCGATTTTCAGACAGACTGGATGTTGATTGTGATGTATTGTGATTTTGATCGAAAAGACTGGCATGTCATGACTCACCATGAGATGAACCCTCCTTCAAGAAATCAAGAAAGTAAAGCGGCACTCATAGGAATGACTTTCGTGTTGGTGTTTCTAGGGGAGAGAGAGAAAGAGAATTTGGATATGACAGTCAGCAAGAATATGCTAACAGCTGCTAAGGGGTTGTCCCAAAATGGAGGACCACAAAATCTTACTTTGGATTTTCCTATGAAAAAAGCAATTTCTTGGGAGTGCTTAATGGGGGTGGGGGACAAGCCCAGAGATGGCCACGGTATGCCACGGTTATATAGATCAAAACCTTCACAGTCCCTTCTTCCAAGCTGTTCACGGGAAAGCGCGCCAGCTATGTGGTTTCAAAAGACAGCTGTCAAAACCTATGAGCAAAATGCTCGCATTACATTCTGCAACATGGGCTTCCAAGTTTTGTAGGCAGGGATTCGGATTCAACCCGAGCTTCCGAGGCAGTTCCCCCACTCCGGTGTGGGTCCCGGTGCTGAACGGCCCTGGCGGCCCCTTGGTCGAACTGAGAATTTTGCAGCTGACTTGTTCAACTGAGAGCTGCATGGCGTTGCCTAAACGGCCTAAACCAAGGTTTCGGGTTGAACCCGAAGGTCGACAACATTTGGACCTTTGACTCTGGCTGTGGAGGTGTGGCAACTCCTACGTGCCAGTGAAGTTGGGGTGTGTGCCTTCGGGTCTTTGCAGGTGATTACTGCTTTCGGAGGAATGATTGCGCACCAAGTATCAGAGACCTAGCCAACAAGATCTCTTGCTGTTGCACTGCAGCTCTCATCCGACTATATCATACATATAAATCTTCAGGAAAACTTTGGAAGTGCGCAACAGCAACCCAGCAGAACGGAAAGGACATCATCTTTAATCATTTAAATGGACAAATGAGGACAACTTGATTTGTTGTGTTCCCAAATGATTCACGAGGTTGACATCGTTCTGTGCCTGGCCAGGTCCTGTGAAAGGTGGGACAATGAGCCCCCTGCCCAGTTTCTCGCCCGAGTGGTTCACAGCGAAATTGCCGCCGGGAACCCCTGCGCCCCGCCCGCTGCCGCCATCGGCCTTCCAGCCTCCTCCAGTACCACCCGGGCTGATGGCCCAGATTCCCGTCCTCGCGACGGTGCCGCCCGCGGTTGCCGCAATGGTCGTCGAGGCCCTCCGGGCACCGCCTCTCACCACGGCCACGATGCCGGCACCACCTGCGTCGGTGCTGCAAGCAGGGCCCTTGCCCTACTTGCCCTCAACTGCTCCGCTGTATTATGGAGGCTATCCCTGGGGATTCATGGTCAGAGGTGAAGTGGTCAGGTCCCTTTTGTACGTGCGTGTGAGCAGTAGGACTAATCTATGATAGCTTTGACAACTGCTCAGTGATGTGGAGATATGTGGAGCATCATTGCACAAAACTACCAGTAACCTTTGATTTGTGAGAAGAGCCTCAGACAAAGGATGGTAGCCGGAAGCCGTGTAGACATGGTGGCAAGCTGACATCCATTGCCAGTGACAGGTGGTCCGAATCTGTCGGGATTTGTTCCCCCAACAGCGTGGAACCTGGCGCTTGATTTGTCAACGTTTGGAACCGAAATGATCAAACATGTCACTTGTCACCACACAGCGTCCATGAAATTTCAGGAAGAATATAGAGACAGATGTCATTTGTCCTTGTTTCAAAGATATAGAGCATTTCATCTATTCTCAGATTGACTCAGTCAAGTTAAGGTCTTCCATGCTCCAGTGGCACGCGGCAGAAACATGTGCTGTGTGGCCCACTGAGCAAGGTGGGAGAAAGCCTAAAATGCCTAAAGGAGTGGTCATACACTGTGGTGAAGGGTGAAAACAAGTCTACCTATCGTTTGCTGATACTTGGCACAGTCCTTTTCTTTTCAAGTGGTTGGTGTCACCAACTTCTGGGAAACGCCATGACTGGCTGTTGCTTGTTTCCTCTTTGTGGCACTCAGTCACTCATTGAATGGGTCCTCTCTTCCAAAGTGTGTCGGTCAATTTTGTCTTTGTTCGTATGTTGACCTCTTACAATTTTTCCGCAGTTGTGCTATCTGTCTCTCTCCGTGTCCGTGTCTCATATTGTGGTGGGAAGCTTTTGGTAATTATGACATGTTGACATCCTCCCCACTGAAAGGCACTCCTGTGCAACTCCCGACGAAATGCAGGGAACCTAGTACTCAGGTACGGAAAGTATCCTTGCCATTCCTTGACTAGAAAAAGTCCCGATGTAGGAAACCTATCAGGAACATCATTGGTACCACTGCCGCATCAAGTTCCTGTAATGAGGGATGCTAACACACAAACACACCTTCATGTTGGGATCAAGTTTCTGCTTAATTGCGCAAATTGAGCAACCATAATCATTAACACAGAAGGACTTTGTCTCTCGTTGTTTGAAACATCATTGCATCTAGCCATTCATAGGGCCCAAGCGATCTCAATCAACCTGAGGTGCGAAATGCTCCGCCCACGGTAGAAACATGTACCGTGTGGCTCCACTGCCACAGACTGCGCGCCGGAAAACATGCGATGAAACTTGGATGGGTGATCTTGGCAGGTAACTTTAGCAAGTGGTGCTGGTTGTTACAAGCTGGCGCCACCTTAGCAATGTTTGTTCCTTTCTAACTACCAAGATATAACTATAAACATGTGTGGTGTCGGTCAAGATTTGTCTACCAGTTGTCAGGGGTGCTCTAACTAATTTTGCCTCTGTATCTACGTACGATTCCCCCTGCTTGTATTTGGGGTGTTGGCAGCAGCCTTATTATCGTTGCATCATGGTTTTGCAGCAATCTCCACTTCTAGTATTCACATTTCATGGATAGTGCATGGTGAACGTCCAAAACAGCAGGCAAACAGCTGATCATGTCACCAAACATGGTAACACGTATTAAACCAAATTGAGAACAGATTAAAATATGTTTCCAAGTTTCCTTTGTGATTCGACATGGTACTTGTAGGGATTGTGAAATGCTTCAGCGTGGCATCACTGAGAGGCACAGTTGTTTCAAGGTACTTGCCCTGGACCGTGCTGTGAGAAACTTATGTAAGTTCTTGCATCTTCCGCTGCCTTCATCAAGAGAGTGAAAAGTGGACGACTTGGTCCTCTCGCGGCGTATTTCCCGTGCTATTTGAACAGCACAAGCGCAGTGATTTCCCATGGCACCCGCGCAGTCCGGGCCAGGGCCTCAGAGTCAGAGAGGCAGCCTTTGATCCTGGTACCCGTGATTCGTTGCAGGTTATGCAGGGCGACCAGGGTCAACGGGCAACTGCCCACACTTCTGGGGAAACTTGGCGCTAGAGATGGAGTGTTGTTGGTGCAGGGCATTTTTTCTGGGGATGGTGGAAGTAGTTAGGGGTACATGTTCTGGAGACACTCCTTCCTTTCCCCAACAAATCACAAGACACATCAAGACACTCTTTGCAAAGAGGAATTGTTTTCTCGGCCGGATCAACTTTCCAATTCCCAAACGCAGTTTTTATTTATTTAAACTTGTAGGTTTTCGGTCGCAGTTGCTTTAGTGATTGGGACGTGTTCTTTTTGTTCGCAAATTTGTGGCTCCGTGGGCGTGTTGAATCATGCTGGGTCTTTGTGTTTGATGTTGAAAGTGATCGATGCATTCTTTGTATGTTTTGGGGATCACAAACCATCTAATTCCGAGACACAGAGGTTCTTGAAAACCTTTGAGTGTGGCCGGGTATTGATTGACTTATGTGGCTGGGTGGGAGAAACCTCTTTTGTTTGCATATGTTTGCATTTTTATTCACTTTGCTGGCATGTTGGATCACGTTGGATAGTGATCCCTGATGTTTTTATCCTGCGGATAGTCTAGAACGTAATCGCGGCAAGTTTCCCTTCCTCTGTGAAAGTGTTTGTTCCACGCTCAGGAATCCTGGAGTCAAATTCCCAGGCGTCAGGGGGGATGGTTCGGAGACCCATAAGGTGGATTTCCCTTGAAAGTCATACAAGATAGGGATGGTCATTCAGTCATTCATTAGGATATATAATGTATCAATTCTGCTTGAATCTCCACTATGGATGACCAATGATGATCAATGATGATCAATGATGATCAATGATGCATGACCATACCCTCCTACACCATGTTTTGACCATGGTGCAAATGTCACCAACAACTTGGTAGGTCAGGACGTAGCAAGAGGTCACATTCTATCGCATGTCACGACCAAATCCTGATGGTTGCCGGGAGGCCTTGCTTCTTCCAATCTCCCAGAGAAAGTCAGCGCAACGAAAGGCGGAACTGGCGCGGTTTGGTCTATGAGAACTGGCAGTAATTAGCGCGAGCGAATTGCTGACCAGTGCCAATCGAGGGATGGAACTTGAACTGAAATGAATGCAAAACTTGAAAATGAAAGAGACACCGAAACATACTGTAGATTGGCTGGCCTTACCAACTCAATGCCTGCAACGCTGACAGCTGAAATGGTTTCCGATCGTGGTAGGCCCATTGCGAGCTTCCGAGCGAAAGTACTTGGAAGTCCGAGTGGACAAAGTGAGAGCCCCAATGTGAGTGTGTCTGAAATTATGATATCCCAAATCCATGGGTTAATCATCTTTATTTCTTTATCAAAGGCACCATTTTGGGGGTATATTCCATTTTCAGACTGTTAGACCCATCTATGAAACTGTTCCAATCATTCCATTTTGTGTCAGTGAAGCACCTAGCAGTTTCATCTGAGGCGAACGAGATCCTGGGCATGGCGGGGCTCCCCAAGGCTGAGGGCTGTCAGTTGGAATCCATAAAGGCGATTGGATCTTGCAACGACCAGGACATGTAGTATACGGGGCTGTTTTTGACCCCCTTTGTTTTTGCCTTTGCATTTCTATCATTTCTCCAGAATTCAACGGAGCTTGTTAGGAATGATTGAGTGCCGCAAACAGTGAAATGTTGCACCGTTTTGACATGTTTGGACAATGGTTTCAGCATGTGTATTACAGCAAATTCCAACAATATCACTGCGTCCAGAGTGCAACATGCTGTCAATATCTGTCGATACCATTGAATGATATTGAATGACTACCACAGTTGCTCTGGGAATTGAGGGTTCGTTGTTAGTCTATTTCGCTTTTTGCCCTCCATTGTTTGGGGATAATGCACAGATAACCAGCGGCAAACATGTTCCAACTGCTCCCAAGGACAACTTCCGGCTGCACCCTTTCTGCGTCAGAAGCTGAAGAGCTGCGCTTCTCAAATTGAAAGTGTTCTCTCTTATGGGGGTTTCTTTAAGTGGAACCCCAAGTCACCATGGGTTTCAATATGTTTCAATACTAAAATGGTCCATGACTTGGATGATTTGGGGGTACCCCCGTGACTTGATACATCTTGATACTATCCACTTGCAACCGTCGAGGTGAGTGCCTATTACCCAGGCCATGGCTGCCGTTGCTCAATGTTGCCCAGAGCGGAAACGGACCATGTGTTGCGGCCAGGAGAAGCCCAAGAGGTCATTGAAGCGAGGAAAACTTCCTTTGTTCCTGGGAAAAAGAGTGCACCTGGGTCGCGCCGTGAGGACAGGGCCGGCTCTGAAGTCTGTCATGAGTTGGTTGCATGTTGGAAGCTAGTTTTGGATATAGTCTTGGCTTTATGTACAGGAATTCCTCTCAGGTGTGGACGGAAAATGGAGTCACCTATGACTTGCAATCTCCAAGTATTCTAAGCGATCATCCGAAGTGCAAACTTGGGCATTGGAACATTTGGGAACAATTAAGATAAACCAATTCCAGACATTCGCGGCAAAATGTTCTCTTCCACTGGTTTCCAGATTCCTCTCTGGGGCTGAGCAGCCACCGTGCTGGCAGGATTGTTTCTTTTTCGAAACGATCCGGATTCCGTTCAACCCAAGGCCTCTAAGCGGGGTTTCCAAAAGCCATTGTCCACAGGGAGGTTGGGATACCCTGTTGGTTGTTCTGCCAGGCAGCAGCTGTTGCATGTGGACATCTTCGAAGTACAAGTGCCACTGCAGATGGAGTTTGAAGATGAGTGGGTTGGAAGGCCCTTTGTGTTGGGCACTGTGCTGTGGGTAGCTGCCAGCAACAATGATGGGAGATGCTGATCAGTTTGATTTTCAATTGCCTTTTCATGCTCGGCCAAACTCACTTGCTGTGGTGTAATAGCAGGTCTCAGGCCGATTCAGACCCCCTTGGGCCAGTAAGCTTTTTGCTGGATTCGGTCCGGCTCAACCAAACATGTGTGCAATTTCAAGGATGATGATCATGATCATGCTGCTGCTGCTGATGATGATGATGATGATGAGGATGATTAAGACCCATGGAAGTGGTGGCCGCAGGGCGACCCTGCAGCTGGCCGATCCCAGAGTGGAAGAGCCAGCAGAATATGAGCTGACCCGCGGCCCTTTTGAGTACGGGGGCACGTCAGCGCCTCACGGAACCAATTGCTTTGTGAATCTTTGTGTCAGCGTGAGACTGGGTTCATGTCGTACAGAGCAAGGTTCTGAAAGATTTCGTGTCCAGATCTTCCGTGTTCCCTTGTGTCCAAAACCAGCAGATGCCAGTCAGAGTGCAGAAACACTAGATAACAAAAGTGTTTCCATGGATTCCATGGGTTCATTTTGGTCATTTTGGATCTTGGGTCACTAAGGGTGACGGTGAGTGTCAAATTTCCGGATCCGGAGGCACGCTTTGCTGCAGTGCTCTTCTGTCCAAATGTGCAGATAGTGAACAGTAGTCAGGATATGAGTAGTAGGTAAGGAATTGTCAATGGAAATCCTGCAGTGATTGAAACATCCAATGTAAATTGCATCTCCCTTTCCATGTGTGAAGACAGAATCAAGGCAGGGACTCAAGGATGCTCAGTTGGCCATGGCCAAAGTCGAAGCTCAGGTTGAAGCTCACCCACTACCCGACGTACGAGACTTCCCAAAGCCAGTCTCCCCACGTTACTCAGCTCGTTGATTTTTGTGCGAGTCACTGTTCAGTTTGAATCCTTTCGCAAGCTGAAGCACACAACATGCCGAAGATGAAGATTTGTTCAACGTTTTCGAAACATTTTGTATGTATTAGCATCTGTAGCTTGTGCGCAGCACCAGACAGGATGGATTTTTGGCACTTCCGGTTTTACGCAGACTTGTTGGAGACACACTACTTTCATGCTCTCTTTGAGAACTTGCCATGTTTTTTTTGATCACAGGACATGTAGAGGAGATGAATGGGGCATGCTACCCATGTCCCTGCATCTTCATGCACTGACTGCTTGCAGTCAATTCGATTTCGATCTATGGACCATTCAATATATTATATATTGAATAATAATGAATAACATTGAATGCCAATACGATAGATCCTGGTTGAACAGCACAGCGTCCTCTGTCGGAGCTATCGCATGATCCTACAGTACATGTAGGCCTGAGTTTCACCATTCCCATTTCTCCGTTTGCACCATTCAACATACTCTTGTTGATTAGTTATGGTATGTATTGATATCTTATAGTCATCATAGGAATTACTACATGGTTGATTATAGTTATTAGTTGTTATAAGTTGTTAGAATAATAGTTGATTTTGAATGGCTCATTTACACCTCGGCCGTTGCCTTCTCAGGTGAATATGCCAACTCCAAAACGATGGGCACAGACGCAGGTCTCCTTGCAAAGTTTGGCCACACCATGCGGCAAGTTGTTGGACCGTTGGGCCGTGGGGCCGTTGGGCCGTTGGGCCGTTGGGGGACACAAGCTGAACAGACAGCGTTTCTGAGAGTTCGTTAGGAACATGATGTCATGATTTTATATGATTTAATAGCATGACCCTGGATGACTCCTTTTGGCGAAGGTGGGATCGACATGAGCCCTTTCGATATACCGCGCAAAGGGTCCGGGTCGAGCTCAAATTCAACTGGCCAAGGTGAGAAACAGAGTGAGACAGAGCGAGAGAACGTGATTTTATGATGTTTTGAAGACAGTGTGCTTGACTTGTGCCTTCATGCCATTCATGCAGGATAGTTTAAAAACTTGAGAGTTCTTGGACCCTTTGTTTTGTAGTTTCCATACTTCCTATTCAGTTTATTCATCTACGGACAGACATCCCTGTGCAATAAGTGAACACTTCGCGCCTTCAGACGTGCACCTAAAATCTAGACGTCCACGGCAGATCTCAAGATTCAACCCCCGCCTCTGCGTCCAGCAAGGCAAATCACCGCAGCCCGTTTGGGTGCCGGAGATCAAGGGTCCTGGCGGCTCCGGTCCCTCGGCTCAGCTGCGCAACTCGCCCAAGCTGTGTCCCTCCATGTTTCAAATGACGAGGCTTTAGCCTCGATCCGAAGATCGATAACATTTGGAAGTTCAACACAGGTTCAGTGGGTGGGTGATAACTTCTCATGATAAGTACAACTTAAAAAGCTTTGAAAGATTGAAATTGACGTGAGCCACGATGAATTGAAATTGTGCTTCCAGGTTGAGATGAGTGCTCGACATCCAAAGAGCACAGAATGCTCAAACATGATTCTTGTTGGTTTGGTAATCCCCTTCCGGGACCTCAAGATTCTCAAACTAAGCAAGATTTTGTAATTCTGGCTACGATGGTCCGATGGTATACCGGAAATCGTATTGAATCGCAAGTCAAGGTCCTGAAATCAATCTACCCGAAGCAGAGTTTTATTGAAAACAAAGGATACCAGCAATGGGTTTTGCATGGTTTTGCCTGTTGGCTGAATATGCACCGCTGATTTTCTAGATCCTTTCAGGAATACCAGAATAGCCCTGAACTGCAGATCCTGCTGCCGGCAGACGGAAACAGACAAGAATCGTGTGACTGGACAAACACTGGCACATTCACGCCATATTATGGGTTGCAAGTGTGTTCCCAAACGCAAGGTTGCTTTTCATGTTTTTTTAAACTCTGGCCAGGTCCTGTGAAAGGTGGGACAATGAGCCCCCTTCCCAGCTTCCCTCCACAGTGGTTCACGGCGAAGTTGCCACCCGGAACGCCACACCCGCGTCCACTGCCGCCATCGGCCTTCCAGCCTCCCCCAGTGCCGCCCGAGCTGATGGCCCAGATTCCCGTCCTCGCGACGGTGCCGCCCGCCGTTGCTGCAATGGTCGTGCAGGCCCTGCGGGCGCCGCCTCTGACCACGGCCACGATGCCGGCGCCTCCTGCGTCGGTGCTGCTTGCAGGGCCCTTGCCCTACTTGCCCTCAATTGCTCCTCCGTACTGTGGAGGCTATCCCCGGGGATTCATGGTCAGAGGTGAAGTGCCAGGTCCCTTTCGTACGTGCGTGTGAGCAGTAGGACTAATCTACGATAGCTTTGACAACTGCTCAGTGATGTGGAGCATCATTTCACAAAGCTACCAGTAGCTACCAGTAACCTTTGATTTGTGAGAAGGGAGCCTCAGACAAAGGATGGTAGCCGGAAGCCGTGTAGACATGGCAAGTTGACATCTGCCAGTGACAGGTCCGAATCTGTCGGGATTTGTTCCCCCAACAGCGTGGAACCTGGCGCTTGATGTGTCAACGTTTGGAACCAACATTATCAAACATGTCGCTTGTCACCACACAGCGTGAAATTTCAGGAAGAATATAGAGACAGATGTCATTTGTCCTTGTTTCAAAGATATAGAGCATTTCATCCATTCTCAGATTGACTCAGTCAAGTTGAGGTCTTCCCTGCTCCAGTGGCACGTGGCAGAAACATGTGCTGTGTGGCCCACTGAGCAAGGTGGGAGAAGAGCCTAAAGTGCCTAAAAGAGTGGTCATACACCGTGGTGAAGAGTGAAAACAAGTCTACCTATCGTTTGCTGATACTTGACACCATCCTTTTCTTTTCAAGTGGTTGTTTCCTCTTTGTGGCACTCATTGAATGGGTCCTCTCTTCAAAAGTGTGTCGGTAAATTTGGTCTTTGTTCGTATGTTGACCTCTTACATTTTTTGCGCAGTTGTGCTATCTGTCTCTCTCTCTCTCTCTCTCCATGTCTCATATTCAACTTCCTTTTTTGTGGGAAGTTGTGGTGGGAAGTTTTTGGTAATTATGACATGTTGACATCCTCCCCGCTGCAAGGCACTTCTGTGCAACTCCCGACGAAATGCAGGGAACCTAGTACTCAGGTAGGGAAGGTATCCTTGCCATTCCTTGACTAGAAAAAGTCCTGATGTAGGAAACCTATCAGGAACATCATTGGTACCACTGCCGGATCAAGTTCCTGTAATGAGGGATGCTAACACACAAACACACCTTCATGTTGGGATCAAGTTTCTGCTTAATTGCGCAAATTGAGCAACAATACTAATTAACACAGAAGGACTTTGTCTCTCGTTGTTTGAAACATCATTGCATCTAGCCAGTCATAGGGCGCAAGCGATCTCAATCAACCTGAGGTGCGAAATGATGCGAAATGCTCCACCCACGGTAGAAACATGTACCGTGTGGCTCCGCTGCCACAGACTGCGCGCCGGAAAACATGCGATGAAACTTGGATGGGTGATCTTGGCAGGTCACTTTAGCAAGTGGTGCTGGTTGTTACAAGCTGGCGCCCCCTTAGCAATGTTTGTTCCTTTCTAATTACCAAGATATAGCTATAAACATGTGTGGTGTCGGTCAAGATTTGTCTACCAGTTGTCAGGGGTGCTCTAACTAATTTTGCCTCTGTATCTACGTACGATTTCCCCTGCTTGTATTTGGGGTGTTGGCAGCAACCTTATTATCGTTGCATCATGGTTTTGCAGCAATCTCCACTTCTAGTATTCACATTTCATGGATAGTGCATGGTGAACGTCCAAAACAGCAGGCAAACAGCTGATCATGTCACCAAACATGGTAACACGTATTAAACCAAATTGAGAACAGATTAAAATCTGATTCCAAGTTTCCTTTGTGATTCGACATGGTACTTGTAGGGATTGTGAAATGCTTCAGTGTGGCACCACTGAGAGGCACCGTTGTTTCAAGGTACTTGCCCTGGACCGTGCTGTGAGAAACTTATATATAAGTTCTTGCATCTTCCGCTGCCTTCATCAAGAGAGAGTGAAAGTGGACGACCAAGTCCTCTTCCGGCGTAGTTCCTGTGCTATTTGAATAGCACAACCGCAGTGAATTTCCCATGGCACCTGCGCAGTCCGGGCCGTCGCCTCAGAGTCAGAGAGGCAGCCTTTGATGGTACCCGTGATTCGTTGCAGGTTATGCAGGGCAACCAGGGTCAACGGGCAACTGCCGACACTTCTGGGGAAACTTGCCGCTAGAGATGGAGTGTTGTTGGTGCAGAGCATCTTTTCTGGGGATGGTGGAAGTATTTAGGGCTACATGTTCTGGAGACACTCCTTCCTTTCCCCAACACATCACAAGACACATCAAGACACTCTTTGCAAAGAGGAATTGTTTTCTCGGCCGGATCAACTTTCCAATTCCCAAACGCAGTTTTTACTTCAATTTGATTCAATTTGTAGGTTTTTTGTCGCAGTTGCTTTCGTGATTGATGTGGGCGGTGGGTGTGTTGAATCATGCTGGGTCTTTGTGTTTGATTTCGAAAGTGGTCGACGCATTCTTTGTATGTTTTGGGGAGGACAAACCATCTAATTCCGAAACACCGAGGTTCTTAAAAACCTTTGACTGTGGCCGGGTATTGATTCATTTATATCGCTGGGTGGGAGAAACCTCTTTTTGTTTGCATTTCTATTCACTTTGCAAAATCGCACATAGAATATCAGTTAACTAATGATCCCTGATGGAAAGCTGATTGCATGTTGGATCACGTTGGAGAGTGCTCCCTGATGTTTTGATCTTGCGGATCGTAACGTCCTCGCGGCAAGTTTTCAACACTCAGGAATCCTGGAGTCAAATTCCCAGGCGTCGGGGGGGATGGTTCGGAGACCCATAAGGTGGATTTCCCTTGAAAGTCATACAGTCATACAAGATAGGGATGGTCATTCAGTGGATTCATTAGGATATACTGTATAATACTGTATATCAATTCTGCTTGAATCTCCACTATGGATGACCAATGATGATCAATGATGATCAATGATGATCAATGATGCATGACCATACCCTCCTACACCATGTTTTGACCATGGTGCAAATGTCACCAACAACTTCATAGGTCAGGACAACACCATTTCAGTCAGCTATCAGCGTTGCAGGCATTGAGTCGGTAAGGCCAGCCAATCTACAGTATGTTTCGGTGTCTCTTTCATTTTCAAGTTGTGCATTCATTTCAGTTCAAGTTCCATCCCTCGATTGGCACTGGTCAGCGATTCGCTCGCATTACTGCCAGTTCTCATAGACCAAACCGCGCCAGTTCCGCCTTTGGTTGCGCTGACTTTCTCTGGGAGATTGGAAGAAGCAAGGCCTCCCGGCAACCAACCGTACGCACCCGAGGAAATAGTTGAATTCGAACAACTTGGAACTCTTAACTTTTTTCTGGGAGGGGGGGGGCCGCCAACTACTATTACTTCCACGAAATTAATTTCCAGGAACTCTTGCCACTAAATTGGTCTCCAGGAAGCTTCTGTGGCACTAAATGAGTCTACGGGAAGCTTTTTTGCCATTAAATTAGTCTCCGGGAAGCTTCGGTGCCACTAAATTGCCACTAAATTAGTTTACGGGAACCTTTTTGCCACTAAATGAGTCTACGGGAAGCTGTCTTGCCACTAAATTAGTCTACGGGAAGCTTTTGTGCCACTAAATTAGTTTCCGGGAAGCTTTTCTTGCCACTCCATTAGTTTGCGGGAGCCTTTGTTGCCACTAACTTAGTCTGCGGGAGCTTCTTTTGTCACTAAATAAGTCTACGGGAAGCTGTCTTGCCACTAAATTAGTCTACGGGAAGCTTTTTTTGCCACTAAATTAGTCTGCGGGAAGCGTTTGTGCCACTTAATAAGTCTGCGGGAGCCTTTTTGGCCGACCCCCAAAGTAGTAGTAGTTCGAGGGGGGGGGGCGAACTACGGGAAGCTGTCTTGCCACTACATTAGTCTACGGGAAGCTTTTTTTGCCACTAAGTTAGTCTGCGGGAAGCTTTTTTTGCCACTCAATTAGTCTGCGGGAACCTTTTTGGCCGACCCCCAAAGTTGTAGTAGTACGAGAGGGTCTCCAGGAAGCTTTTGTGCCACTAAATGCGTCTACGGGAAGCTTTTTTGCCACTAAATGAGTCTCCGGGAGCCTTTTTTGCCACTAAATGAATCTACGGGAAGCTGTCTTGCCACTAAATTAGTCTCCGGGAAGCTTTTGTGCCACTAAATTAGTATACGGGAAGCGTTTTTTTGCCACTAAATTAGTTTGCGGGAGCCTTTTTGCCTGACTCCCAAAAGTAGTAGTAGCTCGCCCCCCCCCCCGAACTACTACTACACCCGAAGTTGTAGTTGTTTCCTGCCAACCCCCCCAAAAAAAAAGTACTGAAGTTGTAGTTGTTCGGCGGGGTAGCGGGGCCTACAGCACTGTTTGGGAACTCTTCACTAAATTAATCTGCGGGGAGCTTTTTTTTGCCACTCAATTAGTCTGCGGGAGCCTGTTTGGCCGACCCCCAAAGTAGTAGTAGTTCGAGGGGGGGGGAACTACTACTACTACTACTACTTTGACCCGTAGTCTACGGGAAGCTTTCTTGCCACTAAATGAGTCTACGGGAAGCTGTCTTGCCACTAAATGAGTCACCAGGAAGCTTCTGTGCCACTAAATGTGTCTACGGGTAGCTTTTTTGCCACTAATTGAGTCTACGGGAAGCTGTCTTGCCACTACATTAGTCTACGGGAAGCTTTTGTGCCACTAAATTAGTTTCCGGGAAACTTTTCTTGCCACCCCCTGAGTTTGCGGGAGCCTTTGTTGCCACTAAATTAGTCTGCGGGAGCTTCTTTCGTCACTAAATGAGTCTACGGGAAGCTGTCTTGCCACTAAATTAGTCTACGGGAAGCTTTTTTTGCCACTAAATTAGTCTGCGGGAAGCTTTTTTTTGCCACTCAATTAGTCTGCGGGAGCCTTTTTGGCCGACCCCCAAAGTAGTAGTAGTTCGACGGAGGGGGGGCGAACTACTACATGACCCGTAGTCTACGGGAAGCTGTCTTGCCACTAAATTAGTCTACGGGAAGCTTTTTTTGCCACTAAATTAGTCTGCGGGAAGCTTTTTTTTGCCACTCAATTAGTCTGCGGGATCCTTTTTGGCCGACCCCCAAAGTTGTAGTAGTTTGAGAGGGTCTCCAGGAAGCTTTTGTGCCACTAAATTAGTCTACGGGAAGCTTTTTTGCCACTAAATGAGTCTCCGGGAGCCTTTTTTGCGACTAAATGAATCTACGGGAAGCTGTCTTGCCACTAAATGAGTCACCAGGAAGCTTCTGTGCCACTAAATGTGTCTACGGGTAGCTTTTTTGCCACTAAATGAGTCTACGGGAAGCTGTCTTGCCACTACATTAGTCTACGGGAAGCTTTTGTGCCACTAAATTAGTTTCCGGGAAACTTGTCTTGCCACCCCCTGAGTTTGCGGGAGCCTTTGTTGCCACTAAATTAGTCTGCGGGAGCTTCTTTCGTCACTAAATGAGTCTACGGGAAGCTGTCTTGCCACTAAATTAGCTTCTACGGGAAGCTTTTTTTGCCACTAAATTAGTCTGCGGGAAGCTTTTTTTTGCAATTCAATTAGTCTGCGGGAGCCTTTTTGGCCGACCCGCAAAGAAGTAGTAGTTCGAGGGGGGGGGCGAACTATGGGAAGCTGTCTTGCCACTACATTAGTCTACGGGAAGCTTTTTTTGCCACTAAATTAGTCTGCGGGAAGCTTTTTTTTGCCACTCAATTAGTCTGCGGGATCCTTTTTGGCCGACCCCCAAAGGTGTAGTAGTTCGAGAGGGTCTCCAGGAAGCTTTTGTGCCACTAAATTAGTCTACGGGAAGCTTTTTTGCCACTAAATGAGTCTCCGGGAGCCTTTTTTGCCACTAAATGAATCTAAGGGAAGCTGTCTTGCCACTAAATTAGTCTCCGGGAAGCTTTTGTGCCACTAAATTAGTCTACGGGAAGGGTTTTTTTGCAACTAAATTAGTTTGCGGGAGCCTTTTTGCCCGAACCCCAAAGTAGTAGTAGTAGTTCGCCGCCCCCCGAACTACTACTACCTGGACCCGAAGTTGTGCCACTAAATTAGTCTACGGGAAGCTTTTTTTTGCCACTAAATTAGTTTGCAGCAGCCTTTTTGCCCGACCCCCGAAGTAGTAGTAGTTCGCCCCCCCCGAACTACTACTACCTGGACCCGAAGTTGTAGTTGTTTCCTGCCACCCCCCCAAAAAAAAGTACTGAAGTTGTAGTTGTTCGGCGGGGGAGCGGGGCCTACAGCACTGTCTGGGAACTCTTGGAAGCCACTAAAGTAGTCTACGGGAAGCTTTCTTGCCACTAAATTGTCCGTGCCACTAAATGAATCTACGGGAAGCTGTCTTGCGACTAAATTAGTCTACGGGACGCTTTTGTGCCACTGCCACTAAAGCTTCCCGTAGACTAATTTAGTGGCAAGAAAGCCCCCCGTAGACTCATTTAGTGGCAAAGAAGGGTCCGTAGACTAATTTAGTGGGCACAAAAGCTTCCTGTAGACGAATTTAGTTGCATTTAAGCTCCCCGTAGACTAATTTAGTGGGAAGAAAGCTCCCCGTAGACTCATTTAGTGGCAAAGAAGGGTCCGTAGACTAATTTAGTGGGCACAAAAGCTTCCCGTAGACTAATTTAGTGGCACAAAAGCTTCCCGTAGACTAATTTAGTGGCAAGACAGCTTCCCGTAGACTCATTTAATGGCAAAGAAAACTCCCGTAGACTACCTCAGGTGCAAAAAAGCTGCCCGTAGACTAATTCAGTGGGACAAAAGCTTCCCGTAGACTACTTAAGTGGCAAAAAAGATCCCGTAGACTCATTTAGTGGCAAGAAAGCCCTCCGTACACTAATTTAATGGCAAAAAAATGTCCCACAAACGAATTTAGTGGCAAAAAAGCTTCCCGTATACTAATTTAGTGGCACAAAAGCTTCCCGCAGACGAATTTAGTGGCAAGAGAGCTTCCCGTAGACTCATTTAGTGGCAAAGAAGGGTCTCGTAGGCTAATTTAGTGGCAAAAAAGTTTGCGTAGATAAAAGTAGCTCCCGTAGACGAACTGAATGGCAAAAAGGGCTCCCGTAGACTAATTTAGTGGCAAGAAAGCTTCCCGTAGATTGGTTTTGTGGGCAAAAAAGTTCCCGTAGACTACTTTAGTGCCCAAAAAGGCTCCCGCAGAGTAATTAAGGAGTCTACGGGGACCTTAAATGCAACTAGATTCGTCTACGGGATCTTTTTTGCAACTAAATTGGTCTACGGGACGCTTTTGTCCCACTAAGTCGCATTGTTTGTCTTTCCTTTTTCCTTCTCATGCTCGCGCTCTCGTTGCTCTGCCCCCCTCTCCTCTTCTTCTCGGGAAGCTTTTTTTTGCCACTCAATTAGTCTGCGGGAGCCTTTTTGGCCGACCCCCAAAAGTAGTAGTAGTTCGAGGGGGGGGCGAACTACTACTTGACCCGTAGTCTACGGGAAGCTGTCTTGCCACTAAATCCGTCTACGGGAAGCTTTTTTTGCCACTAAATTAGTCTATGGGAAGCTTTTTTTTGCAATTCAATTAGTCTGCGGGAGCCTTTTTGGCCGACCCCCAAAGTTGTAGTAGTTCGAGAGGGTCTCCAGGAAGCTTTTGTGCCACTAAATTAGTCTACGGGAAGCTTTTTTGCAACTAAATGAGTCTCCAGGAGCTTTTTTTTGCCACTAAATGAATCTACGGGAAGCTGTCTTGCCACTAAATTAGTCTCCGGGAAGCTTTTTGTGGCACTAAATTAGTCTACGGGAAGCGTTTTTTTGCAACTAAATTAGTTTGCGGCAGCCTTTTTGCCCGACCCCCAAAGTAGTAGTAGTTCCCTCCTCCCCGAACTACTACTACCTGGACCCGAAGTTGTAGTTGTTTCCTGCCACCCCCCCAAAAAAAAAGTACTGAAGTTGTAGTTGTTCGGCGGGGGAGCGGGGCCTACAGCACTGTCTGGGAACTCTTGGAAGCCACTAAAGTAGTCTACGGGAAGCTTTCTTGCCACTAAATTTTCCGTGCCACTAAATGAATCTACGGGAAGCTGTCTTGCGACTAAATTAGTCTACGGGACGCTTTTGTGCCACTGAAATTAGTCTACGGGAAGCTTTTGTGCCACTAAATTCGTCGACGGGAAGCTTTTTACCCACTAAATTCGTCTGTGGGAGCCTTTTTTGCAATTTAATTCGTTTACGGGAAGCGTTCTTGCCACTGACTTTGTTTATGGGAGCTGTAGTCGCAGTTCGCCCCCCCCCCCAAACGACGACTACCTTGACCCGAAGTTGTAATTCTTTCCTGCCCCCGCCCCCCAAAAAAAGTAGTGAAGTTGTAGTTGTTCGGCGGGGGAGCCCGGGAAACTTTTTTTGCCATTAAATTAGTTTGCGGGAGCTTTTTTGGCCGACCCCTAAAGTAGTAGTACTTCGCCCCCCCCGAAGTACTACTACCTGGCCCCGAAGTTGTAGTTGTTTCCTGCCACCCCCGCCAAAAAAAGTACTGAAGTTGTAGTTGTTCGGCGGGGGAGCGGGGCCTACAGCACTGTCTGGGAGCCCTTGGACGCATTTGGACGCTTTCGCGACCTTGTTTGCCACTAAATTAGTCTGCGGGAGCCTTTTTGGGCACTAAAGTAGTCTACGGGAACTTAATTGCCCACAAAACCAGTCTACGGGAAGCTTTCTTGCCACTAAATTAGTCTACGGGAGCCCTTTTTGCCATTCAGTTCGTCTACGGGAGCTACTTTTATCTACGGCAAACTTTTTTGCCACTAAATTAGCCTACGAGACCCTTCTTTGCCACTAACTGAGTCTACGGGGAGCTTTCTTGCCACTAAATTCGTCTGCGGGAAGCTTTTGTGCCACTAAATTAGTATACGGGAAGCTTTTTTGCCACTAAATTCGTTTGTGGGTTTTTGCCATTAAATTAGTGTACGGAGGGCTTTCTTGCCACTAAATGAGTCTACGGGATCTTTTTTGCCACTTAAGTAGTCTACGGGAAGCTTTTGTCCCACTGAATTAGTCTACGGTCAGCTTTTTTGCACCTAAGGTAGTCTACGGGAGTTTTCTTTGCCATTAAATGAGTCTACGGGAAGCTGTCTTGCCACTAAATTAGTCTACGGGAAGCTTTTGTGCCACTAAATTAGTCTACGGGAAGCTTTTGTGCCCACTAAATTAGTCTACGGACCCTTCTTTGCCACTAAATGAGTCTACGGGGAGCTTTCTTCCCACTAAATTAGCCTACGGGGAGCTTGAGTGCAACTAAATTCGTCTACGGGAAGCTTTTGTGCCCACCAAATTAGTCTACGGACCCTTCTTTGCCACTAAATGAGTCTACGGGGAGCTTTCTTGCCACTAAATTAGTCTACGGGAAGCTTTTGTGCCACTAAATTAGTTTACGGGGACCTTAAATGCAACTAGATTCGTCTACGGGATCTTTTTTGCAACTAAATTGGTCTACGGGACGCTTTTGTCCCACTAAGTCGCATTGTTTGTGTTTTCTTTTTCCTTCTCATGCTCGCGCTCTCGTTGCTCTGCCCCCCTCTCCTCTTCTTCTTGTCGGCTTGTCCCGCGGGGTTGGACATCCATTCTCTAAAGATCCTCCGTGAATATACCACCAGTAGTAGTTGTTGTTCCAAGGGGGGGCAATAATAAAAAAACGGTTTCGAGTACGCCCTCCATACAAGATAGGGATGGTCATTCAGTGGATTCATTAGGATATACTGTACAATACTGTATATCAATTCTGCTTGAATCTCCACTATGGATGACCAATGATGATCAATGATGATCAATGATGCATGACCATACCCTCCTACACCATGTTTTGACCATGGTGCAAATGTCACCAACAACTTCGTAGGTCAGGACGTAGCAAGAGGTCACATTCTATCGCATGCCACGACCAAATCCTGACGGTTGCCGGGAGGCCTTGCTTCTTCCAATTTCCCGGAGAAAGTCAGCGCAACGAAAGGCGGAACTGGCGCGGTTTGGTCTATGAGAACTGGCAGTAATTAGCGCGAGCGAATTGCTGACCAGTGCCAATCGAGGGATGGAACTTGAACTGAAATGAATGCACAACTTGAAAATGAAAGAGACACCGAAACATACTGTAGGTTGGCTGGCCTTACCGACTCAATGCCTGCAACGCTGATAGCTGAAATGGTTTCCGATCGTGGTAGGCCCATTGCGAGCTTCCGAGCGAAAGTACTTGGAAGTCCGAGTGGACAAAGTGAGAGCCCCAATGTGAGTGTGTCTGAAATTATGATATCCCAAATCCATGGGTTAATCATCTTTATTTCTTTATCAAAGGAACAATTTTGGGGGTATATTCCATTTTCAGACAAACTGTTAGACCCATCTATGAAACTGTTCCAATCATTCCATTTTGTGTCGAAGCACCTCGCAGTTTCATCTGAGGCGAACGAGATCCTGGATGGCCCAGATTCCGGTGCTGGCGACGGTGCCGCCTGCGGTTGCCGCAATGGTCGTCGAGGCCCTGCGGGCACCGCCTCTGACCACGGCCACGATGCCGGCACCTCCTGCCTCGGTGCTGCAAGCAGGGCCCTTGCCCTACTTGCCTTCAATTGCTCCTCCGTACTGTGGAGGCTATCCCTGGGGATTCATGGTCAGAGATGAAGTGCCAGGTCCCTTTCGTACGTGCGCGTGAGCAGTAGGACTAATCTACGATAGCTTTGACAACTGCTCAGTGATGTGGAGCATCATTGCTCAACGCTACCAGTAGCTACCAGTAACCTTTGATTTGTGAGAAGGGAGCCTCAGACAAAGGATGGTAGCCGGAAGCCGTGTAGACATGTCAAGTTGACATCTGCCAGTGACAGGTCCGAATCTGTCGGGATTTGTTCCCCCAACAGCGTGGAACCTGGCGCTTGATGTGTCAACGTTTGGAACCAAAATGATCAAACATGTCGCTTGTCACCACACAGCGTCCAGAAGCTTTTGGTAATTTTGACATGTTGACATCCTCCCCGCTGAAAGGCACTTCTGTGCAACTCCTGACGAAACGCAGGGAACCTAGTACTCAGGTAGGGAAGGTATCCTTGCCATTCCTTGACTAGAAAAAGTCCCGATGTAGGAAACCTATCAGGAACATCATTGGTACCACTGCCGGATCAAGTTCCTGTAATGAGGGATGCTAACACACAAACACACCTTCATGTTGGGATCAAGTTTCTACGCAAATTGAGCAACAATAATAATTAACACAGAAGGACTTTGTCGCTCGTTGTTTGAAACATCATTGCATCTAGCCATTCATGCCCAAGCGATCTCAATCAACCTGAGGTGCGAAATGATGCGAAATGCTCCACCCACGGTAGAAACATGTACCGTGTGGCTCCACTGCCACAGACTGCGCGCCGGAAAACATGCGATGAAACTTGGGTGATCTTGGCAGGTCACTTTACCAAGTGCTGGTTGTTACAAGCTGGCGCCACCTTAGCAATGTTTGTTCCTTTCTAACTACCAAGATATAACTATAAACATGTGTCGGTCAAGATTTGTCTACCAGTTGTCAGGGGTGCTCTAACTAATTTTGTCTCTGTATCTACGATTTCCCCTGCTTGTATTTGGGGTGTTGGTAGCAACCTTATTATCGTTGCATCATGGTTTTGCAGCAATCTCCACTTCTAGTATTCACATTTCATGGATAGTACATGGTGAACGTCCAAAACAGCAGGCAAACAGCTGATCATGTCACCAAATATGGTAACATGTATTAAACTGTCACCAAATTAAGAACAGATTAAGATATGTTTCCAAGTTTCCTTTGAGTTTCGACATGGTACTTGTAGGGATTGTGAAATGCTTCAGTGTGGCATCACTGATCACTGAGAGGCACAGTTGTTTCAAGGTACTTGCCCTGGACCGTGCTGTGAGAAACTTATATATATATATAAGTTCTTGCATCTTCCGCTGCCTTCATCAAGAGAGTGAAAAGTGGACGACTTGGTCCTCTCGCGGCGTATTTCCTGTGCTATTTGAACAGCACAAGCGCAGAATTTCCAATGGCACCTGCGCAGTCCGGGCCGTCGCCTCAGAGTCAGAGAGGCAGCCGTTGATGGTACCCGTGATTCGTTGCAGGTTATGCAGGGCGACCAGGGTCAACGGTCAACTGCCGACACTTCTGGGGAAACTTGCCGCTAGAGATGTAGTGTTGTTGGTGCAGGGCATTTTTTCTGGGGATGGTGGAAGTAGTTAGGGGTACATGTTCTGGAGACACTCCTTCCTTCCCCCAACATATCACAAGACACATCAAGACACTCTTTGCAAAGAGGAATTGTTTTCTCGGCCGGATCAACTTTCCAATTCCCAAACGCAGTTTTTACTTCAATTTGATTCAATTTGTAGGTTTTTTGTCGCAGTTGCTTTCGTGATTGATGTGGGCGGTGGGTGTGTTGAATCATGCTGGGTCTTTGTGTTTGATTTCGAAAGTGGTCGACGCATTCTTTGTATGTTTTGGGGAGGACAAACCATCTAATTCCGAAACACCGAGGTTCTTAAAAACCTTTGACTGTGGCCGGGTATTGATTCATTTATATCGCTGGGTGGGAGAAACCTCTTTTTGTTTGCATTTCTATTCACTTTGCAAAATCGCACATAGAATATCAGTTAACTAATGATCCCTGATGGAAAGCTGATTGCATGTTGGATCACGTTGGAGAGTGCTCCCTGATGTTTTGATCTTGCGGATCGTAACGTCCTCGCGGCAAGTTTTAAACACTCAGGAATCCTGGAGTCAAATTCCCAGGCGTCGGGGGGGATGGTTCGGAGACCCATAAGGTGGATTTCCCTTGAAAGTCATACAGTCATACAAGATAGGGATGGTCATTCAGTGGATTCATTAGGATATACTGTATAATACTGTATATCAATTCTGCTTGAATCTCCACTATGGATGACCAATGATGATCAATGATGATCAATGATGCATGACCATACCCTCCTACACCATGTTTTGACCATGGTGCAAATGTCACCAACAACTTGGTAGGTCAGGACATAGCAAGAGGTCACATTCTATCGCATGCCACGACCAAATCCTGACGGTTGCCGGGAGGCCTTGCTTCTTCCAATTTCCCGGAGAAAGTCAGCGCAACCAAAGGCGGAACTGGCGCGGTTTGGTCTATGAGAACTGGCAGTAATTAGGGCGAGCGAATTGCTGACCAGTGCCAATCGAGGGATGGAACTTGAACTGAAATGAATGCACAACTTGAAAATGAAAGAGACACCGAAACATACTGTAGGTTGGCTGGCCTTACCGACTCAATGCCTGCAACGCTGATAGCTGAAATGGTTTCCGATCGTGGTAGGCCCATTGCGAGCTTCCGAGCGAAAGTACTTGGAAGTCCGAGTGGACAAAGTGAGAGCCCCAATGTGAGTGTGTCTGAAATTATGATATCCCAAATCCATGGGTTAATCATCTTTATTTCTTTATCAAAGGAACAATTTTGGGGGTATATTCCATTTTCAGACAAACTGTTAGACCCATCTATGAAACTGTTCCAATCATTCCATTTTGTGTCGAAGCACCTCGCAGTTTCATCTGAGGCGAACGAGATCCTGGATGGCCCAGATTCCGGTGCTGGCGACGGTGCCGCCTGCGGTTGCCGCAATGGTCGTCGAGGCCCTGCGGGCACCGCCTCTGACCACGGCCACGATGCCGGCACCTCCTGCCTCGGTGCTGCAAGCAGGGCCCTTGCCCTACTTGCCCTCAATTGCTCCTCCGTACTGTGGAGGCTATCCCTGGGGATTCATGGTCAGAGATGATGTGCCAGGTCCCTTTCGTACGTGCGCGTGAGCAGTAGGACTAATCTACGATAGCTTTGACAACTGCTCAGTGATGTGGAGCATCATTGCTCAACGCTACCAGTAGCTACCAGTAACCTTTGATTTGTGAGAAGGGAGCCTCAGACAAAGGATGGTAGCCGGAAGCCGTGTAGACATGGCAAGTTGACATCTGCCAGTGACAGGTCCGAATCTGTCGGGATTTGTTCCCCCAACAGCGTGGAACCTGGCGCTTGATGTGTCAACGTTTGGAACCAAAATGATCAAACATGTCGCTTGTCACCACACAGCGTCCATGAAATTTGAAGAAGAATAGATTTATGTCATTTGTTTTTGTTTCAAAGATATAGAGCATGTCATCCATTCTCAGACTAACTCAGTCAACCTGAGGCGTTCAATGCTCCAGTGGCACGCGGCAGAAACATGTGCTGTGTGGCCCACTGAGCAAGGTGGGAGAAGAGCCTAAAATGCCTAAAAGAGTGGTCATACACCGTGGTGAAGAGTGAAAACAAGTCTACCTATCGTTTGCTGATACTTGACACCATCCTTTTCTTTTCAAGTGGTTGTTTCCTCTTTGTGGCACTCATTGAATGGGTCCTCTCTTCAAAAATGTGTCGGTAAATTTGGTCTTTGTCCGTATGTTGACCTCTTACATTTTTCCCGCAGTTGTGCCATCTGTCTCTCTCTGTCCGTGTCTCATATTCAACTTCCTTTTTTGTGGGAAGTTGTGGTGGGAAGCTTTTGGTAATTTTGACATGTTGACATCCTCCCCGCTGAAAGGCACTTCTGTGCAACTCCCGACGAAACGCAGGGAACCTAGTACTCAGGTAGGGAAGGTATCCTTGCCATTCCTTGACTAGAAAAAGTCCTGATGTAGGAAACCTATCAGGAACATCATTGGTACCACTGCCGGATCAAGTTCCTGTAATGAGGGATGCTAACACACAAACACACCTTCATGTTGGGATCAAGTTTCTGCTTAATTGCGCAAATTGAGCAACAATAATAATTAACACAGAAGGACTTTGTCGCTCGTTGTTTGAAACATCATTGCATCTAGCCATTCATAGGGCCCAAGCGATCTCAATCAACCTGAGGTGCGAAATGATGCGAAATGCTCCACCCACGGTAGAAACATGTACCGTGTGGCTCCACTGCCACAGACTGCGCGCCGGAAAACATGCGATGAAACTTGGGTGATCTTGGCAGGTCACTTTAGCAAGTGCTGGTTGTTACAAGCTGGCGCCACCTTAGCAATGTTTGTTCCTTTCTAACTACCAAGATATAACTATAAACATGTGTCGGTCAAGATTTGTCTACCAGTTGTCAGGGGTGCTCTAACTAATTTTGTCTCTGTATCTACGATTTCCCCTGCTTGTATTTGGGGTGTTGGTAGCAACCTTATTATCGTTGCATCATGGTTTTGCAGCAATCTCCACTTCTAGTATTCACATTTCATGGATAGTACATGGTGAACGTCCAAAACAGCAGGCAAACAGCTGATCATGTCACCAAATATGGTAACATGTATTAAACTGTCACCAAATTAAGAACAGATTAAAATATGTTTCCAAGTTTCCTTTGCGATTCGACATGGTACTTGTAGGGATTGTGAAATGCTTCAGTGTGGCATCACTGATCACTGAGAGGCACAGTTGTTTCAAGGTACTTGCCCTGGACCGTGCTGTGAGAAACTTATATATATATAAGTTCTTGCATCTTCCGCTGCCTTCATCAAGAGAGTGAAAAGTGGACGACTTGGTCCTCTCGCGGCGTATTTCCTGTGCTATTTGAACAGCACAAGCGCAGAATTTCCAATGGCACCTGCGCAGTCCGGGCCGTCGCCTCAGAGTCAGAGAGGCAGCCGTTGATGGTACCCGTGATTCGTTGCAGGTTATGCAGGGCGACCAGGGTCAACGGTCAACTGCCGACACTTCTGGGGAAACTTGCCGCTAGAGATGGAGTGTTGTTGGTGCAGGGCATTTTTTCTGGGGATGGTGGAAGTAGTTAGGGGTACATGTTCTGGAGACACTCCTTCCTTCCCCCAACATATCACAAGACACATCAAGACACTCTTTGCAAAGAGGAATTGTTTTCTCGGCCGGATCAACTTTCCAATTCCCAAACGCAGTTTTTCGTTCAATTTGATTCAATTTGTAGGTTTTTGGTCGCAGTTGCTTTTGTGATTGATGGGACGTGTTTGTTCGCAAATTTGTGGTTCTGTGGGCGGTGGGCGTGTTGAATCATGCTGGGTCTTTGTGTTTGATTTCGAAAGTGGTCGACGCATTCTTTGTATGTTTTGGGGAGGACACACCATCTAATTCCGAAACACCGAGGTTCTTAAAAACCTTTGACTGTGGCTGGGTATTGATTCATTTATATCGCTGGGTGGGAGAAACCTCTTTTTGTTTGCATTTCTATTCACTTTGCAAAATCGCACATAGAATATCAGTTAACTAATGATCCCTGATGGAAAGCTGATTGCATGTTGGATCACGTTGGAGAGTGCTCCCTGATGTTTTTATCTTGCGGATCGTAACGTCCTCGCGGCAAGTTTTCAACACTCAGGAATCCTGGAGTCAAATTCCCAGGCGTCGGGGGGGATGGTTCGGAGACCCATAAGGTGGATTTCCCTTGAAAGTCATACAGTCATACAAGATAGGGATGGTCATTCAGTGGATTCATTAGGATATACTGTATAATACTGTATATCAATTCTGCTTGAATCTCCACTATGGATGACCAATGATGATCAATGATGATCAATGATGCATGACCATACCCTCCTACACCATGTTTTGACCATGGTGCAAATGTCACCAACAACTTGGTAGGTCAGGACGTAGCAAGAGGTCACATTCTATCGCATGTCACGACCAAATCCTGATGGTTGCCGGGAGGCCTTGCTTCTTCCAATCTCCCAGAGAAAGTCAGCGCAACGAAAGGCGGAACTGGCGCGGTTTGGTCTATGAGAACTGGCAGTAATTAGCGCGAGCGAATTGCTGACCAGTGCCAATCGAGGGATGGAACTTGAACTGAAATGAATGCAAAACTTGAAAATGAAAGAGACACCGAAACATACTGTAGGTTGGCTGGCCTTACCAACTCAATGCCTGCAACGCTGACAGCTGAAATGGTTTCCGATCGTGGTAGGCCCATTGCGAGCTTCCGAGCGAAAGTACTTGGAAGTCCGAGTGGACAAAGTGAGAGCCCCAATGTGAGTGTGTCTGAAATTATGATATCCCAAATCCATGGGTTAATCATCTTTATTTCTTTATCAAAGGAACAATTTTGGGGGTATATTCCATTTTCAGACAAACTGTTAGACCCATCTATGAAACTGTTCCAATCATTCCATTTTGTGTCGAAGCACCTCGCAGTTTCATCTGAGGCGAACGAGATCCTGGGCATGGCGGGGCTCCCTAAGGCCGATGGCTGTCAGTTGGAATCCATAAAGGCGACTGGATCTTGCAACGACCAGGACATGTATACGGGGCTGTTTTTGACCCCCTTTGTTTTTGCCTTTGCATTTCTATCATTTCTCCAGAATTCAACGGAGCTTGTTAGGAATGATTGAGTGCCGCAAACAGTGAAACAGTGAAATGTTGCACCGTTTTGAAATGTTTGGACAAAGGTTTCAGCATGTGTATTACAGCAAATTCCAGCAAAATCACTGAATCCAGAGTGCAACATGCTGTCAATATCTGTCGATACCATTGAATGACTACCACAGTTGCTCTGGGAATTGAGGGTTCGTTGTTAGTCTATTTCGCTTTTTGCCCTCCATTGTTTGGGGATAATGCACAGATAACCAGCGGCAAACATGTTCCAACTGCTCCCAAGGACAACTTCCGGTTGCACCCTTTCTGCGTCAGAAGCTGAACAGCTGCGCTTCTCAAATTGAAAGTGTTCTCTCTTTCATATGGGTTTCTTTAAGTGGAACCCCAAGTCACCATGGGTTTCAATATGTTTCAATACTAAAATGGTCCATGACTGGGATGATTTGGGGGTACCCCCGTGACTTGATACATCTTGATACTATCCACTTGCAACCGTCGAGGTGAGTGCCTATTACCCAGGCCATGGCTGCCGTTGCTCAATGTTGCCCAGAGCGGAAACGGACCATGCGTTGCGGCCAGGAGAAGCCCAAGAGGTCATTGAAGCGAGGAAAACTTCCTTTGTTCCTGGGAAAAAGAGTGCACCTGGGTCGCGCCGTGAGGACAGGGCCGGCTCTGAAGTCTGTCATGAGTTGGTTGCATGTTGGAAGCTAGTTTTGGATATAGTCTTGGCTTTATGTACAGGAATTCCTCTCAGGTGTGGACGGAAAATGGAGTCACCTATGACTTGCAATCTCCAAGTATTCTAAGCGATCATCCGAAGTGCAAACTTGGGCATTGGAACATTTGGGAACAATTAAGATAAACCAATTCCAGACATTCGCGGCAAAATGTTCTCTTCCACTGGTTTCCAGATTCCTCTCTGGGGCTGAGCAGCCACCGTGCTGGCAGGATTGTTTCTTTTTCGAAACGATCCGGATTCCGTTCAACCCAAGGCCTCTAAGCGGGGTTTCCAAAAGCCATTGTCCACAGGGAGGTTGGGATACCCTGTTGGTTGTTCTGCCAGGCAGCAGCTGTTGCATGTGGACATCTTCGAAGTACAAGTGCCACTGCAGATGGAGTTTGAAGATGAGTGGGTTGGAAGGCCCTTTGTGTTGGGCACTGTGCTGTGGGTAGCTGCCAGCAACAATGATGGGAGATGCTGATCAGTTTGATTTTCAATTGCCTTTTCATGCTCGGCCAAATTCACTTGCTGTGGTGTAATAGCAGGTCTCAGGCCGATTCAGACCCCCTTGGGCCAGTAAGCTTTTTGCTGGATTCGGTCCGGCTCAACCAAACATGTGTGCAATTTCAAGGATGATGATCATGATCATGCTGCTGCTGCTGATGATGATGATGAGGATGATTAAGACCCATGGAAGTGGTGGCCGCAGGGCGACCCTGCAGCTGGCCGATCCCAGAGTGGAAGAGCCAGCAGAATATGAGCTGACCCGCGGCCCTTTTGAGTACGGGGGCACGTCAGCGCCTCACGGAACCAATTGCTTTGTGAATCTTTGTGTCAGCGTGAGACTGGGTTCATGTCGTACAGAGCAAGGTTCTGAAAGATTTCGTGTCCAGATCTTCCGTGTTCCCTTGTGTCCAAAACCATCAGATGCCAGTCAGAGTGCAGAAACACTAGATAACAAAAGTGTTTCCATGGATTCCATGGGTTCATTTTGGTCATTTTGGATCTTGGGTCACTAAGGGTGACGGTGAGTGTCAAATTTCCGGATCCGGAGGCACGCTTTGCTGCAGTGCTCTTCTGTCCAAATGTGCAGATAGTGAACAGTAGTCAGGATATGAGTAGTAGGTAAGGAATTGTCAATGGAAATCCTGCAGTGATTGAAACATCCAATGTAAATTGCATCTCCCTTTCCATGTGTGAAGACAGAATCAAGGCAGGGACTCAAGGATGCTCAGTTGGCCATGGCCAAAGTCGAAGCTCAGGTTGAAGCTCACCCACTACCCGACGTACGAGACTTCCCAAAGCCAGTCTCCCCACGTTACTCAGCTCGTTGATTTTTGTGCGAGTCACTGTTCAGTTTGAATCCTTTCGCAAGCTGAAGCACACAACATGCCGAAGATGAAGATTTGTTCAACGTGTTTGAAACATTTTGTATGTATTAGCATCTGTAGCTTGTGCGCAGCACCAGACAGGATGGATTTTTGGCACTTCCGGTTTTACGCAGACTTGTTGGAGACACACTACTTTCATGCTCTCTTTGAGAACTTGCCATGTTTTTTTGATCACAGGACATGTAGAGGAGATGAATGGGGCATGCTACCCATGTCCCTGCATCTTCATGCACTGACTGCTTGCAGTCAATTCGATTTCGATCTATGGACCATTCAATATATTATATATTGAATAATAATGAATAACATTGAATGCCAATACGATAGATCCTGGTTGAACAGCACAGCGTCCTCTGTCGGAGCTATCGCATGATCCTACAGTACATGTAGGCCTGAGTTTCACCATTCCCATTTCTCCGTTTGCACCATTCAACATACTCTTGTTGATTAGTTATGGTATGTATTGATATCTTATAGTCATCATAGGAATTACTACATGGTTGATTATAGTTATTAGTTGTTATAAGTTGTTAGAATAATAGTTGATTTTGAATGGCTCATTTACACCTCGGCCGTTGCCTTCTCAGGTGAATATGCCAACTCCAAAACGATGGGCACAGACGCAGGTCTCCTTGCAAAGTTTGGCCACACCATGCGGCAAGTTGTTGGACCGTTGGGCCGTGGGGCCGTTGGGCCGTTGGGCCGTTGGGGGACACAAGCTGAACAGACAGCGTTTCTGAGAGTTCGTTAGGAACATGATGTCATGATTTTATATGATTTAATAGCATGACCCTGGATGACTCCTTTTGGCGAAGGTGGGATCGACATGAGCCCTTTCGATATACCGCGCAAAGGGTCCGGGTCGAGCTCAAATTCAACTGGCCAAGGTGAGAAACAGAGTGAGACAGAGCGAGAGAACGTGATTTTATGATGTTTTGAAGACAGTGTGCTTGACTTGTGCCTTCATGCCATTCATGCAGGATAGTTTAAAAACTTGAGAGTTCTTGGACCCTTTGTTTTGTAGTTTCCATACTTCCTATTCAGTTTATTCATCTACGGACAGACATCCCTGTGCAATAAGTGAACACTTCGCGCCTTCAGACGTGCACCTAAAATCTAGACGTCCACGGCAGATCTCAAGATTCAACCCCCGCCTCTGCGTCCAGCAAGGCAAATCACCGCAGCCCGTTTGGGTGCCGGAGATCAAGGGTCCTGGCGGCTCCGGTCCCTCGGCTCAGCTGCGCAACTCGCCCAAGCTGTGTCCCTCCATGTTTCAAATGACGAGGCTTTGGCCTCGATCCGAAGATCGATAACATTTGGAAGTTCAACACAGGTTCAGTGGGTGGGTGATAACTTCTCATGATAACTACAACTTAAAAAGCTTTGAAAGATTGAAATTGACGTGAGCCACGATGAATTGAAATTGTGCTTCCAGGTTGAGATGAGTGCTCGACATCCAAAGAGCACAGAATGCTCAAACATGATTCTTGTTGGTTTGGTAATCCCCTTCCGGGACCTCAAGATTCTCAAACTAAGCAAGATTTTGTAATTCTGGCTACGATGGTCCGATGGTATACCGGAAATCGTATTGAATCGCAAGTCAAGGTCCTGAAATCAATCTACCCGAAGCAGAGTTTTATTGAAAACAAAGGATACCAGCAATGGGTTTTGCATGGTTTTGCCTGTTGGCTGAATATGCACCGCTGATTTTCTAGATCCTTTCAGGAATACCAGAATAGCCCTGAACTGCAGATCCTGCTGCCGGCAGACGGAAACAGACAAGAATCGTGTGACTGGACAAACACTGGCACATTCACGCCATATTATGGGTTGCAAGTGTGTTCCCAAACGCAAGGTTGCTTTTCATGTTTTTTTAAACTCTGGCCAGGTCCTGTGAAAGGTGGGACAATGAGCCCCCTTCCCAGCTTCCCTCCACAGTGGTTCACGGCGAAGTTGCCACCCGGAACGCCACACCCGCGTCCACTGCCGCCATCGGCCTTCCAGCCTCCCCCAGTGCCGCCCGAGCTGATGGCCCAGATTCCCGTCCTCGCGACGGTGCCGCCCGCCGTTGCTGCAATGGTCGTGCAGGCCCTGCGGGCGCCGCCTCTGACCACGGCCACGATGCCGGCGCCTCCTGCGTCGGTGCTGCTTGCAGGGCCCTTGCCCTACTTGCCCTCAATTGCTCCTCCGTACTGTGGAGGCTATCCCCGGGGATTCATGGTCAGAGGTGAAGTGCCAGGTCCCTTTCGTACGTGCGTGTGAGCAGTAGGACTAATCTACGATAGCTTTGACAACTGCTCAGTGATGTGGAGCATCATTTCACAAAGCTACCAGTAGCTACCAGTAACCTTTGATTTGTGAGAAGGGAGCCTCAGACAAAGGATGGTAGCCGGAAGCCGTGTAGACATGGCAAGTTGACATCTGCCAGTGACAGGTCCGAATCTGTCGGGATTTGTTCCCCCAACAGCGTGGAACCTGGCGCTTGATGTGTCAACGTTTGGAACCAACATTATCAAACATGTCGCTTGTCACCACACAGCGTCCATGAAATTTCAGGAAGAATATAGAGACAGATGTCATTTGTCCTTGTTTCAAAGATATAGAGCATTTCATCCATTCTCAGATTGACTCAGTCAAGTTGAGGTCTTCCCTGCTCCAGTGGCACGCGGCAGAAACATGTGCTGTGTGGCCCACTGAGCAAGGTGGGAGAAGAGCCTAAAGTGCCTAAAAGAGTGGTCATACACCGTGGTGAAGAGTGAAAACAAGTCTACCTATCGTTTGCTGATACTTGACACCATCCTTTTCTTTTCAAGTGGTTGTTTCCTCTTTGTGGCACTCATTGAATGGGTCCTCTCTTCAAAAGTGTGTCGGTAAATTTGGTCTTTGTTCGTATGTTGACCTTACATTTTTCCCGCAGTTGTGCTATCTGTCTCTCTCTCTCTCTCTCTCTCCCTCCCTCCATGTCTCATATTCAACTTCCTTTTTTGTGGGAAGTTGTGGTGGGAAGCTTTTGGTAATTATGACATGTTGACATCCTCCCCGCTGCAAGGCACTTCTGTGCAACTCCACGAAATGCAGGGAACCTAGTACTCAGGTAGGGAAGGTATCCTTGCCATTCCTTGACTAGAAAAAGTCCTGATGTAGGAAACCTATCAGGAACATCATTGGTACCACTGCCGGATCAAGTTCCTGTAATGAGGGATGCTAACACACAAACACACCTTCATGTTGGGATCAAGTTTCTGCTTAATTGCGCAAATTGAGCAACAATACTAATTAACACAGAAGGACTTTGTCTCTCGTTGTTTGAAACATCATTGCATCTAGCCAGTCATAGGGCGCAAGCGATCTCAATCAACCTGAGGTGCGAAATGATGCGAAATGCTCCACCCACGGTAGAAACATGTACCGTGTGGCTCCGCTGCCAGAGACTGCGCGCCGGAAAACATGCGATGAAACTTGGATGGGTGATCTTGGCAGGTCACTTTAGCAAGTGGTGCTGGTTGTTACAAGCTGGCGCCCCCTTAGCAATGTTTGTTCCTTTCTAATTACCAAGATATAGCTATAAACATGTGTGGTGTCGGTCAAGATTTGTCTACCAGTTGTCAGGGGTGCTCTAACTAATTTTGCCTCTGTATCTACGTACGATTTCCCCTGCTTGTATTTGGGGTGTTGGCAGCAACCTTATTATCGTTGCATCATGGTTTTGCAGCAATCTCCACTTCTAGTATTCACATTTCATGGATAGTGCATGGTGAACGTCCAAAACAGCAGGCAAACAGCTGATCATGTCACCAAACATGGTAACACGTATTAAACCAAATTGAGAACAGATTAAAATCTGATTCCAAGTTTCCTTTGTGATTCGACATGGTACTTGTAGGGATTGTGAAATGCTTCAGTGTGGCACCACTGAGAGGCACCGTTGTTTCAAGGTACTTGCCCTGGACCGTGCTGTGAGAAACTTATATATAAGTTCTTGCATCTTCCGCTGCCTTCATCAAGAGAGAGTGAAAGTGGACGACCAAGTCCTCTTCCGGCGTAGTTCCTGTGCTATTTGAATAGCACAACCGCAGTGAATTTCCCATGGCACCTGCGCAGTGCGCAGGTGCCATCGGAAATTCACTGCGGTTGTGCTGTTCAAATAGCACAGGTCTGGGCCGTCGCCTCAGAGTCAGAGAGGCAGCCTTTGATGGTACCCGTGATTCGTTGCAGGTTATGCAGGGCAACCAGGGTCAACGGGCAACTGCCGACACTTCTGGGGAAACTTGCCGCTAGAGATGGAGTGTTGTTGGTGCAGAGCATCTTTTCTGGGGATGGTGGAAGTATTTAGGGCTACATGTTCTGGAGACACTCCTTCCTTTCCCCAACACATCACAAGACAAATCAAGACACTCTTTGCAAAGAGGAATTGTTTTCTCGGCCGGATCAACTTTCCAATTCCCAAACGCAGTTTTTACTTCAATTTGATTCAATTTGTAGGTTTTTTGTCGCAGTTGCTTTCGTGATTGATGTGGGCGGTGGGTGTGTTGAATCATGCTGGGTCTTTGTGTTTGATTTCGAAAGTGGTCGACGCATTCTTTGTATGTTTTGGGGAGGACAAACCATCTAATTCCGAAACACCGAGGTTCTTAAAAACCTTTGACTGTGGCCGGGTATTGATTCATTTATATCGCTGGGTGGGAGAAACCTCTTTTTGTTTGCATTTCTATTCACTTTGCAAAATCGCACATAGAATATCAGTTAACTAATGATCCCTGATGGAAAGCTGATTGCATGTTGGATCACGTTGGAGAGTGCTCCCTGATGTTTTGATCTTGCGGATCGTAACGTCCTCGCGGCAAGTTTTCAACACTCAGGAATCCTGGAGTCAAATTCCCAGGCGTCGGGGGGGATGGTTCGGAGACCCATAAGGTGGATTTCCCTTGAAAGTCATACAGTCATACAAGATAGGGATGGTCATTCAGTGGATTCATTAGGATATACTGTATAATACTGTATATCAATTCTGCTTGAATCTCCACTATGGATGACCAATGATGATCAATGATGATCAATGATGCATGACCATACCCTCCTACACCATGTTTTGACCATGGTGCAAATGTCACCAACAACTTCGTAGGTCAGGACAAAACCATTTCAGTCAGCTATCAGCGTTGCAGGCATTGAGTCGGTAAGGCCAGCCAATCTACAGTATGTTTCGGTGTCTCTTTCATTTTCAAGTTGTGCATTCATTTCAGTTCAAGTTCCATCCCTCGATTGGCACTGGTCAGCGATTCGCTCGCATTACTGCCAGTTCTCATAGACCAAACCGCGCCAGTTCCGCCTTTGGTTGCGCTGACTTTCTCTGGGAGATTGGAAGAAGCAAGGCCTCCCGGCAAGCAACCGTACGCACCCGAGGAAATAGTTGAATTCGAACAACTTGGAACTCTTAACTTTTTTCTACTTCCACGAAATTAATTTCCAGGAACTCTTGCCACTAAATTGGTCTCCAGGAAGCTTCTGTGGCACTAAATGAGTCTACGGGAAGCTTTTTTGCCATTAAATTAGTCTCCGGGAAGCTTCGGTGCCACTAAATTGCCACTAAATTAGTTTACGGGAACCTTTTTGCCACTAAATGAGTCTACGGGAAGCTGTCTTGCCACTAAATTAGTCTACGGGAAGCTTTTGTGCCACTAAATTAGTTTCCGGGAAGCTTTTCTTGCCACTCCATTAGTTTGCGGGAGCCTTTGTTGCCACTAACTTAGTCTGCGGGAGCTTCTTTTGTCACTAAATAAGTCTACGGGAAGCTGTCTTGCCACTAAATTAGTCTACGGGAAGCTTTTTTTGCCACTAAATTAGTCTGCGGGAAGCGTTTGTGCCACTTAATTAGTCTGCGGAAGCCTTTTTGGCCGACCCCCAAAGTAGTAGTAGTTCGAGGGGGGGGGCGAACTACGGGAAGCTGTCTTGCCACTACATTAGTCTACGGGAAGCTTTTTTTGCCACTAAGTTAGTCTGCGGGAAGCTTTTTTTGCCATTCAATTAGTCTGCGGGAACCTTTTTGGCCGACCCCCAAAGTTGTAGTAGTTCGAGAGGGTCTCCAGGAAGCTTTTGTGCCACTAAATGCGTCTACGGGAAGCTTTTTTGCCACTAAATGAGTCTCCGGGAGCCTTTTTTGCCACTAAATGAATCTACGGGAAGCTGTCTTGCCACTAAATTAGTATCCGGGAAGCTTTTGTGCCACTAAATTAGTCTACGGGAAGCGTTTTTTTGCCACTAAATTAGTTTGCGGGGCGGGAGCCTTTTTGCCTGACTCCCAAAAGTAGTAGTAGTTCGCCCCCCCCCCAACTACTACTACCTGGACCCGAAGTTGTAGTTGTTTCCTGCCACCCCCCCAAAAAAAAAGTACTGAAGTTGTAGTTGTTCGGCGGGGGAGCAGGGCCTACAGCACTGTTTGGGAACTCTTCACTAAATTAATCTGCGGGGAGCTTTTTTTTGCCACTCAATTCGTCTGCGGGAGCCTGTTTGGCCGACCCCCAAAGTAGTAGTAGTTCCCCCCCCTACTACTTTGACCCGTAGTCTACGGGAAGCTTTCTTGCCACTAAATGAGTCTACGGGAAGCTGTCTTGCCACTAAATGAGTCACCAGGAAGCTTCTGTGCCACTAAATGTGTCTACGGGTAGCTTTTTTGCCACTAAATGAGTCTACGGGAAGCTGTCTTGCCACTACATTAGTCTACGGGAAGCTTTTGTGCCACTAAATTAGTTTCCGGGAAACTTGTCTTGCCACCCCCTGAGTTTGCGGGAGCCTTTGTTGCCACTAAATTAGTCTGCGGGAGCTTCTTTCGTCACTAAATGAGTCTACGGGAAGCTGTCTTGCCACTAAATTAGTCTACGGGAAGCTTTTTTTGCCACTAAATTAGTCTGCGGGAAGCATTTTTTTGCCACTCAATTAGTCTGCCGGAGCCTTTTTGGCCGACCCCCAAAGTAGTAGTAGTTCGAGGGGGGGGGGCGAACTACTACTTGACCCGTAGTCTACGGGAAGCTGTCTTGCCACTAAATTAGTCTACGGGAAGCTTTTTTTGCCACTAAATTAGTCTGCGGGAAGCTTTTTTTTGCCACTCAATTAGTCTGCGGGATCCTTTTTGGCCGACCCCCAAAGTTGTAGTAGTTCGAGAGGGTCTCCAGGAAGCTTTTGCGCCACTAAATTAGTCTACGGGAACTTTTTTGCCACTAAATGAGTCTCCGGGAGCCTTTTTTGCCACTAAATGAATCTACGGGAAGCTGTCTTGCCACTAAATTAGTCTCCGGGAAGCTTTTGTGCCTAAATTAGTCTACGGGAAGGGTTTTTTTGCAACTAAATTAGTTTGCGGGAGCCTTTTTGCCCGAACCCCAAAGTAGTAGTAGTAGTTCGCCCCCCCCCGAAGAACTACTACCTGGACCCGAAGTTGTGCCACTAAATTAGTCTACGGGAAGCTTTTTTTTGCTACTAAATTAGTTTGCGGCAGCCTTTTTGCCCGACCCCCAAAGTAGTAGTAGTTCGCCCCCCCCGAACTACTACTACCTGGACCCGAAGTTGTAATTGTTTCCTGCCACCCCCCCCAAAAAAAAGTACTGAAGTTGTAGTTGTTCGGCGAGGGAGCGGGGCCTACAGCACTGTCTGGGAACTCTTGGAAGCCACTAAAGTAGTCTACGGGAAGCTTTCTTGCCACTAAATTTTCCGTGCCACTAAATGAATCTACGGGAAGCTGTCTTGCGACTAAATTAGTCTACGGGACGCTTTTGTGCCACTGAAATTAGTGAACGGGAAGCGTTTGTGCCACTAAATTAGTCTACGGGAAGCTTTTGTGCCACTAAATTCGTCGACGGGAAGCTTTTTACCCACTAAATTCGTCTGTGGGAGCCTTTTTTGCAATTTAATTCGTTTACGGGAAGCGTTCTTGCGACTGACTTTGTTTATGGGAGCTGTAGTCGCAGTTCGCCCCCCCCCAAACGACGAATACCTTGACCCGAAGTTGTAGTTCTTTCCTGCCCCCGCCCCCCCGAAAAAAAGTAGTGAAGCTGTAGTTGTTCGGCGGGGGAGCCCGGGAAGCTTTTTTTGCCATTAAATTAGTTTGCGGGAGCCTTTTTGGCCGACCCCCAAAGTAGTAGTACTTCGGGGGGCGAAGTCCTACTACCTGGCCCCGAAGTTGTAGTTGTTTCCTGCCACCCCCGCCAAAAAAAAAGTACTGAAGTTGTAGTTGTTCGGCGAGGGAGCGGGGCCTACAGCACTGTTTGGGAGCCCTTGGACGCATTTGGACGCTTTCGCGACCTTAATTACTCTGCGGGAGCCTTTTTGGGCACTAAAGTAGTCTACGGGAACTTTTTTGCCCACAAAACCAATCTACGGGAAGCTTTCTTGCCACTAAATTAGTCTACGGGAGCCCTTTTTGCCATTCAGTTCGTCTACGGGAGCTACTTTTATCTACGGCAAACTTTTTTGCCACTAAATTAGCCTACGAGACACTTCTTTGCCACTAAATGAGTCTACGGGGAGCTTTCTTGCCACTAAATTCGTCTGCGGGAAGCTTTTGTGCCACTAAATTAGTATACGGGAAGCTTTCTTGCCACTAAATTCGTTTGTGGGACATTTTTTGCCATTAAATTAGTGTACGGAGGGCTTTCTTGCCACTAAATGAGTCTACGGGATCTTTTTTGCCACTTAAGTAGTCTACGGGAAGCTTTTGTCCCACTGAATTAGTCTACGGGCAGCTTTTTTGCACCTAAGGTAGTCTACGGGAGTTTTCTTTGCCATTAAATGAGTCTACGGGAAGCTGTCTTGCCACTAAATTAGTCTACGGGAAGCTTTTGTGCCACTAAATTAGTCTACGGGAAGCTTTTGTGCCCACTAAATTAGTCTACGGACCCTTCTTTGCCACTAAATGAGTCTACGGGGAGCTTTCTTCCCACTAAATTAGTCTACGGGGAGCTTAAATGCAACTAAATTCGTCTACAGGAAGCTTTTGTGCCCACTAAATTAGTCTACGGACCCTTCTTTGCCACTAAATGACTCTACGGGGGGCTTTCTTGCAACTAAATTAGTCTACGGGAAGCTTTTGTGCCACTAAATTAGTCTACGGGGACCTTAAATGCAACTAGATTCGTCTACGGGATCTTTTTTGCAACTAAATTGGTCTACGGGACGCTCTTGCCCCACTAAGTCGCATTGTTTGTCTTTTCTTTTTCCTTGTCATGCTCGCGCTCTCGTTGCTCTGCCCCCCTCTCCTCTTCTTCTCGGGAAGCTTTTTTTTGCCACTCAATTAGTCTGCGGGAGCCTTTTTGGCCGACCCCCAAAGTAGTAGTAGTTCGAGGGGGGGGCGAACTACTACTTGACCCGTAGTCTACGGGAAGCTGTCTTGCCACTAAATCCGTCTACGGGAAGCTTTTTTTGCCACTAAATTAGTCTATGGGAAGCTTTTTTTTGCAATTCAATTAGTCTGCAGGAGCCTTTTTGGCCGACCCCCAAAGTAGTAGTAGTTCGAGGGGGGGGGGCGAACTGTGGGAAGCTGTCTTGCCACTACATTAGTCTACGGGAAGCTTTTTTTGCCACTAAATTAGTCTGCGGGAAGTTTTTTTTGTCATTCAATTAGTCTGCGGGAGCCTTTTTGGCCGACCCCCAAAGTTGTAGTAGTTCGAGAGGGTCTCCAGGAAGCTTTTGTGCCACTAAATTAGTCTACGGGAAGCTTTTTTGCAACTAAATGAGTCTCCAGGAGCCTTTTTTGCCACTAAATGAATCTACGGGAAGCTGTCTTGCGACTAAATTAGTCTCCGGGAAGCTTTTTGTGGCACTAAATTAGTCTACGGGAAGCGTTTTTTTGCAACTAAATTAGTTTGCGGCAGCCTTTTTGCCCGACCCCCAAAGTAGTAGTAGTAGTTCGGGGGGGGGGAACTACTACTACCTGGACCCGAAGTTGTAGTTGTTTCCTGCCACCCCCGCAAAAAAAAGTACTGAAGTTGTAGTTGTTCGGCGGGGGAGCGGGGCCTACAGCACTGTCTGGGAACTCTTGGAAGCCACTAAAGTAGTCTACGGGAAGCTTTCTTGCCACTAAATTTTCCGTGCCACTAAATGAATCTACGGGAAGCTGTCTTGCGACTAAATTAGTCTACGGGACGCTTTTGTGCCACTGAAATTAGTGAACGGGAAGCGTTTGTGCCACTAAATTAGTCTACGGGAAGCTTTTGTGCCACTAAATTCGTCGACGGGAAGCTTTTTACCCACTAAATTCGTCTGTGGGAGCCTTTTTTGCAATTTAATTCGTTTACGGGAAGCGTTCTTGCCACTGACTTTGTTTATGGGAGCTGTAGTCGCAGTTCGCCCCCCCCAAACGACGACTACCTTGACCCGAAGTTGTAATTCTTTCCTGCCCCCGCCCCCCCAAAAAAGTAGTGAAGTTGTAGTTGTTCGGCGGGGGAGCCCGGGAAGCTTTTTTTGCCATTAAATTAGTTTGCGGGAGCTTTTTTGGCCGACCCCTAAAGTAGTAGTACTTCGCCCCCCCGAAGTACTACTACCTGGCCCCGAAGTTGTAGTTGTTTCCTGCCACCCCCGCCAAAAAAAGTACTGAAGTTGTAGTTGTTCGGCGGGGGAGCGGGGCCTACAGCACTGTCTGGGAGCCCTTGGACGCATTTGGACGCTTTCGCGACCTTGTTTGCCACTAAATTAGTCTGCGGGAGCCTTTTTGGGCACTAAAGTAGTCTACGGGAACTTAATTGCCCACAAAACCAGTCTACGGGAAGCTTTCTTGCCACTAAATTAGTCTACGGGAGCCCTTTTTGCCATTCAGTTCGTCTACGGGAGCTACTTTTATCTACGGCAAACTTTTTTGCCACTAAATTAGCCTACGAGACCCTTCTTTGCCACTAACTGAGTCTACGGGGAGCTTTCTTGCCACTAAATTCGTCTGCGGGAAGCTTTTGTGCCACTAAATTAGTATACGGGAAGCTTTTTTGCCACTAAATTCGTTTTTGCCATTAAATTAGTGTACGGAGGGCTTTCTTGCCACTAAATGAGTCTACGGGATCTTTTTTGCCACTTAAGTAGTCTACGGGAAGCTTTTGTCCCACTGAATTAGTCTACGGTCAGCTTTTTTGCACCTAAGGTAGTCTACGGGAGTTTTCTTTGCCATTAAATGAGTCTACGGGAAGCTGTCTTGCCACTAAATTAGTCTACGGGAAGCTTTTGTGCCACTAAATTAGTCTACGGGAAGCTTTTGTGCCCACTAAATTAGTCTACGGACCCTTCTTTGCCACTAAATGAGTCTACGGGGAGCTTTCTTCCCACTAAATTAGCCTACGGGGAGCTTAAATGCAACTAAATTCGTCTACGGGAAGCTTTTGTGCCCACTAAATTAGTCTACGGACCCTTCTTTGCCACTAAATGAGTCTACGGGGAGCTTTCTTGCCACTAAATTAGTCTACGGGAAGCTTTTGTGCCACTAAATTAGTCTACGGGGACCTTAAATGCAACTAAATTCGTCTACGGGATCTTTTTTGCAACTAAATTGGTCTACGGGACGCTTTTGTCCCACTAAGTCGCATTGTTTGTGTTTTCTTTTTCCTTCTCATGCTCGCGCTCTCGTTGCTCTGCCCCCCTCTCCTCTTCTTCTTGTCGGCTTGTCCCGCGGGGTTGGACATCCATTCTCTAAAGATCCTCCGTGAGTATACCACCAGTAGTAGTTGTTGTTCCAGGGGGGGGGCAATAATAAAAAAACGGTTTCGAGTACGCCCTCCATACAAGATAGGGATGGTCATTCAGTGGATTCATTAGGATATACTGTACAATACTGTATATCAATTCTGCTTGAATCTCCACTATGGATGACCAATGATGATCAATGATGATCAATGATGCATGACCATACCCTCCTACACCATGTTTTGACCATGGTGCAAATGTCACCAACAACTTCGTAGGTCAGGACGTAGCAAGAGGTCACATTCTATCGCATGCCACGACCAAATCCTGATGGTGGACCGGGAGGCCTTGCTTCTTCCAATTTCCCGGAGAAAGTCAGCGCAACCAAAGGCGGAACTGGCGCGGTTTGGTCCATGAGAACTGGCAGTAATTAGGGCGAGCGAATTGCTGACCAGTGCCAATCGAGGGATGGAACTTGAACTGAAATGAATGCACAACTTGAAAATGAAAGAGACACCGAAACATACTGTAGGTTGGCTGGCCTTACCGACTCAATGCCTGCAACGCTGATAGCTGAAATGGTTTCCGATCGTGGTAGGCCCATTGCGAGCTTCCGAGCGAAAGTACTTGGAAGTCCGAGTGGACAAAGTGAGAGCCCCAATGTGAGTGTGTCTGAAATTATGATATCCCAAATCCATGGGTTAATCATCTTTATTTCTTTATCAAAGGAACAATTTTGGGGGTATATTCCATTTTCAGACAAACTGTTAGACCCATCTATGAAACTGTTCCAATCATTCCATTTTGTGTCGAAGCACCTCGCAGTTTCATCTGAGGCGAACGAGATCCTGGATGGCCCAGATTCCGGTGCTGGCGACGGTGCCGCCTGCGGTTGCCGCAATGGTCGTCGAGGCCCTGCGGGCACCGCCTCTGACCACGGCCACGATGCCGGCACCTCCTGCCTCGGTGCTGCAAGCAGGGCCCTTGCCCTACTTGCCTTCAATTGCTCCTCCGTACTGTGGAGGCTATCCCTGGGGATTCATGGTCACAGATGAAGTGCCAGGTCCCTTTCGTACGTGCGCGTGAGCAGTAGGACTAATCTACGATAGCTTTGACAACTGCTCAGTGATGTGGAGCATCATTGCTCAACGCTACCAGTAGCTACCAGTAACCTTTGATTTGTGAGAAGGGAGCCTCAGACAAAGGATGGTAGCCGGAAGCCGTGTAGACATGTCAAGTTGACATCTGCCAGTGACAGGTCCGAATCTGTCGGGATTTGTTCCCCCAACAGCGTGGAACCTGGCGCTTGATGTGTCAACGTTTGGAACCAACATGATCAAACATGTCGCTTGTCACCACACAGCGTCCATGAAATTTGAAGAAGAATAGATGTAATTTGTTTTTGTTTCAAAGATATAGAGCATGTCATCCATTCTCAGACTAACTCAGTCAACCTGAGGCGTTCAATGCTCCAGTGGCACGCGCCGCAGAAATATGTGCTGTGTGGCCCACTGAGCAAGGTGGGAGAAGAGCCTAAAATGCCTAAAAGAGTGGTCATACACCGTGGTGAAGAGTGAAAGCAAGTCTACCTATCGTTTGCTCATACTTGACACCATCCTTTTCTTTTCAAGTGGTTGTTTCCTCTTTGTGGCACTCATTGAATGGGTCCTCTCTTCAAAAATGTGTCGGTAAATTTGGTCTTTGTTCGTATGTTGACCTCTTACATTTTTTCCGCAGTTGTGCCATCTGTCTCTCTCTGTCTGTGTCTCATATTCAACTTCCTTTTTTGTGGGAAGTTGTGGTGGGAAGCTTTTGGTAATTTTGACATGTTGACATCCTCCCCGCTGAAAGGCACTTCTGTGCAACTCCTGACGAAACGCAGGGAACCTAGTACTCAGGTAGGGAAGGTATCCTTGCCATTCCTTGACTAGAAAAAGTCCTGATGTAGGAAACCTATCAGGAACATCATTGGTACCACTGCCGGATCAAGTTCCTGTAATGAGGGATGCTAACACACAAACACACCTTCATGTTGGGATCAAGTTTCTGCTTAATTGCGCAAATTGAGCAACAATAATAATTAACACAGAAGGACTTTGTCGCTCGTTGTTTGAAACATCATTGCATCTAGCCATTCATAGGGCCCAAGCGATCTCAATCAACCTGAGGTGCGAAATGATGCGAAATGCTCCACCCACGGTAGAAACATGTACCGTGTGGCTCCACTGCCACAGACTGCGCGCCGGAAAACATGCGATGAAACTTGGGTGATCTTGGCAGGTCACTTTAGCAAGTGCTGGTTGTTACAAGCTGGCGCCACCTTAGCAATGTTTGTTCCTTTCTAACTACCAAGATATAACTATAAACATGTGTGGTGTCGGTCAAGATTTGTCTACCAGTTGTCAGGCGTGCTCTAACTAATTTTGCCTCTGTATCTACGTACGATTTCCCCTGCTTGTATTTGGGGTGTTGGTAGCAACCTTATTATCGTTGCATCATGGTTTTGCAGCAATCTCCACTTCTAGTATTCACATTTCATGGATAGTACATGGTGAACGTCCAAAACAGCAGGCAAACAGCTGATCATGTCACCAAATATGGTAACATGTATTAAACTGTCACCAAATTAAGAACAGATTAAAATATGTTTCCAAGTTTCCTTTGCGATTCGACATGGTACTTGTAGGGATTGTGAAATGCTTCAGTGTGGCATCACTGATCACTGAGAGGCACAGTTGTTTCAAGGTACTTGCCCTGGACCGTGCTGTGAGAAACTTATATATATATAAGTTCTTGCATCTTCCGCTGCCTTCATCAAGAGAGTGAAAAGTGGACGACTTGGCCCTCTCGCGGCGTATTTCCTGTGCTATTTGAACAGCACAAGCGCAGAATTTCCAATGGCACCTGCGCAGTCCGGGCCGTCGCCTCAGAGTCAGAGAGGCAGCCGTTGATGGTACCCGTGATTCGTTGCAGGTTATGCAGGGCGACCAGGGTCAACGGTCAACTGCCGACACTTCTGGGGAAACTTGCCGCTAGAGATGGAGTGTTGTTGGTGCAGGGCATTTTTTCTGGGGATGGTGGAAGTAGTTAGGGGTACATGTTCTCAAGACACTCCTTCCTTCCCCCAACATATCACAAGACACATCAAGACACTCTTTGCAAAGAGGAATTGTTTTCTCGGCCGGATCAACTTTCCAATTCCCAAACGCAGTTTTTACTTCAATTTGATTCAATTTGTAGGTTTTTTGTCGCAGTTGCTTTCGTGATTGATGTGGGCGGTGGGTGTGTTGAATCATGCTGGGTCTTTGTGTTTGATTTCGAAAGTGGTCGACGCATTCTTTGTATGTTTTGGGGAGGACAAACCATCTAATTCCGAAACACCGAGGTTCTTAAAAACCTTTGACTGTGGCCGGGTATTGATTCATTTATATCGCTGGGTGGGAGAAACCTCTTTTTGTTTGCATTTCTATTCACTTTGCAAAATCGCACATAGAATATCAGTTAACTAATGATCCCTGATGGAAAGCTGATTGCATGTTGGATCACGTTGGAGAGTGCTCCCTGATGTTTTGATCTTGCGGATCGTAACGTCCTCGCGGCAAGTTTTAAACACTCAGGAATCCTGGAGTCAAATTCCCAGGCGTCGGGGGGGATGGTTCGGAGACCCATAAGGTGGATTTCCCTTGAAAGTCATACAGTCATACAAGATAGGGATGGTCATTCAGTGGATTCATTAGGATATACTGTATAATACTGTATATCAATTCTGCTTGAATCTCCACTATGGATGACCAATGATGATCAATGATGATCAATGATGCATGACCATACCCTCCTACACCATGTTTTGACCATGGTGCAAATGTCACCAACAACTTGGTAGGTCAGGACGTAGCAAGAGGTCACATTCTATCGCATGTCACGACCAAATCCTGATGGTTGCCGGGAGGCCTTGCTTCTTCCAATCTCCCAGAGAAAGTCAGCGCAACGAAAGGCGGAACTGGCGCGGTTTGGTCTATGAGAACTGGCAGTAATTAGCGCGAGCGAATTGCTGACCAGTGCCAATTGAGGGATGGAACTTGAACTGAAATGAATGCAAAACTTGAAAATGAAAGAGACACCGAAACATACTGTAGATTGGCTGGCCTTACCAACTCAATGCCTGCAACGCTGACAGCTGAAATGGTTTCCGATCGTGGTAGGCCCATTGCGAGCTTCCGAGCGAAAGTACTTGGAAGTCCGAGTGGACAAAGTGAGAGCCCCAATGTGAGTGTGTCTGAAATTATGATATCCCAAATCCATGGGTTAATCATCTTTATTTCTTTATCAAAGGAACAATTTTGGGGGTATATTCCATTTTCAGACAAACTGTTAGACCCATCTATGAAACGGCTCCAATGATTCGATTTTGCGTCGAAGCACCTCGCAGTTTCATCTGAGGCGAACGAGATCCTGGGCATGGCGGGGCTCCCTAAGGCCGATGGCTGTCAGTTCCATAAAGGCGACTGGATCTTGCAACGACCAGGACATGTATACGGGGCTGTTTTTGACCCCCTTTGTTTTTGCCTTTGCATTTCTATCATTTCTCCAGAATTCAACGGAGCTTGTTAGGAATGATTGAGTGCCGCAAACAGTGAAATGTTGCACCGTTTTGAAATGTTTGGACAAAGGTTTCAGCATGTGTATTACAGCAAATTCCAGCAAAATCACTGAATCCAGAGTGCAACATGCTGTCAATATCTGTCGATACCATTGAATGACTACCACAGTTGCTCTGGGAATTGAGGGTTCGTTGTTAGTCTATTTCGCTTTTTGCCCTCCATTGTTTGGGGATAATGCACAGATAACCAGCGGCAAACATGTTCCAACTGCTCCCAAGGACAACTTCCGGCTGCACCCTTTCTGCGTCAGAAGCTGAAGAGCTGCGCTTCTCAAATTGAAAGTGTTCTCTCTTATGGGGGTTTCTTTAAGTGGAACCCCAAGTCACCATGGGTTTCAATATGTTTCAATACTAAAATGGTCCATGACTTGGATGATTTGGGGGTACCCCCGTGACTTGATACATCTTGATACTATCCACTTGCAACCGTCGAGGTGAGTGCCTATTACCCAGGCCATGGCTGCCGTTGCTCAATGTTGCCCAGAGCGGAAACGGACCATGCGTTGCGGCCAGGAGAAGCCCAAGAGGTCATTGAAGCGAGGAAAACTTCCTTTGTTCCTGGGAAAAAGAGTGCACCTGGGTCGCGCCGTGAGGACAGGGCCGGCTCTGAAGTCTGTCATGAGTTGGTTGCATGTTGGAAGCTAGTTTTGGATATAGTCTTGGCTTTATGTACAGGAATTCCTCTCAGGTGTGGACGGAAAATGGAGTCACCTATGACTTGCAATCTCCAAGTATTCTAAGCGATCATCCGAAGTGCAAACTTGGGCATTGGAACATTTGGGAACAATTAAGATAAACCAATTCCAGACATTCGCGGCAAAATGTTCTCTTCCACTGGTTTCCAGATTCCTCTCTGGGGCTGAGCAGCCACCGTGCTGGCAGGATTGTTTCTTTTTTGAAACGATCCGGATTCCGTTCAACCCAAGGCCTCTAAGCGGGGTTTCCAAAAGCCGTTGTCCACAGGGAGGCGGGATACCCTGTTGGTTGTTCTGCCAGGCAGCAGCTGTTGCATGTGGACATCTTCGAAGTACAAGTGCCACTGCAGATGGAGTTTGAAGATGAGTGGGTTGGAAGGCCCTTTGTGTTGGGCACTGTGCTGTGGGTAGCTGCCAGCAACAATGATGGGAGATGCTGATCAGTTTGATTTTCAATTGCCTTTTCATGCTCGGCCAAACTCACTTGCTGTGGTGTAATAGCAGGTCTCAGGCCGATTCAGACCCCCTTGGGCCAGTAAGCTTTTTGCTGGATTCGGTCCGGCTCAACCAAACATGTGTGCAATTTCAAGGATGATGATCATGATCATGCTGCTGCTGCTGATGATGATGATGATGATGAGGATGATTAAGACCCATGGAAGTGGTGGCCGCAGGGCGACCCTGCAGCTGGCCGATCCCAGAGTGGAAGAGCCAGCAGAATATGAGCTGACCCGCGGCCCTTTTGAGTACGGGGGCACGTCAGCGCCTCACGGAACCAATTGCTTTGTGAATCTTTGTGTCAGCGTGAGACTGGGTTCATGTCGTACAGAGCAAGGTTCTGAAAGATTTCGTGTCCAGATCTTCCGTGTTCCCTTGTGTCCAAAACCATCAGATGCCAGTCAGAGTGCAGAAACACTAGATAACAAAAGTGTTTCCATGGATTCCATGGGTTCATTTTGGTCATTTTGGATCTTGGGTCACTAAGGGTGACGGTGAGTGTCAAATTTCCGGATCCGGAGGCACGCTTTGCTGCAGTGCTCTTCTGTCCAAATGTGCAGATAGTGAACAGTAGTCAGGATATGAGTAGTAGGTAAGGAATTGTCAATGGAAATCCTGCAGTGATTGAAACATCCAATGTAAATTGCATCTCCCTTTCCATGTGTGAAGACAGAATCAAGGCAGGGACTCAAGGATGCTCAGTTGGCCATGGCCAAAGTCGAAGCTCAGGTTGAAGCTCACCCACTACCCGACGTACGAGACTTCCCAAAGCCAGTCTCCCCACGTTACTCAGCTCGTTGATTTTTGTGCGAGTCACTGTTCAGTTTGAATCCTTTCGCAAGCTGAAGCACACAACATGCCGAAGATGAAGATTTGTTCAACGTTTTCGAAACATTTTGTATGTATTAGCATCTGTAGCTTGTGCGCAGCACCAGACAGGATGGATTTTTGGCACTTCCGGTTTTACGCAGACTGTTGGAGACACACTACTTTCATGCTCTCTTTGAGAACTTGCCATGTTTTTTTTGATCACAGGACATGTAGAGGAGATGAATGGGGCATGCTACCCATGTCCCTGCATCTTCATGCACTGACTGCTTGCAGTCAATTCGATTTCGATCTATGGACCATTCAATATATTATATATTGAATAATAATGAATAACATTGAATGCCAATACGATAGATCCTGGTTGAACAGCACAGCGTCCTCTGTCGGAGCTATCGCATGATCCTACAGTACATGTAGGCCTGAGTTTCACCATTCCCATTTCTCCGTTTGCACCATTCAACATACTCTTGTTGATTAGTTATGGTATGTATTGATATCTTATAGTCATCATAGGAATTACTACATGGTTGATTATAGTTATTAGTTGTTATAAGTTGTTAGAATAATAGTTGATTTTGAATGGCTCATTTACACCTCGGCCGTTGCCTTCTCAGGTGAATATGCCAACTCCAAAACGATGGGCACAGACGCAGGTCTCCTTGCAAAGTTTGGCCACACCATGCGGCAAGTTGTTGGACCGTTGGGCCGTGGGGCCGTTGGGCCGTTGGGCCGTTGGGGGACACAAGCTGAACAGACAGCGTTTCTGAGAGTTCGTTAGGAACATGATGTCATGATTTTATATGATTTAATAGCATGACCCTGGATGACTCCTTTTGGCGAAGGTGGGATCGACATGAGCCCTTTCGATATACCGCGCAAAGGGTCCGGGTCGAGCTCAAATTCAACTGGCCAAGGTGAGAAACAGAGTGAGACAGAGCGAGAGAACGTGATTTTATGATGTTTTGAAGACAGTGTGCTTGACTTGTGCCTTCATGCCATTCATGCAGGATAGTTTAAAAACTTGAGAGTTCTTGGACCCTTTGTTTTGTAGTTTCCATACTTCCTATTCAGTTTATTCATCTACGGACAGACATCCCTGTGCAATAAGTGAACACTTCGCGCCTTCAGACGTGCACCTAAAATCTAGACGTCCACGGCAGATCTCAAGATTCAACCCCCGCCTCTGCGTCCAGCAAGGCAAATCACCGCAGCCCGTTTGGGTGCCGGAGATCAAGGGTCCTGGCGGCTCCGGTCCCTCGGCTCAGCTGCGCAACTCGCCCAAGCTGTGTCCCTCCATGTTTCAAATGACGAGGCTTTGGCCTCGATCCGAAGATCGATAACATTTGGAAGTTCAACACAGGTTCAGTGGGTGGGTGATAACTTCTCATGATAACTACAACTTAAAAAGCTTTGAAAGATTGAAATTGACGTGAGCCACGATGAATTGAAATTGTGCTTCCAGGTTGAGATGAGTGCTCGACATCCAAAGAGCACAGAATGCTCAAACATGATTCTTGTTGGTTTGGTAATCCCCTTCCGGGACCTCAAGATTCTCAAACTAAGCAAGATTTTGTAATTCTGGCTACGATGGTCCGATGGTATACCGGAAATCGTATTGAATCGCAAGTCAAGGTCCTGAAATCAATCTACCCGAAGCAGAGTTTTATTGAAAACAAAGGATACCAGCAATGGGTTTTGCATGGTTTTGCCTGTTGGCTGAATATGCACCGCTGATTTTCTAGATCCTTTCAGGAATACCAGAATAGCCCTGAACTGCAGATCCTGCTGCCGGCAGACGGAAACAGACAAGAATCGTGTGACTGGACAAACACTGGCACATTCACGCCATATTATGGGTTGCAAGTGTGTTCCCAAACGCAAGGTTGCTTTTCATGTTTTTTTTAACTCTGGCCAGGTCCTGTGAAAGGTGGGACAATGAGCCCCCTTCCCAGCTTCCCTCCACAGTGGTTCACGGCGAAGTTGCCACCCGGAACGCCACACCCGCGTCCACTGCCGCCATCGGCCTTCCAGCCTCCCCCAGTGCCGCCCGAGCTGATGGCCCAGATTCCCGTCCTCGCGACGGTGCCGCCCGCCGTTGCTGCAATGGTCGTGCAGGCCCTGCGGGCGCCGCCTCTGACCACGGCCACGATGCCGGCGCCTCCTGCGTCGGTGCTGCTTGCAGGGCCCTTGCCCTACTTGCCCTCAATTGCTCCTCCGTACTGTGGAGGCTATCCCCGGGGATTCATGGTCAGAGGTGAAGTGCCAGGTCCCTTTCGTACGTGCGTGTGAGCAGTAGGACTAATCTACGATAGCTTTGACAACTGCTCAGTGATGTGGAGCATCATTTCACAAAGCTACCAGTAGCTACCAGTAACCTTTGATTTGTGAGAAGGGAGCCTCAGACAAAGGATGGTAGCCGGAAGCCGTGTAGACATGGCAAGTTGACATCTGCCAGTGACAGGTCCGAATCTGTCGGGATTTGTTCCCCCAACAGCGTGGAACCTGGCGCTTGATGTGTCAACGTTTGGAACCAACATTATCAAACATGTCGCTTGTCACCACACAGCGTCCATGAAATTTCAGGAAGAATATAGAGACAGATGTCATTTGTCCTTGTTTCAAAGATATAGAGCATTTCATCCATTCTCAGATTGACTCAGTCAAGTTGAGGTCTTCCCTGCTCCAGTGGCACGTGGCAGAAACATGTGCTGTGTGGCCCACTGAGCAAGGTGGGAGAAGAGCCTAAAGTGCCTAAAAGAGTGGTCATACACCGTGGTGAAGAGTGAAAACAAGTCTACCTATCGTTTGCTGATACTTGACACCATCCTTTTCTTTTCAAGTGGTTGTTTCCTCTTTGTGGCACTCATTGAATGGGTCCTCTCTTCAAAAGTGTGTCGGTAAATTTGGTCTTTGTTCGTATGTTGACCTTACATTTTTCCCGCAGTTGTGCTATCTGTCTCTCTCTCTCTCTCTCTCTCCCTCCCTCCATGTCTCATATTCAACTTCCTTTTTTGTGGGAAGTTGTGGTGGGAAGCTTTTGGTAATTATGACATGTTGACATCCTCCCCGCTGCAAGGCACTTCTGTGCAACTCCCGACGAAATGCAGGGAACCTAGTACTCAGGTAGGGAAGGTATCCTTGCCATTCCTTGACTAGAAAAAGTCCTGATGTAGGAAACCTATCAGGAACATCATTGGTACCACTGCCGGATCAAGTTCCTGTAATGAGGGATGCTAACACACAAACACACCTTCATGTTGGGATCAAGTTTCTGCTTAATTGCGCAAATTGAGCAACAATAATAATTAACACAGAAGGACTTTGTCGCTCGTTGTTTGAAACATCATTGCATCTAGCCAGTCATAGGGCGCAAGCGATCTCAATCAAGCTGAGGTGCGAAATGATGCGAAATGCTCCACCCACGGTAGAAACATGTACCGTGTGGCTCCGCTGCCACAGACTGCGCGCCGGAAAACATGCGATGAAACTTGGATGGGTGATCTTGGCAGGTCACTTTAGCAAGTGGTGCTGGTTGTTACAAGCTGGCGCCCCCTTAGCAATGTTTGTTCCTTTCTAATTACCAAGATATAGCTATAAACATGTGTGGTGTCGGTCAAGATTTGTCTACCAGTTGTCAGGGGTGCTCTAACTAATTTTGCCTCTGTATCTACGTACGATTTCCCCTGCTTGTATTTGGGGTGTTGGCAGCAACCTTATTATCGTTGCATCATGGTTTTGCAGCAATCTCCACTTCTAGTATTCACATTTCATGGATAGTGCATGGTGAACGTCCAAAACAGCAGGCAAACAGCTGATCATGTCACCAAACATGGTAACACGTATTAAACCAAATTGAGAACAGATTAAAATCTGATTCCAAGTTTCCTTTGTGATTCGACATGGTACTTGTAGGGATTGTGAAATGCTTCAGTGTGGCACCACTGAGAGGCACCGTTGTTTCAAGGTACTTGCCCTGGACCGTGCTGTGAGAAACTTATATATAAGTTCTTGCATCTTCCGCTGCCTTCATCAAGAGAGAGTGAAAGTGGACGACCAAGTCCTCTTCCGGCGTAGTTCCTGTGCTATTTGAATAGCACAACCGCAGTGAATTTCCCATGGCACCTGCGCAGTGCGCAGGTGCCATCGGAAATTCACTGCGGTTGTGCTGTTCAAATAGCACAGGTCTGGGCCGTCGCCTCAGAGTCAGAGAGGCAGCCTTTGATGGTACCCGTGATTCGTTGCAGGTTATGCAGGGCAACCAGGGTCAACGGGCAACTGCCGACACTTCTGGGGAAACTTGCCGCTAGAGATGGAGTGTTGTTGGTGCAGAGCATCTTTTCTGGGGATGGTGGAAGTATTTAGGGCTACATGTTCTGGAGACACTCCTTCCTTTCCCCAACACATCACAAGACAAATCAAGACACTCTTTGCAAAGAGGAATTGTTTTCTCGGCCGGATCAACTTTCCAATTCCCAAACGCAGTTTTTACTTCAATTTGATTCAATTTGTAGGTTTTTTGTCGCAGTTGCTTTCGTGATTGATGTGGGCGGTGGGTGTGTTGAATCATGCTGGGTCTTTGTGTTTGATTTCGAAAGTGGTCGACGCATTCTTTGTATGTTTTGGGGAGGACAAACCATCTAATTCCGAAACACCGAGGTTCTTAAAAACCTTTGACTGTGGCCGGGTATTGATTCATTTATATCGCTGGGTGGGAGAAACCTCTTTTTGTTTGCATTTCTATTCACTTTGCAAAATCGCACATAGAATATCAGTTAACTAATGATCCCTGATGGAAAGCTGATTGCATGTTGGATCACGTTGGAGAGTGCTCCCTGATGTTTTGATCTTGCGGATCGTAACGTCCTCGCGGCAAGTTTTCAACACTCAGGAATCCTGGAGTCAAATTCCCAGGCGTCGGGGGGGATGGTTCGGAGACCCATAAGGTGGATTTCCCTTGAAAGTCATACAGTCATACAAGATAGGGATGGTCATTCAGTGGATTCATTAGGATATACTGTATAATACTGTATATCAATTCTGCTTGAATCTCCACTATGGATGACCAATGATGATCAATGATGATCAATGATGCATGACCATACCCTCCTACACCATGTTTTGACCATGGTGCAAATGTCACCAACAACTTGGTAGGTCAGGACATAGCAAGAGGTCACATTCTATCGCATGCCACGACCAAATCCTGACGGTTGCCGGGAGGCCTTGCTTCTTCCAATTTCCCGGAGAAAGTCAGCGCAACCAAAGGCGGAACTGGCGCGGTTTGGTCTATGAGAACTGGCAGTAATTAGGGCGAGCGAATTGCTGACCAGTGCCAATCGAGGGATGGAACTTGAACTGAAATGAATGCACAACTTGAAAATGAAAGAGACACCGAAACATACTGTAGGTTGGCTGGCCTTACCGACTCAATGCCTGCAACGCTGATAGCTGAAATGGTTTCCGATCGTGGTAGGCCCATTGCGAGCTTCCGAGCGAAAGTACTTGGAAGTCCGAATGGACAAAGTGAGAGCCCCAATGTGAGTGTGTCTGAAATTATGATATCCCAAATCCATGGGTTAATCATCTTTATTTCTTTATCAAAGGAACAATTTTGGGGGTATATTCCATTTTCAGACAAACTGTTAGACCCATCTATGAAACTGTTCCAATCATTCCATTTTATGTCGAAGCACCTCGCAGTTTCATCTGAGGCGAACGAGATCCTGGATGGCCCAGATTCCGGTGCTGGCGACGGTGCCGCCTGCGGTTGCCGCAATGGTCGTCGAGGCCCTGCGGGCACCGCCTCTGACCACGGCCACGATGCCGGCACCTCCTGCCTCGGTGCTGCAAGCAGGGCCCTTGCCCTACTTGCCCTCAATTGCTCCTCCGTACTGTGGAGGCTATCCCTGGGGATTCATGGTCAGAGATGATGTGCCAGGTCCCTTTCGTACGTGCGCGTGAGCAGTAGGACTAATCTACGATAGCTTTGACAACTGCTCAGTGATGTGGAGCATCATTGCTCAACGCTACCAGTAGCTACCAGTAACCTTTGATTTGTGAGAAGGGAGCCTCAGACAAAGGATGGTAGCCGGAAGCCGTGTAGACATGGCAAGTTGACATCTGCCAGTGACAGGTCCGAATCTGTCGGGATTTGTTCCCCCAACAGCGTGGAACCTGGCGCTTGATGTGTCAACGTTTGGAACCAAAATGATCAAACATGTCGCTTGTCACCACACAGCGTCCATGAAATTTGAAGAAGAATAGATGTCATTTGTTTTTGTTTCAAAGATATAGAGCATGTCATCCATTCTCAGACTAACTCAGTCAACCTGAGGCGTTCAATGCTCCAGTGGCACGCGGCAGAAACATGTGCTGTGTGGCCCACTGAGCAAGGTGGGAGAAGAGCCTAAAATGCCTAAAAGAGTGGTCATACACCGTGGTGAAGAGTGAAAACAAGTCTACCTATCGTTTGCTGATACTTGACACCATCCTTTTCTTTTCAAGTGGTTGTTTCCTCTTTGTGGCACTCATTGAATGGGTCCTCTCTTCAAAAATGTGTCGGTAAATTTGGTCTTTGTCCGTATGTTGACCTCTTACATTTTTCCCGCAGTTGTGCCATCTGTCTCTCTCTGTCCGTGTCTCATATTCAACTTCCTTTTTTGTGGGAAGTTGTGGTGGGAAGCTTTTGGTAATTTTGACATGTTGACATCCTCCCCGCTGAAAGGCACTTCTGTGCAACTCCCGACGAAACGCAGGGAACCTAGTACTCAGGTAGGGAAGGTATCCTTGCCATTCCTTGACTAGAAAAAGTCCTGATGTAGGAAACCTGTCAGGAACATCATTGGTACCACTGCCGGATCAAGTTCCTGTAATGAGGGATGCTAACACACAAACACACCTTCATGTTGGGATCAAGTTTCTGCTTAATTGCGCAAATTGAGCAACAATAATAATTAACACAGAAGGACTTTGTCGCTCGTTGTTTGAAACATCATTGCATCTAGCCATTCATAGGGCCCAAGCGATCTCAATCAACCTGAGGTGCGAAATGATGCGAAATGCTCCACCCACGGTAGAAACATGTACCGTGTGGCTCCACTGCCACAGACTGCGCGCCGGAAAACATGCGATGAAACTTGGGTGATCTTGGCAGGTCACTTTAGCAAGTGCTGGTTGTTACAAGCTGGCGCCACCTTAGCAATGTTTGTTCCTTTCTAACTACCAAGATATAACTATAAACATGTGTGGTGTCGGTCAAGATTTGTCTACCAGTTGTCAGGGGTGCTCTAACTAATTTTGCCTCTGTATCTACGATTTCCCCTGCTTGTATTTGGGGTGTTGGTAGCAACCTTATTATCGTTGCATCATGGTTTTGCAGCAATCTCCACTTCTAGTATTCACATTTCATGGATAGTACATGGTGAACGTCCAAAACAGCAGGCAAACAGCTGATCATGTCACCAAATATGGTAACATGTATTAAACTGTCACCAAATTAAGAACAGATTAAAATATGTTTCCAAGTTTCCTTTGCGATTCGACATGGTACTTGTAGGGATTGTGAAATGCTTCAGTGTGGCATCACTGATCACTGAGAGGCACAGTTGTTTCAAGGTACTTGCCCTGGACCGTGCTGTGAGAAACCTATATATATATAAGTTCTTGCATCTTCCGCTGCCTTCATCAAGAGAGTGAAAAGTGGACGACTTGGTCCTCTCGCGGCGTATTTCCTGTGCTATTTGAACAGCACAAGCGCAGAATTTCCAATGGCACCTGCGCAGTCCGGGCCGTCGCCTCAGAGTCAGAGAGGCAGCCGTTGATGGTACCCGTGATTCGTTGCAGGTTATGCAGGGCGACCAGGGTCAACAGTCAACTGCCGACACTTCTGGGGAAACTTGCCGCTAGAGATGGAGTGTTGTTGGTGCAGGGCATTTTTTCTGGGGATGGTGGAAGTAGTTAGGGGTACATGTTCTGGAGACACTCCTTCCTTCCCCCAACATATCACAAGACACATCAAGACACTCTTTGCAAAGAGGAATTGTTTTCTCGGCCGGATCAACTTTCCAATTCCCAAACGCAGTTTTTCGTTCAATTTGATTCAATTTGTAGGTTTTTGGTCGCAGTTGCTTTTGTGATTGATGGGACGTGTTTGTTCGCAAATTTGTGGTTCTGTGGGCGGTGGGCGTGTTGAATCATGCTGGGTCTTTGTGTTTGATTTCGAAAGTGGTCGACGCATTCTTTGTATGTTTTGGGGAGGACACACCATCTAATTCCGAAACACCGAGGTTCTTAAAAACCTTTGACTGTGGCTGGGTATTGATTCATTTATATCGCTGGGTGGGAGAAACCTCTTTTTGTTTGCATTTCTATTCACTTTGCAAAATCGCACATAGAATATCAGTTAACTAATGATCCCTGATGGAAAGCTGATTGCATGTTGGATCACGTTGGAGAGTGCTCCCTGATGTTTTTATCTTGCGGATCGTAACGTCCTCGCGGCAAGTTTTCAACACTCAGGAATCCTGGAGTCAAATTCCCAGGCGTCGGGGGGGATGGTTCGGAGACCCATAAGGTGGATTTCCCTTGAAAGTCATACAGTCATACAAGATAGGGATGGTCATTCAGTGGATTCATTAGGATATACTGTATAATACTGTATATCAATTCTGCTTGAATCTCCACTATGGATGACCAATGATGATCAATGATGATCAATGATGCATGACCATACCCTCCTACACCATGTTTTGACCATGGTGCAAATGTCACCAACAACTTGGTAGGTCAGGACGTAGCAAGAGGTCACATTCTATCGCATGTCACGACCAAATCCTGATGGTTGCCGGGAGGCCTTGCTTCTTCCAATCTCCCAGAGAAAGTCAGCGCAACGAAAGGCGGAACTGGCGCGGTTTGGTCTATGAGAACTGGCAGTAATTAGCGCGAGCGAATTGCTGACCAGTGCCAATTGAGGGATGGAACTTGAACTGAAATGAATGCAAAACTTGAAAATGAAAGAGACACCGAAACATACTGTAGATTGGCTGGCCTTACCAACTCAATGCCTGCAACGCTGACAGCTGAAATGGTTTCCGATCGTGGTAGGCCCATTGCGAGCTTCCGAGCGAAAGTACTTGGAAGTCCGAGTGGACAAAGTGAGAGCCCCAATGTGAGTGTGTCTGAAATTATGATATCCCAAATCCATGGGTTAATCATCTTTATTTCTTTATCAAAGGAACAATTTTGGGGGTATATTCCATTTTCAGACAAACTGTTAGACCCATCTATGAAACGGCTCCAATGATTCGATTTTGCGTCGAAGCACCTCGCAGTTTCATCTGAGGCGAACGAGATCCTGGGCATGGCGGGGCTCCCTAAGGCCGATGGCTGTCAGTTCCATAAAGGCGACTGGATCTTGCAACGACCAGGACATGTATACGGGGCTGTTTTTGACCCCCTTTGTTTTTGCCTTTGCATTTCTATCATTTCTCCAGAATTCAACGGAGCTTGTTAGGAATGATTGAGTGCCGCAAACAGTGAAATGTTGCACCGTTTTGAAATGTTTGGACAAAGGTTTCAGCATGTGTATTACAGCAAATTCCAGCAAAATCACTGAATCCAGAGTGCAACATGCTGTCAATATCTGTCGATACCATTGAATGACTACCACAGTTGCTCTGGGAATTGAGGGTTCGTTGTTAGTCTATTTCGCTTTTTGCCCTCCATTGTTTGGGGATAATGCACAGATAACCAGCGGCAAACATGTTCCAACTGCTCCCAAGGACAACTTCCGGCTGCACCCTTTCTGCGTCAGAAGCTGAAGAGCTGCGCTTCTCAAATTGAAAGTGTTCTCTCTTATGGGGGTTTCTTTAAGTGGAACCCCAAGTCACCATGGGTTTCAATATGTTTCAATACTAAAATGGTCCATGACTTGGATGATTTGGGGGTACCCCCGTGACTTGATACATCTTGATACTATCCACTTGCAACCGTCGAGGTGAGTGCCTATTACCCAGGCCATGGCTGCCGTTGCTCAATGTTGCCCAGAGCGGAAACGGACCATGTGTTGCGGCCAGGAGAAGCCCAAGAGGTCATTGAAGCGAGGAAAACTTCCTTTGTTCCTGGGAAAAAGAGTGCACCTGGGTCGCGCCGTGAGGACAGGGCCGGCTCTGAAGTCTGTCATGAGTTGGTTGCATGTTGGAAGCTAGTTTTGGATATAGTCTTGGCTTTATGTACAGGAATTCCTCTCAGGTGTGGACGGAAAATGGAGTCACCTATGACTTGCAATCTCCAAGTATTCTAAGCGATCATCCGAAGTGCAAACTTGGGCATTGGAACATTTGGGAACAATTAAGATAAACCAATTCCAGACATTCGCGGCAAAATGTTCTCTTCCACTGGTTTCCAGATTCCTCTCTGGGGCTGAGCAGCCACCGTGCTGGCAGGATTGTTTCTTTTTCGAAACGATCCGGATTCCGTTCAACCCAAGGCCTCTAAGCGGGGTTTCCAAAAGCCATTGTCCACAGGGAGGTTGGGATACCCTGTTGGTTGTTCTGCCAGGCAGCAGCTGTTGCATGTGGACATCTTCGAAGTACAAGTGCCACTGCAGATGGAGTTTGAAGATGAGTGGGTTGGAAGGCCCTTTGTGTTGGGCACTGTGCTGTGGGTAGCTGCCAGCAACAATGATGGGAGATGCTGATCAGTTTGATTTTCAATTGCCTTTTTCATGCTCGGCCAAACTCACTTGCTGTGGTGTAATAGCAGGTCTCAGGCCGATTCAGACCCCCTTGGGCCAGTAAGCTTTTTGCTGGATTCGGTCCGGCTCAACCAAACATGTGTGCAATTTCAAGGATGATGATCATGATCATGCTGCTGCTGCTGATGATGATGATGAGGATGATTAAGACCCATGGAAGTGGTGGCCGCAGGGCGACCCTGCAGCTGGCCGATCCCAGAGTGGAAGAGCCAGCAGAATATGAGCTGACCCGCGGCCCTTTTGAGTACGGGGGCACGTCAGCGCCTCACGGAACCAATTGCTTTGTGAATCTTTGTGTCAGCGTGAGACTGGGTTCATGTCGTACAGAGCAAGGTTCTGAAAGATTTCGTGTCCAGATCTTCCGTGTTCCCTTGTGTCCAAAACCATCAGATGCCAGTCAGAGTGCAGAAACACTAGATAACAAAAGTGTTTCCATGGATTCCATGGGTTCATTTTGGTCATTTTGGATCTTGGGTCACTAAGGGTGACGGTGAGTGTCAAATTTCCGGATCCGGAGGCACGCTTTGCTGCAGTGCTCTTCTGTCCAAATGTGCAGATAGTGAACAGTAGTCAGGATATGAGTAGTAGGTAAGGAATTGTCAATGGAAATCCTGCAGTGATTGAAACATCCAATGTAAATTGCATCTCCCTTTCCATGTGTGAAGACAGAATCAAGGCAGGGACTCAAGGATGCTCAGTTGGCCATGGCCAAAGTCGAAGCTCAGGTTGAAGCTCACCCACTACCCGACGTACGAGACTTCCCAAAGCCAGTCTCCCCACGTTACTCAGCTCGTTGATTTTTGTGCGAGTCACTGTTCAGTTTGAATCCTTTCGCAAGCTGAAGCACACAACATGCCGAAGATGAAGATTTGTTCAACGTTTTCGAAACATTTTGTATGTATTAGCATCTGTAGCTTGTGCGCAGCACCAGACAGGATGGATTTTTGGCACTTCCGGTTTTACGCAGACTTGTTGGAGACACACTACTTTCATGCTCTCTTTGAGAACTTGCCATGTTTTTTTTGATCACAGGACATGTAGAGGAGATGAATGGGGCATGCTACCCATGTCCCTGCATCTTCATGCACTGACTGCTTGCAGTCAATTCGATTTCGATCTATGGACCATTCAATATATTATATATTGAATAATAATGAATAACATTGAATGCCAATACGATAGATCCTGGTTGAACAGCACAGCGTCCTCTGTCGGAGCTATCGCATGATCCTACAGTACATGTAGGCCTGAGTTTCACCATTCCCATTTCTCCGTTTGCACCATTCAACATACTCTTGTTGATTAGTTATGGTATGTATTGATATCTTATAGTCATCATAGGAATTACTACATGGTTGATTATAGTTATTAGTTGTTATAAGTTGTTAGAATAATAGTTGATTTTGAATGGCTCATTTACACCTCGGCCGTTGCCTTCTCAGGTGAATATGCCAACTCCAAAACGATGGGCACAGACGCAGGTCTCCTTGCAAAGTTTGGCCACACCATGCGCCAAGTTGTTGGACCGTTGGGCCGTGGGGCCGTTGGGCCGTTGGGCCGTTGGGGGACACAAGCTGAACAGACAGCGTTTCTGAGAGTTCGTTAGGAACATGATGTCATGATTTTATATGATTTAATAGCATGACCCTGGATGACTCCTTTTGGCGAAGGTGGGATCGACATGAGCCCTTTCGATATACCGCGCAAAGGGTCCGGGTTGAGCTCAAATTCAACTGGCCAAGGTGAGAAACAGAGTGAGACAGAGCGAGAGAACGTGATTTTATGATGTTTTGAAGACAGTGTGCTTGACTTGTGCCTTCATGCCATTCATGCAGGATAGTTTAAAAACTTGAGAGTTCTTGGACCCTTTGTTTTGTAGTTTCCATACTTCCTATTCAGTTTATTCATCTACGGACAGACATCCCTGTGCAATAAGTGAACACTTCGCGCCTTCAGACGTACACCTAAAATCTAGACGTCCACGGCAGATCTCAAGATTCAACCCCCGCCTCTGCGTCCGGCAAGGCAAATCGCCGCAGCCCGTTTGGGTGCCGGAGATCAAGGGTCCTGGCGGCTCCGGTCCCTCGGCTCAGCTGCGCAACTCGCCCAAGCTGTGTCCCTCCATGTTTCAAATGACGAGGCTTTGGCCTCGATCCGAAGATCGATAACATTTGGAAGTTCAACACAGGTTCAGTGGGTGGGTGATAACTTCTCATGATAACTACAACTTAAAAAGCTTTGAAAGATTGAAATTGACGTGAGCCACGATGAATTGAAATTGTGCTTCCAGGTTGAGATGAGTGCTCGACATCCAAAGAGCACAGAATGCTCAACCATGATTCTCGTTGGTTTGGTAATCCCCTTCCGGGACCTCAAGATTCTCGAACTAAGCAAACATGTTGTAATTCTGGCTACGATGGTATACCAGAAATCGTATTGAATCGCAAGTCAAGGTCCTGAAATCAATGTACCTGAAGCAGAGTTTTATTGAAAACAAAGGATACTAGCCATGGGTTTTGCATGGTTTTGCCTGTTGGCTGAATATGCAACGATGATTTTCTAGATCCTTTCAGGAATACCAGAATAGCTCTGAAACTGCAGATCCTGCTGCCGGCAGACGGAAACAGACAAGAATCGTGTGACTGGACAAACACTGGCACATTCACGCCATATTATGGGTTGCAAGTGTGTTCCCAAACGCGAGGTTGCTTTTCATGTTTTTTTTAAATCTGGCCAGGTCCTGCGAAAGGTGGGACAATGAGCCCCCTGCCCAGTTTCTCGCCCGAGTGGTTCACGGCGAAGTTGCCACCCGGAACCCCTGCGCCCCGCCCGCTACCGCCATCGGCCTTCCAGCCTCCCCCAGTCCCACCCGGGCTGATGGCCCAGATTCCGGTGCTGGCGACGGTGCCGCCCGCGGTTGCCGCAATGGTCGTGCAGGCCCTGCGGGCACCGCCTCTGACCACGGCCACGATGCCGGCACCACCTGCGTCGGTGCTGCAAGCAGGGCCCTTGCCCTACTTGCCCAGTACACCAATGGCCGCGCAGCTCTATGGAGGTGGGGTTCATGGAGGTGAAGTGTGCCGGGTGCATCTGTGCGTGTGAGCAGTTGCTAAAGTTGACAGCAATAAGAAGATTCACATTTGCCTCGGGTACCCAGTAGGACCAACCCACAATAGCTTTGACAGCCCATAGCCTCTGATGGGTGCGAAAGGAGCCTTAGACAACGATGGATGGTGACATCCGTTGCCAATGACAGGCGCTCCGAATCTGTCGGCATTTGTTGCCCCAACGGCGTGGAACCTGGTGCAGGTAGTTACCAGGTAGATTGTACCCTTGCCATGGCATACGGTTTTCGGATTTGTCAATGTTTGGAACCAAAATTATCACAAGTGTTCTGATGTCCGTGAAAGTTGAAGAAGAACACAGAGACAGACGTCATTTGTTTTTGTTTCAAAGATCATATGATGTGACCGTGCATGGACTAGAGCACTCATCCATTCCCAGATTGACTCAACCTGAGGTGTTCAATGCTCCAGTGGCGCATGGCAGAAACATGTGCTGTGTGGCCCGCTGAGCAAAGGTGGGGCAAACCGTGGCTGTGGCTTGATGTGAGAGCTTTAAAAAAAACATCACATACCTTGGTGACGGGTGGAGCAAGCAGGCTTGCAAATTAATATATATTATTAATATATTATATATATATATTATGTACATATAACTATGTATGTATTAGTTGGCATCATCGTATACTTTTCAAGTGGCTGTCTTCTTTTTTCCTTGCAAATTTTGAATAGTTTCCCTTCCAAATGGTATTGGTATTCTTGTCTTTCTTCGTATCTTACCATCTTTCATGTTTGGCATTGTGATATCTGACTGTCATGCTCCGTTTCTTCTTGGTGGGTAGATGAGCATCCTTGACCAGGAATGTTACGCACTGCCTGGTTGGGAGTGATGACATGTTGACATCCGCAGCGCCGTTCAAGGCACCGTTCAAGGGGCGATTCCCGACGAAATGCTGGGAAACTTGGAAACATCATTGGTACCACTGCTGCTTGTAATGACAGATTCCACCACAAACATGTAAACAAACATTTTATAGCTTAAAGAAAGTTTCTTGCTGCTTTCGCAAGTTTAGCAGTTTAGCAAGACAAATTTCAACAAATGGGTATGTCTGAAAATGGGGTATACCCCCAATTATAGCCATTTAGTAGGGATAATGATCAGCAAAACCATTGGGTGTAGGGGTACACTATTTTCAGACAAACCCAAATGGTGGAGAGAGGCCGGGACTCTCTTTGAAGCATTGCATGTGGGCATGGGCTTGAGAGCCTAAGTCATTCCTGCGACATCAAGCCGAGGTGCGAAATGATCGGTCCACGGTAGAAACATTTGCCGTGTGACCCCACTGCGCAATCACTGAAAAACATGACAGATCGCAGGATTCTTCGTGCTAACAGATTTTGGATACGGACTCTTAAATATCCGGATGGACTTTCTACCTGCCCATGATTTCTTGAAATGCAATTCACACCACAGTGCTGTCATCATTTTTTGACATCAGCATGATTCGACAAAGCATTTCTGCAAAACTTTGTCATGTTTGTGAACTCTTCCAGTGTCACACATGGACAATTTTATGATACATGGCAATGTGAAGGAAGGGACCGTGGCCACAGTCCGCTGGCTGAAACATGGATGGGTGCATTGACACCAGCAAGCCCCTCAAAAAGGAGAGATGTTTTAAGTCGTGACCGGTGGTAATTTACACCATATTACACCTAACAACCTTGATCTATAACAGTTTCAACCAGGATTTGGGATTTGGCCATGGCCAAGGGGCCAAGATTGTGTTGCCTTCAACGCGCCGCTGATTTTTGTTCACAGCTTGAAGAGTTCAGAAATCGATGAGACACTGTTGGATCCACTGATTCCAATGGAATCTGACGAGTCACGGAAGAACGGGACCCGGATGTGGTGATGGACACGGATAGCCCCAAGATGGTGCCCTGGTGAGTTCGTGTTGTGTCGATCGATTTTGTTGTGGGGTGGTTGAAAGAAACAACTATATCACTGCAAGTAAATTTGTATGATTTTGTGCGGATTTTCTGGTTTGAAGAATACTTCCTACTCTGCTGCGAGTTTGACCAGCACCGAAAAAACTTTTAGTAGGAAAACTTGACCAGTCTATGTTCGTTTTCCAGTGGTCGGTTCCTTGGTGAAAACAGAAAGCTTTTGACATGCCGATGAATGCCGATGGTTTCTTCCCAACTCCTGACTCGCTTTGGAGGGAACTCCAACATGTTGGGTGCCCTGGTGGGGCGGAGTGGTGGCGCCAGGAAAGCTCCAAACTTTGATTTCAGAATGGCCAATGTATTCGGTGTATATCGGTATATCATGGTATATCCATGTATATCTCATTTTAAGAGACACCCAAAATCGGGGCCCAAGAATCTTCAAAGCTGGTTCGCGATGAAGAAGGGAGTGCTTTGGTGGCTTTTCTTTGCAGGGGTCGCGAGAAACACGCTGTGGATAGCTGCAGAGAGTTGGTTGGCAACAAGGATTCAGAATTTTGGTTCCTCATTTTTGGTTCTTTTAGATGCCAATGACTTGGTTGCCCACAGATTAAGTATTTCTGGAGTGTATCTGAACCACGAAGTGTTACTGTATCGCTCCTATGACTCCTATGTGCGAACTTTGTCAACCTGGTGGCCACGCTGTGGCTCAAGTCGTGCGTTTCCAGTGTGCCATGGCATGGACAAAGGGTCCGAGCCTAAGGGGACTGCCTTGTGGGTTGACATTTGATAAAGCTTGAGCAGGGAACATTCACCGCGTGCACGTTGAAAAATGAAGATCCCATTGAAAATGAGGGGATTCCCCGTTGTCATCTTTGATGACCAGAGGGGTCACTTTTTGGCGGGTTTAGCTAATTTGAGCGGCTCTGCAAGGTGTCAGCGTTTTCATGACTGCTTTTTCTGACGTGTGCAAAAGTTGTTGGCTCTCCCAAATCTACCACTTGATGGCGCATGGCAGTACGGAAAGAATGATCTAAGACGTAACTCTGTGGTGGCTAATAACATCTAATAACTACTTGTACATACCTACTATTGTCGGTGAATGTCGGTCATATCCGCACTACAAATTAGTTCAAGTCCCCTGGCGCGGGATCATGTTGCAATTTCCACTGGAATGCCATTTGCATCATCCCAAAGTCATCACATCACTTTTTCATGGCGTTTTCATGGTTTTCATGACCATCCCAAAAAATGCAGATGGTGCAGTTGCCTGCAACTAACCTGGCATTTCCTCCATTTCTCTTCGGCCCAAGGTGCCAGATGGATCTGTCTTTCACCAAGCATTTGGATCAGCTCATTGACCGTCTCAAATCCGTGCCCTGCAGGCGTTGATTGGTGATTGATGAGGATACGACCTGGCGAAATTATAGGATTTATAGGGGATTACTATCCATAAAAGGGTACCGGATACCTATATTATATAGCAGTAGCAGTATGATGGGATGGGATATAGATGGATATAGGATGATATAGGATATATCATGGCTCAGTTGGACGAATTCACCACATGGAGTCGTTTCAAGGCGTTCACATGGTGTGTGAAGAGGTGACTCGTTTCTAAGTGGATTGACATCTTGGTTTGTGCTTCCCTGATGCTCAGGGCCAAACAACTCTTTTTTTTTGACCGGAACCAGTCTAAGCAGTTGTTTTTTATAATTTCCCAAGCATTCATGGAGTAAAACAACTTGGAAGGTGCAGAAAATGGCAAAGTTAGTACAATTTTGTGATTTGGTCATGGATGGTTTCGCACCTTTTCACAGCCAAGCATCGTTTTGAGGAGACTTGGGCAACGTTCATGGTTTAGGATGTGCTGTCCCTCAGGAATTGGTGCAACACTACGAGAAAGATGTAGCTTCCAAGGACAAGGCTTCTTCACCTGAGGCCAGGGTTCGGAGCTGGGACAAGGCTTTTTAGCGTTTTAGGCTTTTGATGAAATTTTTGGGGCAATAAAACAGTGGACTATTGGACCATTTATTTTCTCCTGGTTTTCGACTTCAACATCACAGGTTTTCGGTTCAAGACTGGTTCACCACAAGAAGAAACTTACCTTCTGAAGAACTTTCTGAAGTCCCACATTCACCCACTTAAAACATCAAGATCATCAAAATCAAAAGTGGCTATGGATCAATACCTATACAATACCATTTTTAGGGGGATGAACATCCATTTACCAGCTATTTTGATGTTCACCAGGGGGATAGGGTTTTGACCCATCCCCAAGTATCAACCACTACACCGAAGCATCAAAAGTATCCACCGTGCCGCTGACAGGTCCCGCATGGCTCCCCGCATATTCTGCGCCTCGCGGGGAGCAAGTCCCTGCTCGGCGACTGGAGAGTGTCCTGGCCGAATGGGACAATCCACGATGATCAATGGGTTTAACCATGGTTTAACCACTCAAAAAGGTGGATCCAACCAACAGATTTCCCCGGTTTTGTTGGGGATATATTGCTGACGACAAACTGGTGGAACTAGCGATACAATGGGGTAGAACTGGGTGTAGGAAATCATATGATGGACATTTGGGGAATACCAAGTTTTACAGTAGAACGATATTGTTTCATTATACATGGAAAACATATATTGGCAATGGTTTTTCACGAGACCTTTCTACATCATATACTTTTTGTAACTTTTGTGATGAGAAAATTACAGTTAACTATACATTATTAGAACAGAATGAGTATAGTTAACTGTTATAATGACTATCTATTATCTATACATCGTTTACATATGGCTATGGATCAATACCTATTAATACCATTTTTAGTGGGATGAACATCCATTTACCAGCTATTTTGATGTTCACCAGGGGTACAAGGTTTTGACCCATCCCCATATGGGATATGTCACCAACAATGTAAACAAAAAACGCAGACACAACGTCTGAACATTAGGATGGGTCCACCCAGAAGAACGCGGGTAGAAAAAAAAGCAACAGAGACCAACCACAATGACACTATAAAGGAACATAGGATACAATGGGGATATGATGGTCATATATATAATATAATATATATTATGTATATAATATATATTATGTATATAATATATATATATATATAATATATGTATATATTGGGATATGAAATAACTAACCAACTTGATGTGATGTTTGGGCGTGTCTGAAAATGGGGTATAGCAAACATTTATCATTTATGATCATTTCAATGGGTATAGAAACAGTGAATGGGTGGATTCAGGGGTATTTTATTTCCAAGGAAACTCAGTCATTTGGATGGCAAGGAACGACGGATGCACTGAAGAAACTCATGAAGTTGGATGTATGAAATCTCAGTTGAAAAACCTATGGATTCCGGGAAGCCTTTCTACCTAGCAGTGACCCATCAAAACCAAGGCCCGTACTCCGAAGTCGCTTCTGAATCGGAGGACTATCCCCATGGATTCGGACGGCTCAAGCGAAGAGCTTGAAACTTGGTTTGCGATGGGTGGTTTATGTTGTAGAATATGGTGGAGGGATGGATCTCTTCAAAGACTTTCAGATCGAGATTTAGAATTCATGTTGTATCCTGATTAGTAGCGATTAGTCGCTATTGTGCCAAAACAAATCCAAATTATTCTGAACCCATGCATTGTTTGGCAGGTTCGCTATTGTGGAAAGAAATCTTGGGAGACACTTTTCTTTGAAAAAAAACATGTTTGAGTCAAAAAAAAACATTTTTTCTGCAAAAAAATGTGCTTGTCTGCCGTTCCCAAAAGAATCAGATCGCTTATTAAACCCTTCTTAAAGAACAGTTTTTTCACACATTTCCAAGGCACTGGGCATCACTGGGCCATGAGAGGGCCCAGTTCACTTTAGTAGGTTTGTTCTCAGGGTTCACAATTGCAGCAAAATTTTCCAGAGCTGATCCTGGAGCCAAGAGAAGAAAGAAAAGCCTTTTACAAAAGCAGCCTTTTCTTTCTCTTTCTCTTCCTCTTCCTCCCTCTCTCGCTCTCTCTCTCTCTCTTTCTCTCTCTTTCTCTTTCTCTCGTGCCCTTTCTCTTTTTCTTTCTGTTTCTCTTATTACATGTTTTATTAAGAACAAACTTAAGTAGGTGGAAAAGGTAACGCAATCAACATGCTGAACCCCACTCACTACAAGTGCTACAAGTACTACAAATACCACAAGTTCATCGGAAAAAAAAACACGTTTTAATTAGATTTCAATTGTAGCCAATTGAAATCCTTACTTAAGTGAAGTTTTTTTCCCCCTGGGGAACCGTTTTTTTTGCGCCCAAATTTAAAGAGGGTATAGCTATTGTTGAGCGGGGGGGACCTCACACTAATCAGGACGAAACATTAATTAGTTCCAGAACAGATATTCCCCAGTTTGATCAGTTTGCACAAGATTAGCAAACAGAATACCGCTAATATTCGCCTGCAAATTGCGACCATTTGTTGCAGCCAGAACAGTGATCCAACTGTGCTGCAGAGGAACCGGTCCCCGGAGTTCAGCGTCGCTTACATTCCAAGTCTGCGATGTCGGATGACTCCGAGGCGCCACTGGCTGCGGGGGCCTAAAAAAGATGGGACAGATGGGATTGGTGCCAGACTTCAGCCTTGTTTGAGCTGATACTGTGTATTCTTTGGGTGCTGCAGATATCATCAGATATCCCCCCCAAGATTTCCGAAGAACTCTAGACACAGATGTTATTGAAGGATTTTCCATGGATTTTCCATGGATTTTCCATGGCATTCCAAGCAATGCCCCGGCAGTTTCTGAACCTTATGACCATCCAAAGGGAGCCCACTGATGACCATGGAAATCATCGGGACCAGCATCCACTAGCTATATGAGCATAAAGTCCCCAGCTTTTCATCTAAAATCATAGGCCATTGATAGATGATTTAAGGACCATCTATGATGACATGGTGGGATCTTTAGAAATCTCCATGGTTTTTTTCGGTCCAACAATGGATCCAGCAACCCATCCATTGATCAAAACTCCAGGCCACAGCGGATTCGGTGGAGCTCAAAACGCCCGTATCGCGACCCAAGCGACCCAGCAGACAGGAGGTCTTGCGTATTGCGGCGTTGCCCACCTTGCCGCGGCCACTGGAAGCTGGGCGGATTTTATGTGCCAGTTTTGTGCCATGTGAAGCCGTTTTTAGGTGGAGAATTGTAACATGGGAATATCTTGGGTTGTGCTTGAGGTTAGAAATTGGGATTTCTGAAACAAAATGTACCTTGACTTTTGGAGTTTTGAGATTTTTCTGATGATTCTTGTAGTTTTTGATTTTGATGGACCTTTGAAGAATTTGAATGGTTACAAGGATTCACAATCTTGACAGGGAAGACTTCGATCGATGCAGGAAAGCTGTGGGTAATTAATCATGGGAATGGATCTGGGTCGGTTAATCTTCAATATGTCAGGGGGGTGTCCGAATCTATCCAAACATTCTCAAACACCTTGGTTTTAGTGTATGGAAAAGGACCCCCCCCCATTCCTGGAACCTGACAAAACTGGAGGGCACAGCTCTTGCGCCCCAGTGCTTAGCTTGGGTGTACCAGTTTTTTTCCCTGGGATGCCATCTGGCAATCTGTGAACCCCTGCCAACTCGCAGCCCTGATACTAGGGGATGGATCCATTGATGTATTCAATGGACTACAGTAAATAGCCTCCATAGGTCCCTGGCCTGTGGTTCTTGAACATTTTTTGCGCTCAAGATTGTTCAACCATCAATAATCACAATGTGGACCATCATGACTAATCTTTCTCCGCATCATCAAATGCCATCAACGTATGACAACTCTTCCAAATATCAGTAAACATATCAGATAAAGAATCCAAATCAAACATGGCTTGCTGGAACATTCCCCCAGCTATAGATGATTTTTCTAGCTATAAATGCCAAAGTTTATAATGGATTTCCCTGTCGGCGGCCGGCCCACGGCTTTCCCCATGTTTTCCCATCATAGCTTCATCCATAGATTTTCATAACAAAAACGATCTATTTGGTATATACCCTCTGGTAATTTAACATAGCTATAGAAAGATCCACCATTTTTCATGGGAAAATCAACTATAAATCAACATTTTCAATAGCAAACTGTTAAATTACCAGAGGGTAAATCACGGGGTGTAAGCCCATAGTCATTCAAACACGATTACGTATTCGCTGACCATCGGACCGTGGACCTTCGTGTGTTCTTGCTGAAATCCTTAAGCCCATATTATAAGCCTGGCATATATATATATACCATATATACCATCACTGTTCAATTATCATGGTATATATATATATATACATATGAATATCATATATATATATACATATATATATAATATATATATACATACCATATGAATTATATAATTAATCCCTAATATTTTTGATGCCGCCGTGGCTCGACGTTTTCCTCCCCAAATTACGGTCACGTTCGAAAACCGTTTTGCAGGAACCAAAGACGCCACCGTTTTCGCCTGCCACGGCACCTGCCACGGCGCCCAAGATGCTTCTTCCGGCGAAGGCGGTTTTTGCACGGCTGAGATCCTTCGTGGTTGGTGAAAAAGGGGAGGTTAATGGAGGTTATTTATTTATATTTATTTATACTGGTTGGTGGTTTGGAACATGAATCATATTTTTTCCATTCAGTTGGGCATCATAATTCCAAGGGACTTTCATATTTTTCGGAGGGGTTGCAACCACCAACCAGATTTTATCAGCAACATGATCAGACATGGGATCAATAGCCAACAAACTAAAAACACATGGGGATATTGAGATGGTAAGATTGAGGTACATAGCACCTGTTGATGGTTGATAGTGGGTTTTTTTCAGAAGCTGCAGCACTTCCGAAAACCAAAGATGGGGGTAACCAACAAACTAGGGGTGCCAAGATTTCACATTTGAGAATACAACGCCGAAACGATGGATGGTAGGTTTTTCGTATTTTTTCGTCATGCAGTTATGCTAACGTGTTCAACCGGGATGACTCATCCGCTGTGGGAAAGCCGCCCTTGAGCGACTAGTGACTAGTGACTACCAGTAGTAGGTTTGGGGATGATGGAGGGCTTTGGGCGCTCACTCGAGATGCAAACAGGAGCCCTTGAGCGGGAAATACTGAAACACGTTGGTCATTTTCAGTACCCATCCAATTTTGGGTGTATTCAATTGGACGAGGGCACAAGATTCTCGCTTTTGCTTGAGAAGTGCAGCGTTGTTTGCTTCAAAAACCCATCGCCGGAAAACTTTTCTGAGACTGGGCAGGTGGCTCCGACGATGTCCGAGACCAGCTCGCAGCTAGAGGTCCCCGGCCAGTTTCTTTTTGGAACCACAAAAAAACAAACGGCCAAGGACCTTCGGAATGAAAAAAAGACGTTTCGCAAAATGCCTTTGATCCAAAAAGATTGGAGGCTTGACTAGTGCCACTTACCTGCTGTGATTGTCTGTAACCCTCAGCATATAGCTTTCTTTATCACCAGCCATTCTGCCATGCGATATTCTGCAGGGACGAACCTTTGAATATCCAAAGATCATGATATCCTCTGGTAAATTAACATAGCTATTGAAAATTGCTATTTCTAGTTGATTTACCCACTCAAAAATGTGATTTTCCACAGCTATGTTAGTTTACCAGAGGGTAAATCATCACGAATCATCACGAATCATCACAAATACCAGCTACTCAGCTCCTCCGTTGTGATTCTACCGCGCAGGCGGTGGCAAGTTTGCGGATCCCCGGTGGTATAGAGGCGCCTGGCTCCGAGGTGTGGTGGGCTAAACGGGGAACTGACGGTGGGTAAAAGGATAAACCACCCATGACTTCCTGGGAATGGCAACCATACCACCTATAAAAATGGTGATTTTCCTGGGGGATTTTGCATAAAAGGATTTTTTGTTTTACCCACTAATTATGTATATTTGATCTCTGAATATCCATGATAGATTTCCTTTGCTTTATTTCTGGCCAACTGTATCCAACTGTTGGGTCTGCTTCACTGTTGCTCACATACAATCATGTAGAGATCTACAGACAGATGGGTGAACACAAATCCACATAACTTGGGGCCCCCCTTCCGCTTTCATGGAAGAAATGATGCGCCTGGGGGAAAATTTATGCTGTGACATACTGTGTGGTGGATTTTCTGGCCAGGAGTCATACTGGTTTCCTGAATGTGATTATAAAATCATAGAATTGGATGAAGGGAAAATTTTAACCGGAAACCCCTATATTTGATGGTAAAAACCATGGTTTCCTGTAGATTTTCCCTTAAACCAATCCATTGATAAAAAGTTTCTGTGAAAGCAAGAAAACTAGCCAGCTCGGTGATCAGAAATCAAAGTGACGGCTCCAGAAACCCAGAACGCTTCTTTTTTCGTAGCATATTAGTGGTTTCAACTACTGTAAGCAGTCTTCCAATTGAGATATATGACCCTTTTGGTCGATTCAGCACAAAGCCCAGCATCCCCTGGTTCAAGGGAAGATTTTCAGGAAACCATGGTCAAACCCCGTGGGTTCCGTGACAATTTTTTCACTTCCCCAAAGGATGTAATTGATACATGATTTGTTGATTTGTTGATCATAAAAAATCTCTTACATCCCCCTATTTGTCGGCGGCGAAATCCCAGTATATTCTCAAAACATGTAAAAACTCATTTTAAAATCATCCTCATGATCTCATGATGATTTCCTGAAGTTTTCATGGTCCAAATCCCCCGCCAGGATTCCGCCTCGGACACCACCAGCCAAGCGCCCTCCGCAGCCTCGGCGCGCGGCGCGCCCGCGCCCAGCCGACCCAGCGCCAACGCCGCGCGCCGCGGCAGCGTGGCGCCCGCGGCAGCCAGCCCCGTGAACTCGGCGCGGGGGGTGAACTCCGCCAGGGGAAGCAACAACGGGGACCCGCAACGCGGCGTGGGGCTTGAAAGGTTGATGGATGATGAAAGTGCTGATTTTTTTGGGCGAAACTTTCGTGAGAAAAATGAAATGAAATTGCCAAGTTTTGGTGGTCAGATAGTACTAGGTGAGGATTGTTGGTTATGACGTGTTTTGAACATATTTTTCCATGTTTTTTTTCACGGTGTTTGATGACAGATCTTTCACTCCATGTGCCGCCCCCTCCGTTTTTTCCTTGTCGCAGGATTCGCGGCGTAACACAAAAGATACATCGAAGTCCAGTCAGAGGCAGGGTAGCCCCAAGTCTGCTGGTCAATCATCATTTTGTCCCATAAAAACAACCATTTGCAAGGTCCCCACTTTCGAAGAAATCGAACTACACGAAGGATTGAGAAGGTCACCACATAACAGATCTTACTATTCGGGCAGCCATTTGTGATGGTTCAAACCAGATATTACAATCTATTTTCCAGGAAGGGTATCATTCACCAGAGGGTGGAACGTGTTGTTTTTCCCATGGTTGACAGGACAAGTACGAGCAGCTCGAGTTCCTCTGCCAGTTTTGCAAGTTCCAGCGAAACTTGGCTGGGTGATATTTCCGCAGTGTTAAGGGGGAAGGGCAGTAGGGGCTTGCATCTCTGTACCTTTTGAATTGGGAAAAGTTGGAAAAGTTTGTGGTTTTCCAATGTTTGATCTTCGCCAAAATTAAGTGGAAGAGGTTGAACATATTGCCAGAGATCCAATACCTATAACCATTTTGGGTGGACCCCAGCTATTTTGGTGCTCACCATCTGATGATACGTTTGGTTTTTGACCCATACCTTTGGAAGAGTCTGAAGTCTCCATGAATCTCCAATCCTCAGGACGAGAACGCACCCAAAGTGGCCTTGCCAAACAGTCACCCTGCAGATCTGGCGCGAGGTGATCTTCAGATTGGTGGAAGAGGGACACGATTTTTTGTGCCGATGCCATGGGCATTCTTCCTATAAACATCCTAAAAAATCACCAATTGGGTTGGGAAACATCTTCACAAATCGTCGAAGGTATTTTGCTGGGTGGCGCAATATCCCTCTGGGACCATCCATTGGTATTTAGGTATTTTTTTATCCAGCTATGTATTGGGAACTTCCCAATATGAACCCATCATTATCAGCCATTTTTCCGGAAATCCTCTAGATTTCCCGACCGATCCCAGGGATCGGTAGCCGGGTGAGCTCATAGGGATACCCATATGCCCACCAGTGCAATGATGGGACGGCAGTTTTTTTTTTTGGCTCAGTTGGACTATTTCAAATATAAATAGATAATATATATATATAATTATAAAAGGTTTCGGCCCAGGGGTGATAGCTTTGCGACTACCGCTATTGCCCTTAGCCACTAACCATAGGGCGACGCTCCAAGCGCATGGTTGGACGATTGCTCGCAATTTACTTGTGGCTTGACTTTGTTGCCTGGGTCTCTACTCACACTGGCGAATCAGCTCGAACCCTACTGGCACCGTCGCCTCAGGAAGAAGAGGCAGCGGGTGCGATCCTGCCTGAAGCAGGTGAGAGTTGGTTTTTGGGGGAAAGGAACGAAAAGGAGAGCAAGAGTGGCTTGGAGCGTTTTGCACAGCCACCATTCTTTCAATCCTGCAGATCTTCCCCTCGAGGTACAGCAGTTGAGTACAATGACGTGGCATTGTCAAGCATGCAAGGTCAACAATACCCCAAAGATGACCTATTGCCGATCATGTCAGGCTCACTGGAGTGCGGTTTGGACAGCACCGCGTCGCTCCAGATCCAAGAGCAGCAAGAAGCAAAAAGCAACTGCTTCGGAGTACAAGGCAGCAGAACAGGTCAACCAAGAGTCAGACACATGGGCAGTGTTTTCGGACAAGCTGCCATGGATTCCCACTACGCCGGCCAGCAGAGTTCAGCGGAAAGTGGAAACAGGAATTTCTATGGACAAGCCCCTTGGGATGCCACCGCAGCCAATTCTGCCACCAGCGCCTTCTGTCGAAGCACCGATGGCGCTTACAGCGGAGGAGGACAAGATGCTGCAACATCTCAGAGGGTTACAGGCTATGGACATGGAGCTCACGGAGTCGATGGCATCAAGATTGGAGGAGCTTTCCATGAGGGAAGCGAAAGCACAATCCAATCGCACATTGACGCATGGGCAGTTGAAAAAATTGAGCAAGCTCAAAGGGCAAGTGGCAACAGCTGCACAGAAGATCAAGGACTTGGATCAAGAGTGGACATCGTTTGTCAGCAATACGATTGCCAAGGTCCGACAGCATGGAGAGATGTTCCAAAACTGTCGAGCAGATCTGATGGAGCACTACAATGCCAAGATCTTGGAGCTTGCAAATGTAAAGCAGGAGATGACGCTGGCGTCCAGGTCCCTGTTAGGACCTCAATGGACAGAACCAGTCATCGAGGAAATGCCAGATTTGGAGGTGCAGTTCGAGGACCTGCAGAATACCCTGAACGCAGAGGGACATGCAAGTTCCATCGATCTTACAGACACCATGGACGACGAGGAGCTTGTAGAGGCGGAGGATGTAGCCCAGGGGGCAATGAGCAAAGCGACTCCGAAAGCTTTGCGTCCCTTTTGTGGGTCAAGTTCGCCAAGCAAAGTTGCGAACCATCATCTCAAGCCAAAGGCGCAAGATTTGAAGGAACTCAAAGATGCCAAAGTCAGAGAGAAGGAGAAGGAGGACAAGTGAGTGTTGCGATGACATCTGGATGCAGGGAAGTCAGCAGTCATCTAGGAGCTCCACTACCTCTCCTTTCAAAAGAAAGCTTCTTTCGAAGACGGATTAAGGAGTTTTGGCATTCACATTTCAATCAAAGTTTCTCCTGGAACAAAGACATGAATGTGTCAGACGACACTATGAGTCAATGTGAAGGAGCAAAAAACAATATGGTGAGTTCTCACGGTTTGCTGAGGGATGAATCGACAGTTTATGAGTGTGTTGGCATGGAGGTTGTCCATCACAACAGAAATCTGTTCGGCGTTGCGCAGCAGTGTTACAATGAGAAGGTTGAGGCAAAGTATGAGCCCCTGTGTTACAGAGATGGATCCTTTGACTCCCTTGCGTGTGAAGTGCGATGTGACAGTGAATTTGGCAGTGATCAGGGTAACTTGGATCTGATCAAGCCAGCAGAAGTGAAGGATGGAAATGAGACCGTTTTGCGAGGTGGCGAAGAGGCTAACGTGGATCTCTTCGCACCTCAGGTCTGGTGCACAATTGCCTGCTCTTCAGGGGATGGCAATTTGTCGTGCCAAGGTTGCAGTCTTCCCTCATGGTGTAGACGACGTCCTGTATTGCATGGTGATGTTGCAGACAGTCAAAAAAGGGGCAAAGGAAAGAAGGTCACCTTTTCTACGACTGTCGAATTGCACCTGGTTTTTCAAGAGCAGCATTGTATTGCGGTTATGAATGACGTTGATGCACATGACATGTGGAGACATTTTTGGCATTTACATGGACAAATTGCAGTTTGGAAGGATTTCCAGATTGGGTTTGCGCGTTTGGCAGCCCTGAATCTCATCCCTTCTTGGAATGGAGAATCGGTTGAGTCTCATCCTGAGGAGCTTGCAATTTTCATACAGAATCCATATACGGAGCAAGGATTTGTTGCAGATGGCTGGTGGAATGTGATTACTCAGCAATGTTCACAGCATGACACTAGGCCGGTCTTTGTTGCAACATGGTTTCTCTCACCTGAGCGCTTTCATGTTTGTGTGCGACCTCGTCGAATCAGATTTCATCGGCAGATGAGTGTCTCGGATTTTGAACGTGCGTGCAGGGAGACATGGAAGGAGTTGATGGATGGATCAGATTTGCGTTTGTATGTGGTGGGGGGCCAACCTGAGAGTGGCCTGCCTAGCACCAGGGCGCACATCATCATTGTCCAGGGTGATGATTTGCATTGGTCCACCCTATTGATGAAGGGTGTTGGCCTTCCACCCCTCATGTCTGTTAGAGCGGTCCTGTTTCGGCAAGACAGCACTGTTCGTGCTGTTTTTCGAGAAGCACAATACCCAGAGGCTTGTGGCAGGCAAAATTTTCTTTGTTGTATTCAATACGACCATCAGGGAGCAATGATGCAGATTGCGGATGACAGCTTGTGCAGAATTCCACAGGCTCAATATGTTGTGGGCAATCTTTGCCCCTTGGAAGCTTCAGATGAGGATGACGAAGCATCACCCACTTCATCGATGGCTTCCACAGATCTTCCTTCTGATGAAGAAGAAGATGATTCAGCTTCTTTGATATCCATGCACCATGAGGAAGGACAGACATGGACGTGGGAGCGACATCAAAAATTGGGGCAAAATCATGTTGCCAATGAGAGGAGTCAGGTGGACAGATCACTTGCAGGGCCAATAGACGGGAAGGAGGATAACTCGGATCTCCTTTGGTCTTGGCAGACGCATCACCTTGACAAAATCTTGCAAGGTCTCGAAGGCGGGGGTGAGGCTAACGTGGATCTCACCTGGCCTAGCATGCATAGCAACATGGTGGAGGTTGACAGTGATGAGGTTGGGTTAGTGTCCAATAGACCCATCACCTACCAATTTGAACGACCGGATCCATATCCGTGGGAGGCCATTGAAGATGATGACCTCGATCAGGAGGATGAAGAGAGCAATGATGATGTTGCATTTGCAAATGGCCATCAAGAACAATCACAAGCCTTCATAGACCAAGCCCTTGAAGGTCTGGTTGAAAGTGAACGAAGGTGGGTTGTTGTGACTTACGGTCTGGGTCTTGTCGACTTGGGTCGAAGGGACACGGCCTTCAACCCATGGAGGCTTCACGAATTGGAAGGAAAAATCCGAACCTTATGGGAGGACCATTTACGCTACGGAAGCATCACAATTTATCATGTCACGCCACAGCCGTGTGAAGTTGCTGGGCCAAATACTCTGGTTGTACTGGTTGTCATTGAGAGTCCGGAAGATATGAATGAGGACGTGAGAAATGTCCTTGTCATTCAGCGAGGTCCTCGTCATTTGCCTCTCAGACCAGCGCCTTATGGGGCCAAGATCTTCACTGATATTTCCATCAGGGATGCTCTGGTCCAATTGGACATGCACAAGCATTGCAAGCCTTTCAAGATGAGGGATTGCTTCATACGTCTGGGATACAATGTCATGGAACCGGATCATCGCTATGACGTCAGAGACGGATGGCTGTGCACTGTACGAGTGGAAGACACACCAGAATTGGTGACACAAGCAGGCACCATCATTGACAGAGTTGAAGACTTCTATTTGCAAGCGGAAGAATTGCAGCACATGGAGGGAGACATCCACCAGATCATCTGTCATGTCCATGGCATTTCGCCAGCAAACCGGCCCTTGGGATGGCGGCAATTGATTCTGGAGGGTGATGATTTGCTCCATTTGGATTGGATTTCGCAAATGCAGCAGCTTTGGCCTTTTGAGTCAAGTGATGCTAGGGTTGTTTTCTGCACCATGGCCACTGATGATCTGCGTGATGCTGAACACATTCGATTTCACTTTATTGTGGATTATGGTGGTAGGGAAGGTTTTCCTATTTTGGTGCAGCAACAAATTGTTTCAGCACAATCCATGCCATATCGGTCTGAAGGAGCCAATGAATTTTGGGCCATCTCGGTGCTTGAAGGTCCTGTTTCTTTGGATATTGTGGCAGCATTGGCCATCCACCCCTTCTGGTTCGACTATGCTGTTTTGCAAGGTGTCCAGCCTCATGTGTTGGTCAATGGACGCAGAATCAGTGGGTTGCAAGCGATGTGGCAAGCTGGTGACTTTGTGCACGTGCGTCTTCAGGTTTGGCAAACCCATCACATGCTTTCCATTCTTTTGCATGAAGGAGTGGAGGCCCAACAAGAGCCTGAGCTGGAACATACTTCGTT